TTGGTAAAATGTTTATGATACACGAAAGATTGATTCAAACATGTTTGAAAATGTCTTTCATCTCAAAAATCGAGTCCCGAGTTCTGGGTTAGTGCTGAAGCTTGAAACTTGAAATCAAGTGGAAAATGAAATCTTGCAACAATGTACACATGAAGATGTTTCATTTCCTTTGACAATTCACCGAGTGTCTTGTACTAACCTGACAACACAGTCTGGGCTTCAGGCTTCAGGGCTCGGTACACGACACTCGGGGAATTGTGAAATTTCTATTTTCTTGGACATTTCACTGAGTTCCGAGTTCCGGGCGCCGAATTCCGAGTTCCGAGCGCCGAGCTCCGAGTGCCGAGTGCTGAAGCTCAAAACTTGAAATCAGTGGAAAACGAAATCTTGCAACAATGTACACATGAAAATGTTTTATTTCCTTTGACAATTCACTGAGTGTCTTGTACTAACTCAGGGAATTGTGAAATTTCTATTTCCTTAGACATTTCACTGAGTTCTGAGTTCCGAGTGCCGAGTTCCGAGTTCCGAGTGCCGGATGCTGAGTGCTGAAGCTTGGAACTTGAAATCAGTGGAAAACAAAATATTGCGACAATGTACACATGAAAATGTTTTCATTTCCTTTGACAATTCACCGAGTGTCTTGTACTAACCTGACAACACAGTCCGGGCTTCAGGCTTTGGGTTTCGGGGCTCGGTACATGACACTCGGGGAATTGTTTATGGAAATGAAACATGTTCATGTGTACATTGTTGCGAGATTCATTTTCCACCGATTTCAAGTTTCAAGCTTCGGCACTCAGCCACTGGTCGGTAGTCAATATAGGCAAATGGTAATGAAAAATGAAAGTTGTTATTACGCTTAACTTCCTTACCGAAGGTTGTAGTCCGAGTCTAGGGGAGTGTATTGGTAGTCTTTTCTTGTCCATCAGTTATCATATAAGCTAAAGAAATCTGAAACATCGGCAATAATGAAAAATGAAAGTTATTATTATGTTTAAGTTCCTGAACAAAAATTGTAGTCCAAGCCAAGGTGAGTGTATTGGTAGTTTTTTCTTGTCAATTGGTTATCTCGTTACTCGGTACTCGGTACAAGGAATCGGTATTTGGTTCTGATACTCAATACCCGAGAATCAGTAGTCAGGTACTCGGTACTCAGTTCTGATACTTGGTACCCGAGAATCAGTAGTCAGGTACTCAGTACTTGGTTCTAATTCTCGGTACCTGTGAATCAATAGTTGGGTACTCCAGCCAATAGTCCCGAGTCCCAAGTACTGATACTTGGTATTCAGTAGTCAGGTTTGGAACTTGGGTCTTGGTTGGTTATCATTTGACTGAGATATTGGTAGGCAATATTGGCACTCGGAGCTCGAATACTGACTATCAACTATCAAGTGTCAGGACTTGGTAATCGGTAGTTGAGACTTGGTGCTTAAATGGATATTGCATATATACATAAAATACAAAATATGTTCTATGTGTTCATTTCTAGGTGAATAGACTTTGAAATTATATCTCAATCATCTATTCAACAATAGAAACAATGTATCAGGAGCTCAGGACCATAGGGTAATCCTTTATTGTATAGTGTACCTCCCCTCTTCTGGTGGTTCACCTGCTGGGGTTTTTTTCCCTGTAGGACTGGACCTCAAGGACTGTAGGGAGTCTATTCCTGAGCATATTCGGAGTAGATATATCATATAACCAGCCCAGGACACACAGGATCCTTTTCCAGGAACAGAGCATAGACAATTGCACTTGTGACATTTTTCACGATTTTCAGTATCTTGCCCTTGCATCCATGATCCAACCTTTTAATATATAATGAGCATAGCTTATATTCTTGCTTCTTATGACCAAGATCAGCTCACAATAGGCTGGAGTTGTGAGCTAGTGTGTATACTTGCCATTTCGCCTGATAAGGGGCCCATGCCTTCAAAACATTGGATCTTCATAATCAGAAACCTGGGGTACATTTCAAATATCTTAAGTATCATAGACATAAATTTACAGACAAATCAACCAAGAATTGAGTACTGAGGAAGTGAAATGGGTAAGAAATTGAGTGTGGGAAACTTCAAAGACCCAAAGCATCGAAAATGGTTAGTTGAGCAGTGGTAGGACTTTAATGCTGGGTCAACTCATATTTTCACTATATCCCTTCTACCCACCCCCTACCCTCAGGGCAGTAGGCAGTATGGGTTCCTTGGGTAGTTTACGATCTATCCTACATATTTGTAATGATATTTTCAGCCTGAATCATATATAAATGTGACTTTGTATAAAAGATGTCTATTGTCACTCTCCACACATATGTCATTTTGCCTATCATTACATCAATCCTTCATGAATCTTTCTAAGCTTTTAAGCTATTATAATGGATGTATATGGGTGTTATTCCAGGTCTCTGATCACATCACAGGCTTGTTATGTTGGATATCTCGACATAATGTGCAAGTCTCGCTATTAATATTCATTCTTTTATCTTTAGACTCACTTACTGCACACATGTATTTCATTTGTCATTATTGATGTTTCGGATTTCTTTAGCTTATATCTCGGTCACCTGGTAACCAATGGACAAGAAAAGACTACAAATAAACTCACCTAGACTCGGACTACAACCTTCATTAAGCTGACTACTGATTCCTGGGTACCGAGTATCAAAACCAAATACTGAGTACCAATTACCATGTACCGAGTACTGCATAATGAGTAACAAGATAACCAATTGACAAGAAAAGACTATCACTACACTCACCTGGACTTGGACTACAACCTTCGGTAAGGAAGTTAAGCATAATAACAACTTTCATTTTTTCATTATTGCTGATGTTTTGCCGAATGACAAGGAAAGACTACCAAGACACTCACCTTGACGTGGACTACAACTGTCATTTTTCATTATCATTTGCCTATATTGACTACCGAGTATCGAGTACCGACCACTGACCACCGATCATCGAGTACCGAGTACCGAGTGCTGACAAATACAATTCCCAAGTTATTTGAACCCTACACCAATGGATAATACATACAAATACAATTCGTGTCCATTTGAAGTACCGGGTTTCAGGTTTCGGCACTCAAAACTCGGTGATTTGTGCAATGAGTGAAAAATGGACATGTTGTGTACATATTTTCGGGTCTCGGGCTTCGGGATTCGGCCCTCGGCACTTGGACCTCAATGATCTGTGTAATATAAATGAAAAATCAACATGTTGCATGCCGGGTTTCAAGTTTCAGGTTTTGGCACTCAAAACTCAGTGATTTGTGCAACAAGTGAAAAATGGACATGTTGCATACATATTTTCGGGGTTCGGGGTTCGGGTCTCGGCCCTCGGCACTCGGAACTCGATGATTTGTGTGATATAAATGAAAAATCAACATGTTGCACACTGGGTTTCAAGTTTCATGCTTTGGCACTCGAAACTCGGTGATTTGTGCAGTGAGTGAAAAATGGACATGTTGTGTACATATTTTCGGGTCTCGGGCTTCGGGTTTCGGCACTCGGAACTCGGAACTCGATGATCTGTGTAATGTAAATGAACAATGAACATATTGCACACCCGGTTTTGAGTTTCGGGTTTCGGCACTTGAAACTCAGTGATTTGTGCAACAAGTGAAAAATGGAAATGTTGCATACATATTTTCGGGTCTCGGGCTTCGGGTTTCGGCACTTGGCACTTGGCACTTGGTTATTTGTGTGATATAAATGAAAAATCAACATGTTGCACACTGGGTTTCAAGTTTCATGCTTTGGCACTTGAAACTCGGTGATTTGTGCAGTGAGTGAAAAATGGACATGTTGCGCACATATTTTCGGGGTCCAGGGTTCGGATTTCGGCCCTCGGAACTCGGAACTCAATGACTTGTGTAATATAATTGAACAATGGACATGATGCACACTGGGTTTCGGGTTTCGGCACTCGAAACTCGGTGAGATGTGCAATGAGTAAGAAATGGACATGTTCCATACATATTTTCGGGTTTCGGCACTCAACACTCAGAACTCGATGATCTGTGTAATGTAAATGAACAATCGACATGTTGCACACCGGGTTTCGAGTTTTGGGTTTCGGCACTCGAAACTCGGTGATTTGTGCAGTGAGTGAAAAATGGACATGTTGAACAATGGGTTTCAGGGTCTCGGGTTTGAAAAATAGCATAATAACAACTTTCATGTTTTCATTATCATTTGCCTATATTGACTACCGAGTCCGATAAGGGACCCCTTGGATGATCCATTGCTCAATGAAATACTACCTGATTGGAAGTGTGCTGGTTATCAGATATTCATTTGTCGACTCCCGGGTCCTGGAACTCAGAAGTCGGTACAGTTGACCCAAATTTGGGTGGTCGGAACTTGGTGTCTCATAGGGCAACACAAGCTTTGCACCCCGGATTCCAAATTCTGCAAGACAACCTGTCCACCATCAAAGGCCATGTCAGGAGATCACCTGCTGCTCCGGGAACTCGGTAACTTTGATTTATTACCTCCTCTGATTTGGTTGATGTACAACTACCTCAGCTCCATCATGTCTACAATTATGATACACATGGGCCCACCCATCTATATTTTATACCACCCTCGGCCCACCCATCTAATACAACATCCCGTACAACACCCTCGGCCCACCCGTCTAATTAATATGCGTCTGGGCCTACCCGTCTAATACAATATTTTATAATACCCTCGGCCCACCCGTCTAATTTAATATGTGTCTGGGCCCACCCATGAATATGATAACAAGTACCTACCCATCTATCTCATACACATCTACCTTAATACACCCATCTGCATAATATCCAACTACCTCGGCCCACCCGTCTACCTAATATTCATATACATCAGCCCACTCATCTACTCTATATATTCCCTGCATGGGCCCACCCGCCTCCATCGGGAATAATTTCCCTCCCGGCCCATCCGTCATAGTCGAGGATATTTTTATCATGGGCCCATGGTCCGCTGGCCCATATCATACGGGATATTATGCATGTCCGTTCCCTCGTATTATACGGAGATAGGTCACTGTAATATGTGTGTGAGAATCTAACAGTTATGCTATGGGAGGACGACTTACTATCATAATGTGGTCTTTTCACACAGGACATCGAAGATATGAAGTATAGGGCCGTCATCGTTAGTCCAGAGCAGCTTATGAAACCTGGAGGGGAATTTGAGAAACTGCTGTGCAAACCGCTTTTTGCGCAGCAGATTATTGGTGTGGTATTTGATGAAGCACATTGTATCACAACCTGGGGTGAATTCCATCCTGAATACAAGGAATTAGAACATCTCCGTTATATCCTGCCTTGCTACATCCCTTTCATGCTTGCATCCGCAACGCTCACAGTGGACAATCTCGTACACGTGAAGCGGCTACTCCACATATGCTCAAACAAACTCCTCACGATTCAAACTTCTGTCGATCGTGCAAATATCAAACTCTGCGTCCATAAAATCATGTACTCACTTTCATCATATCAAGACCTCTCGTTTTTAATACCTGACAGCTGGAAGGACAGTGACCCAGCACCTCCAAAGTTTCTCATCTTCTTTGACGACATGCAAGACTCTATAGCGGCGGCAAAAACAATACAGAAACGACTCCCATCAGCACTGCGTCACAGGATAAAGTGGTTTAACTCTGACATGACAACATGATTCAAAGAAGATGAGGTGGACCGCTTGATATCTGGAGAGACTTGGGGGCTTTGCACCACAGAATCGTTCGGAATGGTAAGGGTATCGATATGCATCTAGTAGTACAATATCATAGCTAATCATCGTCACATTTAGGGAATGGACGTACCAGATATATTACTTGTCATCCAGTGGAAAGCGACATGCAAGTTGGCCACTCTTTGGCAACGATGGGGACGTGCTGTCAGGGATCGCAGACTCCAAGGCACAGCAATATTATTTGCTGAAAGAGAGTATTTCGACGACGTGCGTGAAGAAAAGCACTGGCGGCAAGAGACAAAAAAACACAAAGCAGGCGAGAACAGAGAATGTACGGCTACAAGACAGCGTACCCAGCTACATCCTGTAAACAGGCAGGATGATGTACATGAGTGGGAAAATGATATTCCTGGGGATGATAGTGACGGTGACAAAGCGGAGGTAGGTGATCAAGAGCTAAGAGGGCAGTTGCAGTCAAAGTTGGAGGGAAAGCCAGGTGGTTCATGGAAGAAGAGGGAATTAGATCCTGTGATGGACTGCTTGATTAATGCTCACCTGCAAGGTACAATTCATTGTCGACGCAAGGTCCTCCATGTTCACTTCAATGACTCATTGGCTGGTAATATATTTTCCAATTGCGGTTGCTTCTATTGACTCGTTGTAATATTATTATGACACAGATCCAGACCATGTTACATGTGACCCATCAAATTCCGACGGCTGCACCCATTGCGCACCACTCACATCAAGTGTCTGTTGCGACATCCATAATCCCGACTCTCTCTCACATAACAATATATCTTTACCTTCCAAAATCGCCCACCGTTCACGCACTGTCAAGTACGAGATGGGGCCACAGGAATTTGAGCTCCATGATGCTCTGGAAGAATGGCGAGAATTAATAACTAGGAGAGTATACGGTGATTCGGCGCTCAACGACTATGGTCCTGGTGTGACAATGCCAGACTCGGTATTGGACCGTATTGTCGACTGTGCTCACCACCATAAATTTTCTACTACCGATGACCTACGTAAGGAAACAAAGTGGTCTGCAGCGGACCGCTTTGGTAGTGATGTCATAGCTATCGTTCAGCGCATCATACCAGTTCCCGTGCTCATACCTGTTTTCACTACTGCCACGCGTCCATGACAAAATCTCCCATCTACTTCTCAATCCAATCAACCGGTCGTCGCTCGAAAACAACCCAGATGTAGTGCGTGTGGCATAGAGGGACATACCAGTAAGTTGTCTTCACATGCTGGCAGCAGTGGCTCACATCAATCACGACAGAGCGCAGCTGTATTTGTTTAATAAACCCGTCTCGTATTGTGTCAAGCTCGCAAACCACCGACAATAAGGAAAATGTATGTCGAATTGGCTGTGCTGGATGTTTGTGCTCATACATGATAACAGATACCTCAAGCAACTTCCAACGCATCCTCGTCTAACCCAACCCCAAGTCTTTATCACAATCCCAGCTCTACTGCTACGTCCTCTAATGTCGGATGCTCCTCTAATGTTCCCCCCTCTTCTATTCCAGCATCCAAACATTGTTTATCTATTAATTCGAGACCTTTACTGTAGAGATCGGGAATAGAGTGTTTGCTTTTTCGTCCGAGCACCAGTTCATGCGGGGAGTGCTGTGCTATGTACCTACAGAGCTCGTTGAACGTCCGCGTCATGTCAACGATAGTGTGTCGAGTTGTGAGGTGTAAATGCAAGAAATTTTCTTCGAAAACCCGTTGTAAGTTACGATAAACCTGTACAAGGGGGGATTCCAAGATTATACGGTCTATGGTGCGATTAGGGCCCTTGCCGCCGTGAATAACCTAGACGTGATTAGCCAATGTATTCCAGTGGTATACTAGTAGAAATAAGTCACCTTTGTATACAAGTTATTTGATTCCATGCACCAGTCAATGGCTCGGAAGCTGCCTGCCTTTCCCGATGGGTTCACAAGAATATGATATCGAACGGCTCTCCTAAGCCATAATTTGAATCAGCTCGTGTTTTGACCAAAAAAGATACAACCTCACTGCAAGCCATCTGGGTATACAAAGTGAACATTGGATAGAAAATCTGACATGTGCGTCACATATTTATGCTTCCCGGTTGCCTTAAATATCAGGATCCACGCAACAATGCACGTTTCCACTCGCCCGATATCCCCAATATTCATAGCGTATGAAAGTTCCTTGTATAGTAGCATGTATTTGTTGAGGAGCAGCGCGTTTTCATATTCTCCATCACGCTGAGTGACATCTTTTGATCTCATCCGCTGAAGTCTGTGATCAGCAACATACTCCTTTGCAATTACATCTGCCATCGCAAGTATATCATCAAATAGCGGCTCTGACGCTGCAAAGGAATCCAAGTCCACATGTGAGGAAACACATTTTTTTTACCTCAACTCTCCAACAATCAAGGCGCCGGCAGATACCAGAATAGGTGATGAGCTGGTGCATTCTACGAAACCCAGGCTTCGAGCCATATATACCTGTTTCTTTAGGTCGAAGAATCCCAACATCCCGCATCAAAGCGTTCTCATCTAGTCGCGCCAAGAAATGCTGCAAGAAGGTGCGCCAGATGGCATCTGCGCTCGCCATCTTCAAATGAAATAAACCTGGAATAAAGATGATGTGCTGGAGGCGATTCCAAGGTGTGTTTTCAATTGCGCGTCGCTGGAGTGCTGCTTGGAGTCATTTGCCTGTGCCAAGGTCGCCGTGGAATAGTGTGACGTCCTCTGATACATCTAGTCCTTGCAGGGGGTCACATTCTGCCGGATCTTCAATATCTCCCTGCTTCAATAACTCAAGTACTGAGTTGATGTTCCCAGCTACCGTTGAATTACTGATATCCATCGCTCGTGAGGCTAGAATCTTTGTTTTGGCCACAGGGATCATTTCTACTGACTCCAGATGTCCCAGGCGGTCCTTGAATTGATGGAAGTATGTAGGCCCGTACTCAATTAAGTCAGAAAGGATCTTCCAGGAGTTGAAGTGGTCTGGATGTATGGTAAGCAGATCCTTCCATCCTTTCTTGGTTGCCGTGTCCGTTGAATCCACTTGCGGGTTGAGTAGCGATCTTTCCCACAAGGCTTTCGAGCAATGCAAGTTGTCGAGAGTAGTACCATGCTGTAGCGGAAAAAGGAGGCCAGCGGTAAGATGTTTGAGCGTATCTTCTGACTTGTCAACTGTATGAACAGTTGATTTAAGGTCCACATCAAAATTATCATATGCATAGGATGCGAGAAGGGTCCGCCCCAGAGCAGAAATGCCATGGTGAGCCTCCTTTGACAACGATGTGATGGCTGTATTGATCGAATCAATGGAGACACAGATTCCCATCCGTGATAGTGTCTCTATGACCTTTTGAGGTGCGTGTGTGGACTGCAGAAAGATACCAAAGATGCTTTGAAACGTGTTTGATTTTTGGTTTGCAGTTTGCATGATTATGCTGAAAATAACGACCTTTTTCTAGTAGAGGAGTAAGTCCCCCATTTTCATGCACATTTAATGTCACTCACGTTTATTATGATGCGCCATTATCTTTTCCTGTCTCGCTGATGCATCGGCCGAAACTCCCATTGACTGTTACAATAACATGTAACCGAGAACCCCTCCTACGGAGGTCATCATGACCTTAGCCCCTATCCCACCATATGCACCGTCTTGGAAAACTTACCGACTCAACGGAGACTCGTAGAGACGCCTAGAACGGCCTGGATGCCGTTAGATGACCTAGACCAGCCTAGGCTACATCTGATCGGACCTAGATGGTCCTCGACCCGGATCATGAGGAAGCTCTGCCTCATGGTCAGAAGAGAAGCCGCATGCCTCAGCATGCGCAGTTAAACTCAAAGGCATGCTACGCCTTGAGGACAGATAAGAGAGGCATGGTAAGCCTCATGTATAGATAATCGACCGCATGGCATCAGATAAGATGCCCTTGTATAGACACACTTACATCTACCTACCGAACGTAGTATTGGTCTGTGCACACGGACGACAGTATATAGAGCAGACAGAATCATGTATATTCCCTACTTGATTCTACTAGGTTTTATCCAGAACTTCCTCTGAAAGACAGTCCCAGTCCTTCAGTCTAAGCCGCACCTTAAGGAAAGCCGACGCTACCTTAAGTGGAACCCCCGAACCTCTCATTCGAGAGAAGATCCCCGTCTCTCCAATAGCGAGCCCGCTATCAGATTAGGCAATCCGCCTAGGGAGAGCTCGAACTATCCTAGTCCGTAACATTGACCCATCCAATTCTCTGTCACCAAACGCTTCCCAATAGACATCGTCTTCATCACTATCTTCCGGACCTTCGGTGCTTACTGCTATGCCAACAGACTTCTTTCCCGCGAATAGCAGCTTATCTAACAGACCCCACAGTTTTGGTGCGAGCCGCTGCATGCCTCTCCCAAGCAGATCCATATTAAATTCCTCTAGTTGTTCTACAGAGGTGTGTGACACAGCAAAATGAGAGCTGTGTTTCTTTGCTGACAGATCAACAATCTCCCGCATACATACATCACTCATGATGCCGCTTGCCCACTCCTGTGTCATTTGTGAGTTCCTCACAAGAAGCTCCGTGATGCGATGACCATTGGTCAGAAGATTGACCACTATTTCGTTGTTTGAATAAATATTATTGGACAGTATTTCGTTCAGGAATTGCGAGAGTGAGATGCCGATGATATTGAACGCTTCTGTGATTAGTGATGTGCGGGCCCGGCTTGGCCTGAAAGCCCCGGCTTAGGCCCAGCTTTGGGGGGCTTGGGCTTTGCAAAAGCTCAGGCCAAGCTGTGAGCCCAAGCCAGGCCAAAGCCGCGGCTCGGCTTGGGCTCAACAATGGCTTTCAAGAACAAAATGATCTAAAATTCAATCTAAGCATATTTGTAACGGTGAGCAATCAACGACACGCACATACCAATGTAAATTGGTACTCCGAGTCGCGCGTGAATTCACCCAGGTAACCAGGTTGAGAAGCTCCACCACGCCATTCCCAACACCACGAACACCATGCGCAAACGCCCAGCGCATGTCAGCAACTGCTGATATGGCTCAAATGAGTGCGGACGACAGACGTGAGTAGGAGGAGGGAAGAGGATGAGGAGATGATGTCAGGGTCACGAGTGCTGAGGTAGACCCAAAGCAGGAGTATGTTGTAATAGTAGAGGTACCAATCAAAGTATAGGTGATCGAAGAGAACGCATCCCCACTGTGTGTAATTGGCGATGTCGTGCTTATGACATTTTTTGCAACTCCAGCGAAGCTTAGAATCACACAATAAGGTCAACACATTCGGTCATAGCTCTAACGACTTACGGTGAGTGAAGAGTAGTGTTCACAGGACTTCCACACGGAGATTGTGGGATATGGGAAGATTGTGCACCTGGCACTGTTGTTGGAGAGCCTCCGGGGAACGTGGTTGGTAATGTGGGAGTTGGTGAATCAGAGGAACTAGTCTGCGAGGATTGTGGAGTAACGTTTTGGGGATTGTCTGAAGTTGACTGTTGGCTGGATGTCTGTTGCCCTGGAGTGGAAAGATTCATGACCGACGTTGTAGATGGAGAAGAGGTTCTCGTGGTCAATGTTTCCGGTATGGATGGTAGAGAAGTTGGTATAGATGAAAGTAGCGAAGTGAGTATGGAGTAGGAGGTGGTATCGAATGGAGGGATGTACATGGTTGGTGGATTAGCTGGACTGACCCTGTTTTCATAGTTACATGGTCGCAAATATCGAGGCCGATAAGGGACAAAAAGCCGCGGCCTGAGCCGCCGGCTCAGGCTTTTCAACACCTCAAGCCGGGCCCTGGGCTGTGGTCAGGCCCTGACTTGGGCCCGGCTTGGCTCGGCCTAATCAGGCTCGGCTTTGGCCGGCCCATGGCCTGAAGCTGGGCCGTGCACATCACTATCTGTGATTGCATCTATCTGATCTCCGAGGCGCATCTCCGAGGCAGATGGAAATAATAACTATATATATTTTAATTAACGTACATATACCTACTCGATTTTCAGTTTTTTTCAATTGCCGCAGGTCTTTGCCGCTGTGGCTGAGACTGTTTACAAATGTTTTCTTCCAGCCGCTGCTGGAGAGGTTGAGGAATAAGGTTGGGCTGGGTTTAAATTTTCACGCTGATGTAATATAACATAGATGTAATAGCACTCCGTCCTCTAACCTCTCCGGCTGCGGATGGGTAGGAGCCTGATAGTAGCCCTGGTTCATGCGAAATACAAAGAGCGTTCCAATCCACATTTCCACTCAGGCTACCCTACGAAAGCGTGACTCAACAGAAGGGCATCAACTGCATGATAATTAAGTGTGGCATGTTTCGGCGAGTGATTCCATCAACTTCTTCAAATCTCTAGATTTCTGATGGTGTGTCAATAGAACATCATCGCCTTCAGCCATTTTGCATCTGAGCCATCATTTTCTCATCTTCTATCTCTTCCAAGAATATCTACTTCGACCAATCAAAGCAGGAACGTTCATCATCTCCCGATCTCAAAATTTCGCTGATCTACGTACCGGATGGTGGTATAACTAGTACGAATGCCATCGTCTTACGTCCACCAAGTTCGCCTCTCACCCACACCCATTCTCTACCAATATGACCGTAGTCTCAGATGATCCCACTTGGTGGCCGGCCATCAATGCATATAGTTTGTGCAGCTATCTTATAGGTTCGTGGAGGGCAGTCAGATGTTGAAGCTAACTCAATCTAACCTTGACTGTGGTTTCGCAGTCGCCGCCTTTGTTGCAGTCATGTATGATTGGTGTGAGCATGATAACATTAAAAGACTGCTGACGTCTTACCATTATTTTCAGCACTCACATTTGGACAAGAGGTACGATGGTATGACCGGATCAGCCATCTCGCTGAGAATGGCTTTATAGGTGGAACTGATCTGGGTGAGTAGAGTTCGGTATCAGAGGAACACGCATGAAAATACAAATGATTCCAGGGACAACGCTGGTCCGTAATGACAGCTATGTATCTCGGTGTATGTAGCTTGTTTGTCGTGGTTGCCATGTTGTGCTGACTTGAAAGTATCCTAGGCGCGCTACCTTGGAATCTTATTTTCTGTGTACGTTCAGAAGGCTACACAATTACTGTTGCGCTAATCGTCTATCTTTCATAATCAGGCTGAACATGCTGAGTATGTCTCCTTAGTACATTTCTGTGCTTCTTCTGACCAATGACATATAGTCGGTGTTCCGACCGTCTCATTGACAGATACGGTGAGTCTTTTGCACAGATGCTTGCTATTCCCCTCCAATTAACCGTGATGCCCTATAGCAGTGGGTGTGGTTCTTTGCTAATTTCTTGGTCTAATAATGACTGTCACGCTATACTGCAACAGATGTGAGTCTGACATCTGTTTGGAGTGTGTGCTACCCGAAGCTGGTTGCTGGATGGATTTGTCAGGCTGGATTATCTACGTCGTATGGGATTGGACAGGTTTTGTGATAGTTGCGATGCTGTGGGGTGAGCTTTGCACTTGCGATACCTCAGTGATATTGATCTGACTGAAACATGCTACAAGTCATCATCATTACTCGGTTGTATGCCATGTATCAAGGATCCAGAAAGATCCTGATATTTCTCATTGTCACATTCCTGGCTATCAATATTTTCAACGGAGTGGTCACCATAATGTCAACGATGCATGCTTCAGAGGGTACGCTCAATTGTGGATGAACACAAACGTGCATGAGGCTCATCGATGAATGCCAGAGGAACTCATTCTCTCTGGCACTTATCAGTGCCAGATTAACTATGCAGAACGCATAATAGCTCTACTTTCCATCACTTGGATACTCGGAACTGTGTGGGAGGTCCTCGCACTGTGTCTTGCAGTTTGGATTGCGGTAAAACACTTCAGTGAACTGCGACAACATTCGGCAGGAGGGATTATCCAGGACTGTTTCACGGTGTTGATAAAAACTCACGTAGTTTACTTTGCGAGGTAAGCTCATATTGTGATTATTGTTCTTTTTTCCACTGACGGGGTCGGATGTGGTAGCTTTGTTACTGTTTCTTGCTTCCATCTCGCGGTTGATTTCTATCCAACAGTCTTCGCGGTATGTCAATCTTTCACTTACCTATGCACACTACCACAATTTATCGTTTCTATAGGGCGATTCCCTGGATGTTCAGATTATTTCTGGGTCTATGCAGATTGTCGCAGTCGTGCAGATGTTTGTGCTGGGACCGCGCCTGATCCTTGGCGTTCGAGAATACCACGCTAAGCTTGTGACCGATTCTGATGTAGCAACTGGTATGGCCTCAATCGCTTTCCAGCAGCGTGTGCATATATCGACCGGCGGTGGTGTGTGATACTCGGTGGAGTTAACGGTTGTCTGGTACCCTCCAAAGAGCAGGGAAATTTACTTTTATTTAATCTCACTTTCTTGAAGTATTGATTGACGTCATTTGGTGTCCCGAAGTAGATTTCAAGGAGACATACAAAGTTTTCGTCGTATTATTTAGTCAAGTGATTTGCTATATGTGCTGGTAATGTTTAAATCAATGAATATCTCTATTGGCACTAGCTGCCCACGCACACTTGCACCAACCACTGGTCCTTCTTTTCTGTGTGATGACAATCGTTCATACGATTGCTTAGGCAGCGCGCGAGAGGAAAGGCACAGTGCACCGCTTCAGTTCTTCAGCAATTCATACTCGATTCATCTTCTTGCCTCATTTAATGTCCTATGGATTGCTACCTTATTTTCTCAGCTGACTCACGCCCGGGCCAACTGGCCTACAGATGATGATCCATTCAAGGTGATCACAAGCACGTTCATGCATGCGTAGCTTAATGATGCGAGGCATACCTGAGTCAAAGCGCATAGTGTGACCGTGTCTTTTTAAGCTAGGTGGCCTTTGAGAGATATCCGACGGAGTTCTGAAGTTCTTTCAAAAAACGTGGTGTGGAGGAGTCGAAAGTGTTACATGTGCTCAGGTTGTAGCTCATGAGCCCATCGCGTCTTCTCTGTGTGTATTGATATCATTTGACCAGAACCTAGCCTTCAACATTATCGACGCATCCGCACCCCCACAGAAAAAGATTTCGGCGCGTTTTGTCGAGACTATTTGCTCAAGAGCTGCAGGACAATCAAGTTTATTACACACTATTGCTAGTTGATACATGCACACACTCTTGGAAAGCAATTGAAATCAGGCTAGGTCCTGCATCGGGGTCGATCATGCGTTTGGCGTGATATTCTCGAACACCGAGGATCAGGCGTGATCCCAGCACAGCTGACTGCACAATGATGAACATTTCAAGAAAGCCAGAATAAATCAGAATTATTGGAGAATATGGATCCTATGGAAAATAATGCATCAATGAAGTGTGGTTGCATGCGGAGGTCAGTGACACATTGACATACCTTTCCCATCGTTGGCGAAAGATAACCGATGGAGAGGCATAAAACTACAACGAAGCTGGCATATGCAGGACTTTAACGGAGAAGAGAACCACGTTCACGTTATCGGCTCACCTGACAAAGTAACTCATGTGAGTTTTCATCAACACCGTGAAACAGTCCTTAATAACGCCACCCGCTGAGTGTTGTCGCAATTCACGGAAGTGCTTTAGAGCAATCCAGACTGCAAGACACAGTATGAAGACCTCCCACACACCCATGATCATCCAAGGGATGGTGTCCAAATTTTTGGGATTTTCGACAACGCACTGATAGGTGCCAGAGAGAATAACTTGCTCTGGTATTCATCAATGAGCCCAAGGCACTCCAAGTATTCGATCCATAATTGAAGCTTACCTGCTGAAATATATCCCATGTTTATTGTAAGCATCACTGTGTTGGCGATATTGATGGCCGTAAAGACAACAACGAGAAGTACCAGAACCTTTCTGGATCGTTGATACATGGCATGCAACCGAGCAATCATGATGACTTCGCATGATGTTTCAGCAAAGTCGAGGTATTGCAACTGCGTAAACTCACCACCAAGGATTGCAATCAGGACCCACGTCGTCCAATATAACGCGAAATACATGTAAAGGCCTGGGACATCCAATCAGGGATAAGCTCACACACTCTAAAGAAACTCACAACTGTAGCAATCATGAGGGCGGATCAGAAAGCTGTTCAACAATGTCGCTCACCCCTACATGATAGTTGATTAGACGGGTACGGAAGGGAAAACTACGGAATTCTCACTGCATCTTTAAGCGGTATTATCTGAACAGCCACTGTGTGCCATTAGCCAGAAGGAACAAATAATGTATATGAGCAGACGCACTCTGTATGTTCATGCTGACGGTGAGAGATGGGCGATCAGCATAACACCGGATCTTAGCTCTCAAAACATACCCAGCATATATTACTCCGATGTAGCGCACCTAGGACATCATCACATCAGCTCAATTTGTTAAGCAAACTTACAGCACGAGCTACATACAGTGAGATACAGGACTGTCATCAGGGACCAGTGTTGCTTCTGTTGCGGATTGATAGTATTGTTTTGTCGTTCTTTAGACATAAGACACTCTGCTCACCCAAATCAATTCAACCTATGAAATTATTTCAGAGAGATTATCGTTCCGGTAATCGCATCAACTTACCTCTTGTCCGAATGCAAGTGCTGGAGAACCATAAGGATATCAACAATTGTTTCATACAGTCTTGCTCACCCCAATCGTATATTACGCCAACCGAGGCAGCAACTGCAAAAATGCAGCGAAGGTCAAATCAGCATATCACCGTTATCATCTGACTGGCTCTGTGCTAGTACAGACCTATAAAATAGCTGAATATAATATGCGAATCGATGAGCGGCCACCAACTGGGATCATTTGAGATGATGGTCATACTATTAGAGGATGTGTGTGGGTAAGTGGCGAACTTGGTGGACGTATGACGATGAAATTCGTACCAGTTGTATCACCTTTTATTGCCAACATGAGTAACGTATAATACCCGTCCATCCTTTGGTTGTACTGAAGTAGGAGTTTTTGTCATGACTCGCAGCCACGCACTGGAAGGGCTAGTGACTGATCCCGAATCTACACTGGAAGTTGGAACGTTCAAACAAAGACTAACTTGTTTCCATCACCATTCATCCGACTCATTTCGCCACTGGATCTTCCATCATGAAAAACCATACTAGTTCCCGTGTCTACTGCGGGTGGAGTAAATCATATCGCATCGCTAAAGAGAGTCAGAGAAAGTTTTAACCTGGGGGTGCCTGTGCGCAAACACACAGTATTTGGTCCACGGGGGTCGAGTCGTACTGTTATACCGGCATGTTAAACAATATAATCAGTAGAACTTGAAGCCGGGTAAGAACGTAGCAGTAGGTTCACTGCAGTGCGCCATCACTAAACCTAAACTTGTATCAAACCCTAGGCCTGATGCTCGGTACAGTAGATCATCCGCCAAAAAAATATTCATTCATTCAAATCCCCGGGCGTCACCGGGCTTTGTCAGATGAATTCGGCCTATACTAGTCCGCAGTCATGGTCATGTCCCATAGCTGTCGGGGACTCGGACCCGGACCTGGCATGACCGAGCGCCGTTATGGCAAAGGCATCAGCTTGAAGACAAATCTTAAACGCATATACCTTTTACCTGAGCTATCCACGTTATCCACCTATGCCTGTCAATTTCGGCCTTGAGTCATCGACCTAACTATTAACCGAGTTTTCATAGAACACTACCAGTGGCATGCGTCACTATCAATCTAATATTCCAGAACGTCAACGCCTCGCACGATAAGACTGTGCTCCTGTGGAGCACACAGTCACACCAGCAGATAGGACAGGCACTTGAACACCACTTGGGTTTCCTGAGTTGCGATTTCTCCCGGTGAAGAACTGCTCGCGAGTGGAGACGGTTATGGGAATGTTCATCTCTGGTCGATCAAGAACACACTTCCTGAAGCATTCAGGATGGATTTGTCATGCCTTGCGCGTCACAGTAGGGTGAAGTTTGGCCAAAAGCTCTGTGCGAAGGCCCTTTCGGATGCGGAAAAGGTGCGGACGACATTCGTCGTTGTTTTAACATTTGTGATGATGTTCGTAGGTCATCGAGCTTAGCCCTTCGTCTTGTCTCGGGTACGAATTGAAGCATACAGCGCTTCGCGGAGCACAACGCTATGATGATGCATTCAAGGTCTTCGCAATCATGCTCTCCAAGTTGAATGATGTGCCCGACCCACGGATACGACGTAAGCCCCGCAGAATTCAAGCGCCGACTTGAAGATGACTTGCAGAGCTACGCCAACAATATGTCAGTCCATTGGAAGTAGAAGATGCTATTCGACGAGCTATTCACGGCCGATTGGAAAACGCCCCCCTTCGTCTAATCAACACATCTACCGGACGTTTGTGCAATCGGGACACGCAGATCAACGCATTCACGGAGAGCACAGAGTACAAAGAGCTTTTTCATTCATTGGACATACATGCGCCCCTTCAAACGGAGCCTATCAAAGAAGCAGTCGCAAAGTACTTCAGCTGGGCCATGTTGTCTCATAGATGGGAAAGGACGGAGCCGCTACTGCACGACATTCAGGGCAGGGACATATACGACTTGAATCCTGTCGGAACAGTTGTGAAGTTGCAGAAGTTCTGCAAAGTGGCTCGCGATGGGGGGCAACGTTGTGCGTGGAGCGACACATGCTGCATCGACCAGAACAACAATGTTGAGGTCCAGCAATCAGTCAACTTCATGTTCGTATCGTACCACCACTCAGCGTTCACCATTGTCTACCTATCGGATGTCCCTCCTTCATCAGAGCCTGGCGCGCTCGCAAGCAGCACTTGAAACACGCGAGGATGGAGTGTCCAGGAGTTTCCTGCCCCTAAAGTTGTCCTCTTCTACCAAGCAGATTGGACCCCATATCTCGACGACCGCTCACGCAACCACAAGGAGTCTGCCAGCATCATGAAGGGGTCGAAAGATGCAACAGACATAAATGCGTCGGCGCTTGTTGACTTTCATCCGGGTACAAGAGATGCCCGAGAGAAACTCCGATGGGCATCAACACGTGTATTCTTGAATGGGTTTCAGAACTTCCTCTCGAAACTTGAAATTCCGCTTGAAGCTCTTGTTGACTGCAGCAAGGAGGAACTTCAAGATCGCATGGACTTTGGTGTTGCCGATATAATCATGACGTGACGTTGTTTGCTGTTGCAGGTAAACGACTTCATGATCAATATGAATTCGAAAGTTATGTTCACCAGCGGCATTATCTATTCGCAGCTGAGTCCGTACTGAAGGTAGCAATCGAGCGCTTCCCGCAGACTCCAGCACTAGTGCCACGAGTTTGGATGAGGACAGCTCGGAGTGTGTACGTGAATCTACGGAGAACTCCTTTCCGACGGCTAAAGTAATGAACTAGTTGATCTTCTCCTATCAAACTCGCTATAAAGACTTGAGCTGTGTGTCGACTGTCTTCAAGTAAAGTAGTAAGGTCGTTGTATAATTCAGCTGGCCGCATGGTGCAAGTATGGGCAGGCAGCTAGCACCAGTAGAAACATTGCACAGAGCTGCGTCTCTATCAGATAACATCAAATAACTCAAACAAGTACGTGAAATAGATACAAACAAATTCTCCCACCCCTGCAGACTACCCGCCCATCGCAAAAAAAACATATCGAGAATGTCCTGCACTAAACGCTACTGCTAGTTTCCACATGGACGCGTTCCTGGAAAGCAATCGAAGTCATAGCGCTAGTTATGTCGGAGTCGGCCACGAGCTTGGCGTGATATTCTCGAATGCTAAGGATGAGGCGCGGTCCCAGCACAGACAGCTGCATCACCTGAAACATTTGAGCGAAACCAAGATAAATCTGAACGTCCAGGGAATATATGTCCTATAGAATTGGTGAATCATGGATGCACGTAGAGGTCGGTGACAGATCGGCATACCCCTGCAAACGTTGAAGAGAATAAACTAGTGATCTGGAAGCAAGAGATGGCCAAAAAACTAGCACGTGCAAAACTTCAGTGGAACAAGAAAAGCATGTTCACGTTATGAGCTCACATTGCAAAGAAACTAACGTGAGTTTGCATTAACACTGTGAAACAGTCCCCCATGATACCTCCTGTTGAGCGTTGTCGCAGTTCACGGAAGTGCTTTACAGAAATCCGGACTGCGAGACACAGTGAAAGGACCTCCCATACAGTGCCAAGTATCCAAGTGATGGAAAACAGAAATAAGGAATCTCCCGAATTGACAAACACGCACAGATGAGTGCCGGAGAGGATGGTTTCCTCTAGTATTTGTCAATGAGGGTGGTGCAGTTAAATCTTTCATACATGATTAAAGCTTACCCACTGAAATATGGCTTATCGGTATTGCGATCATTACTGCATTGGCAATTCTGATGGCCAGAAAGATAACAACGAGAAATATCAGCATCTTTCTGGATCCCTGATGCATGGCATGCAGCCGAGTGATCATGATGACTTGGATGAAGTTTCAATCAAGTCAATATCACAGAATCAGGAAGGTGTATAACTCACTGCCTAGTATTACGTTTACAACGTCACCCGTCCAATTAAATGTGTCGTACATGATAAGGCCTGATAAATCCAGCAAACATCAGTTACTAGTTTCTGAGGATCACGGGCATAAAGCAAACTCACAACTGTGGGAGTCGTTATGTTGAATCAACGAGTTGTTCGAGAATATAACTCACCCCTACACAGTAGTTCAGTCGTTTGGACAGGAATGGGAAGCATCGGAGTGGAATACTCACTAAATTTGTCATCGAAAATGTTGGAAGATTGCCTGTATGCCTCACATCACAAGAAAGAAACAGAATCTATGCTAGGAGACATACCCAACATGTTGATCCTAATCGTGAGAGATGGGTGATGAGCGCAACACCAATGACTTAGACGTCGAAACGTACACGCCAAATCCTATTCCAAGATATCGTGCCTAGGATAATTTCGCGTCAGTACAAGTTGCTAATAATGCTTAAAAACATAAGCTACATACAACAAGATACAGAACGGTCATCAGCGACCAGCGTTGTCTCTGCCACGAATTAGTTGTGGTATTTTCACATCATTCTTTTGATGTGGGAGTCTGCTCACCCAGATCAGTTCCAGCTACATATAAAACTGCTGTCAGCGAGATGGCTGCTCCTGTAATGGTGTCGACCCACCTCTTGTCCGAACGTAAGTCCTAGAAATCCCATAATGTTAGTGGTCTTTTCATACTTAATCTCGCTCACCCCAATCATACACTACCGCAGCACATGCGGCAACTACGAAACAACAGCCAAGGTTAATCAAGTCATCACAGTTATCGTGCGGCTGGCTCTCCACGAACCTTGGAAATAGCTGCTAATAAGATTTGCATTGATGACTGGCCACCAACTGGGATCGTTCGAGACTAGAGTCATACTGTTAGAGGACGGGAGTGAGTGAGCGGGGAAATTTAGTGGACGTATAACAATCGCATGCGTGCTTAATATACGACCATCTAGCGCTTACATTACCGGATTAAGGTGCCCATGTCAGGGATGATATGATATCTGAAATTGAAGTGTTTCAGCATGATGAATCCAGGTAGAAATGTGCCATCGGGGATATATCTTCTTGCAACAGGAGCACAGGTCTAATTTTACGTGCTGATTAGTACGGACGCGACCAAAAGGAAGTCCTTGTCATAAAACACGATCACTGATGTTGTGTGGCGACGAAGGCAGTTTTTATTATACTTGACAATTGTGGCTGTGGTGTACCGGAAGTTCCCGAAGGTAAGTTTTGATATGCTGTGTTCTAATCCTCGATCGAGGCATTCACTTGATACCTGCCTTGTCGGAAATTTCTAATTTTGGTTGGCATGCCTTAAAATGGATTGGAAGGCCTCAATTTGCCGGCGGCATTACGACTCGCTTGGAAGACAACCCGAAAATTTTGGAAGCCGCTTGAAAGCGATATAGGGGTTCTTGCAAGTGGGTCCCAGGACCATTCCAATGCAAGGGCAAAATTTCGAGCAATATTTATGTACCCTAATTGGGACATCATTGCAAGTGACAAGGTCCTTCCAAGGCCTTAAAATCATCTAAGTCTTTTGAGCAAATTTGGATCATTTTGATTATTTAATATAATAACACTACTAATGATAATATATGAAAATGCCCCCAATCGCATTCCAATCATTCTCATTTCCCCCCAATCTCTCGCATTTTGAATTGTGGTCTCCGTCACAATCATAATTTTCTGGAAATGATAATCCCAACGGGGAGGGTTCAGTTGAAGACGATACAGATAGAAGATCAGTCTTACTAACCTTGGACAAATGAATACACACAATGGGGAGGCAGACGACGGTACCAAGCTCCAGGAGATGGGAGTGGAGGTAGACAACGGGGTGCAGAGGGCCTCAGGAGATGAGAGCGGAGGTAGACAACGGGGTGCAGAGAGCTCCAGGAGACGGGAGCGGAGGTAGATGACAGGGTGCAGAGGGCCTCAGGAGACGGGAGTGGAGGTGGACAACGGGGTGCAGAGAGCTTCAGGAGATGGAGTGGAGGTAGATGACGGGGTGCAGAGAGCTCCAGGAGATGGGAGTGGAGGTAGACGACGGGGTGCAGAGAGCTCCAGGAGACGGGAGTGGAGGTAGACGATGGGGTGCAGAGAGCTCCAGGAGACGGGAGCGGAGGTAGACGACGGGAGTGGAGGTAGACGACGGGAGCGGAGGTAGATGACGGGAGTGCAGAGAGCCTCAGGAGACGGTCCAGGGAGTGGAGGTAGACGATGGTACAACATCAATATTTGAGGAGACGTTGGGAGTGGTCCATTGGGAGGCAGATGACAAGACAGTCTAAGGGTGAGACACTTGCAACTAATTGAGAATGCCTGGACCAAAATTGGTCCAGGCTTTCAGTAATAATATCTTTAAAATCTGTCAATGAATCATGTCAGAGTCTGTCAATAATATGGATGAATTGAAATGAAAACAAATGTTGATTTGGACGTCATCGTCGACGACATAATATCAAACTACAGTGACGGTGGTTGAACAAGTTCAAGTCTAAGTGTCACAACAGCTGATTCATAATAACTTATTATATAATATGTTTGTCGTTGTTGTCAATGTCTGACATTGTCAGTACTCACCATCCAGCAGTCGCTTATTGGACTTCACAGAGCGTAATATAATAATTATTGTTTTTCTTCCAGTCAAACTGTCTGAGTGAATCACGAGACACATGTAAGCAAGTCACAATCATAGTAAGTATCAATGAATCATCGACAAATCAAAGGACCATTGTCAGTCTTAGACTAATACTATTATTTCTTTGCGCGGCCAGACCTTCGCACCAATGCCAGATCCTCGTCAGCAGCACCTAACATTAAATCCTCGGCCCTGGCTCCACCCTTGGTCTTGTGCCTTGGCTTGGGCTTGGGCTTGGGCTTCTGAACGAGAGCACCTGGACCAGACTCTGAATCGTTGGTAAGCATTCCAGGTGCCCGCGAGCCTGAATCGTTGAGTGCAGGCGTAGGTGGCAATAGCTCGCGGTCCTGTGAATCTGCTACAGCAAGACCTTGCATAGCCGCAGATATAGATTCAGGTGCGAGAATATTAGGTGCATTCAAGTTGGCGACACGACAGACAGCTGACGGTGGGGTATCTTCTTCGTCAGTGAGTGGTGATATGGCTTGGGGAGCATCAACTTCTGGCAAATCACCCCCCATTTCCATCACATGCTCGAAATCCTCTTCCCAGGTATTGTGTGGACCGCTGCTCACACCTACAAAGTCTGAGCCCAGAGCAGCTACAGAGGAAGAAGTAGCAAAGAGGGAATTGTTGAAGAAGGTGTAAATGCTGTCGGCCCAGGCGCCGCCGGTCATCAGAGTTTGATGGTAGTAGTTATGGTACTCTTTGTACGAGATTCGAGACTTGTCACCTATCTCGACTAGCTCTTTGTCGCCAGAAAGAATAAAGATAGCCTGCAGCCTAGTTTAGTACGTGTTCTGCAAGGTAGATTTAACGAATGTACAACAATTGCTGCTGCTGCGATGAGGCCTGGAGTTATGGCACGTAACTCCCATATCTTAGCTTTGGTTTTAGGTGTTGGAGGTGCATTGGCAGCTAGCGAGGATCGGCCAAAAAGAGACGCTTTCAAGATCTACTCAGACTATTCAGGATGTGTGTGTCAGAAAGGAGAAGAACGTACATAAACGAGCTTTGATGTTTTGAAAAAGTCGTCTCGGGAGACACGATCTGGACGAGGGAAGAGAACTGGTGCAAACTTCGTGTATGCACCTTGAGGGTTAAGGAGCAAGGCGCAACATGCAGGCTCCAAATCCCGTGCATACCCTCATATGAAGAACTTTGCGTCGAGATTGAAAATGGCGGCTGCGCACGACTTGACATCAGAAATCATTTCGGCACGAACACTATTGACGCCTTTGACAAACTTAAAAGACGATCAGCAGGAATGATTCACGATTCGTACACTGATGTACTACTTACATGGGAACCGAAGTTCTTATGGGCCATCATGTTGTGGTCTGCTGGCAGAATAAAAAGAAAGATTTTGGCTTTGATGCCATCCTGTATTGACATCGGAGAGAGCCACCGCTCTTTGTTTGTGAGATCAATCCTAGGAGGTGGCGCACGCAAGGGGAAAATGATGGTATCGACCCAGAGGCAGTGTGTGACAGAAAACTTGCATCCGTAGTTCTTGATGGTATCTTCCTTGGCGGCGAGTGCGAGGTCCTTGTTGGTGAGCTTTGTCTTCTGACCTTTTGAAAGTGTAGCCTCAAGGAGAGCGTTCTTCTTCAGAGCCTCCCGGTACTTTCCTCGCATATCTAGAAGTAGCCTTTGTGCAAGTTCGAGTGCCTAATAGAGACAATTGATCAGCTGCTGTCGTTCATTCACAACATAAAGACTTGCCTTGCGAAGATCTTCGGCTGATGCATTGAGAGGAGGTGCTGCAATTGCAGTATGAACATGCAATAAATCTGAATCATCGTTGGACTGGTCACTGTCTGAATCTGTCGAGTCAGCAGCGGAGCTGCTATCTATATTCTGAATATCTTGAGTAAAGTCTTCGCCTTGGGCGCGCTGAGGCATGGCAGTTTAGAGAATGTAACGAAGAGCAAGCTGGGAACATCTGAATTAGTTGAACACACTTTAAATCAGCGCTGTTCGGGTAGTGTCAGACCCTGTTGATGTAATAAGATGGTAGCAAAACACGTACCCTTATCAGAAACATAATATAACCATCGCATATCCACTTGGAAGTGATGATTAATGAACAAACTGACCTCGTGCTTCCAAGACCTTGCGCAGTGACGAAAGAGGAGAATGAGGGTGGCGGGTGTCTGGAGTACGTGGTATTGATATAAAAGGCAGGTTCAATAGGCGAGATTGAGAGTAGTGAAGGTGACAGATGCCGTGGAATTTGATGCAGTGAAGAGCGTAGATAAGCAAGTAGCTGCTCCAGGATTTGTTGGAGTAAGTGTCATCACAGATAACCTTGGATGCGAGCATGAAAGTGGATACGAAAAGATGGTGACTGCATCGTCACAGACAACCTTGGATGTGAGCATGAAAGTGGACACGAAAAGAGGGTGACTGTATCGTCACAGATAACCTTGGATGCGAGCATGAAAGTGGATATGAAAAGAGGGTGACTGTATCATCACAGATAACCTTGGATGCGAGCATGAAAGTGGATATGAAGAGATGGTGACCCAAAGATGCCCAAGTGGTGGGAGCAGCGAAATTGATGGAGGACTGGAGTTTTGTGTGGGGAAGGGCAATGCGACGAAATGAGGGAGCTTTGCTCATCAGTGGGAGTTGGATGGGGGTGGAGGTAATACCAGGTGCACAATGTTGGCATAGGCGATGGAATGGGGGAGCTTCCTTGCCAATGGGGTAGTACTCTGGACAAGCAAAGAGATGGGTGATGAGCCAGATGCACAACCATTAGCATATGCAATGAAATGAGGGTGCTTACTTGGGGATGAAGGATGCTCTGGGCAAGCAAGCAGACTGTGTCCAACGCTGATTTGTTGGAGTAAGTGTCGTCACAGATAACCTTGGATGTGAGCATGAAAGCGGATACGAAAAGATGGTGACTGTATCGTCACAGATAATCTTGGATGCGAGCATGAAAGCGGATACGAAAAGATGGTAACTGTGTCGTCACAGATGACCTTGGAAGCGAGCATGAAGGCAGACCGAAGAGATGATGGCCCAAGGATTCCTGCTGGAGGATGGAATGATAAGTTATATAAGTTTCCTTTGGACGCGAAGAACCATGTCAGTATCGATATAGTCAACAAGAAAATAATCACCATTGTTGTCAAAATTTGGGACAAGCAAAGCACCATGAATAATTGAATGAAGGGTGATGAATTCAGATGAAGCTGCGGGCCGTGCATGCAGACGAGTGAGTCGCAGGTCTCGATCTAGGAGGCGCCGACGTGGTGAAGCGTCCATGGGAAGAACCAAAGCGAGATCTAAGGTGCGGTTGCCAACAATGTGCTTGAACATGAATAATAATTTAACAAAGATATTTTTATCGCAGCCATCCTTGTCCTGCGTGCGGATTAGAGCACAGTCATGACACTCATGGCCATGAAAACTTGGACTGCATCGCAGATAGTTGGTGGTTAACTTCCAGGTAGCGGTCGACTCATATTGGACTTTGAGATAGCGATGTTCATGTATCTTTTGAAAAAAACGCAGTATCAGAGATTCAACTAAAACTTCAGAATGAAGGAAATTCACCAGGTCTTGCACTGAAAGTTTCAACCACATTATTCCGTCTGGTAATGGTATGTGGTGGGAGGGTAGGAAGTGATTCAAAAATGTTGTGAGCTTCTTCCTGAACTGGTCGAAGGCGCGATTTGACCTGTGTTCTTCCTCTACCTGTGCTAGGCTGGTAAGATTCCTCAAGGGCGAACCGATATGCAGGTGAGCTTCAAATGGCTCATTGTCGTTGTCGTTTTCCTCGAGTTCTTCCCGTGAGAGTGTAAGTTTGTGTCGTTCCTCGTCAAGATAGTCGATACGGCTGCGAACAAATTCGGCAACAAAGCTCTTATGATCGAGTTCGATAATCTATGGTATACACGAAGTTTAAGTTATTGATGGGAAGTAAACTTTCAGAGTAGGCGATGTCATACCTGATTAGCAATGTCCTTACGATTAGTCTGCCATAGATACCAACGCTTGATTGGTCCATGCTGCTTTTCATTCGGTCGAGTACTGAAGTTGCGAGTGGCACCTTTCGCTATGATGTCATCAAATATGTGCTTTGAGGCGTGCATTTTGGGGAAATTTCAGTTCTTAATCGTATCTGGATCAGTCTCATCGACAATTGCGATGTATTCCTATGATATAATGCTATTGTCAGTACACTACATTGACCGGAGACACGGAATCAACACAACATACTTCTAAATGCATCTGAAATTCCAAAACCTCGGCTTTTCCTGCTTTGATTGTGCTCTCTGTGTGCACATCGAGAGATACATACATGTCGATATGGAGATAACTCGCTATGCACCGTAAAAGTGCATAGCCAGCTTCATCATCCATGCGCGCCAGTACATTCTGGGTGGTATATAAAATTTGCTATCGAAATCAAATTTAAGTGGTCTGTCAATGTCAAATCAATGTGTTGTACCTTAGAAATGTCCCTAAGTTTATTACTGTCGCTGTAGGTAATGTTAGTAACTCAATCGAAATGATTCAAATTGCGCCATCGTGTGAAGGTAGCAAATCTATAGGCAATTGAATAGTCGGATTCAGATGGTGAGCAGATTGGTACGATAAATCAACTCACTGGTCATCAATCTTTTTCTCAGCACCACGTCCCAGAGCCGCTGCGTGTCGTTTAAGCTCACCAAATAAATGTTTCCCCCATTCCCCTATATGATACACGTGAAGGTGGTCCTGTGAGATCATTTCGTGTGGGTTGGAATTTGGGAGCCGCCAAAAGACATTCTACAATAAAGAAAGTCAGATTCAATCAAGAATATAATAATGAGTACCGGCCATAACTGGCCGAAGGCCCCGTTTTTTTAATGCCTCTTCTCCAGCCATTTTGTCCCTATTCCATAGTTCTACGCAAGCTTGTGCGTCTTCGGGCGTTCGGATTGGATAAGTTGAAGCATTGTCATACAGCTTATCAGATGGGACAAGGCAAATAGGACATGGGCAATGACAATTCGTCCCCCGTATCAGTGCCATGACACATCTATCGTTGACCAATCAGAAATTTGTCTACAGAAATTAGTATACAACATACTGTTCCTCATAGTCAGCAGATAAGAGCAAAATGAACGCATACAACCACCTAACGATACCATCATAACAGAGATGTGCATACCCTGTCTTGGCGTAGAGTATAATGGTTTCGAGCAGCTTAAAAAACCCTTCATGCCATACAACATGTTTGAGGTTCATGTACGACAGCTTGCCGTCCTCTTCAGAATCGTCGGGAACCTGTGCGAAAGAAACTCAGGAGTAACGAGACTGGTTTCAGTTCCTAAATTTAAAGATGTACTATTGGTAACCAACCGACCATCCGCCCACCACCAAGCCCGTCAGTGTTTCTAATGTCAACGGGCAAGTTTCCACAATGAGCGAAGACCGGATAAGCTTTGACTGTACCAGTGGAAGAGAGGTGCGTCTTGTCTGCATACAGAATAAATGCGAAAGGGACGGCGTTTTCAGGTAAAGATGACTGTAATACATGCAAGAAAGGGTATTGTTTAATGAATGATAGTACAAAAAATAAGTCATACTTGGACATTCCACCAGCGATCCGCAGTCCAAGGTTCATGGTAAAAGTGCTCGTAACGTGTCCCATCGTGTTTATATACCCGCTGCGCATCCCAAACGAAGTGCGGCGCCAGCAATGGGTCCTGTAATAAGTCCAAAGCCCAGTCCCACAATGGGCATGTATATACATGAAACACGAGGTCTTCCCATTTATGCCAGGTCGTGATAGTATGCTTCTCGAACTGTAAAGGTATTGGTAGCTACAAAAGGGAAATGCGACATTCTCCTCTTACAGGTGTCATCTGGCCAGTCGCCCTATCCCAGGCTACAGAAAAATCGCGGTGGGACTTGAAGGTAATGTTTGCTTGACCATCAACGATTCTCCAGATGAGTTGTAATAGCGCATCTGTGTGGTCCTTGTTAAGGGCAGCGTTGTGTGCAAGTTCAGCAAATTCAAAGTCTGCATGACAGCTGAATGGCTGCCAAGGTTCTTCGTCAATGATAGGCGGCTGCTGATCTTGGTTGTGTCTGAACGTAGAGAAAGTCTCGATGGAGGTTGCACGACCAGATTTTGGGTGATACTCCGTCTTAAATGTATCGAGATCAGAGTGAACCGAAGGTACTGCTGAAAGCGAGGATAGAGCAAGGGGTGTGGGAGCGTGAGATGCCATGCTGGAATCTGAACCTGCACCTGAATCATGAAAAAAATGGATGAGGAGCGCATTGTGATCAGTCAAAGTACATACATTGCCGTGAGTCTCCACTGATGCTCATCACATCAACATCTGGTACCGTTTCAAATGACGGGCCCACGATAAATTCATCGGGCACATTCTCTGCACGATCCTGGAATGACGTTGAAGGGTCTGACGATGGGGAGCCAATATTATGTGTCGCAGCCGCTTGTTCCTTGAGAAGACGCTTTCTCTTTCGACGTAACTCTGATGATTGTGTGGTAAGAGATATTAGTACTATTGCTTTAAGTCGATAGAAGCACAATTCACCACGTACCTTTCCGTTTGATTTGCTCCTCAACCGCCTGCGCTGCAAGCACTGCAAACTCATCATCATCCTTCTTTTTCTCTCGTCTTCTCAAACAACTTTGCTCGTGAGATCGTATCCCGCGAGATGAGAACGACTTATCGCAGTATTGACAATGAATTTGGTTGTTGGAGGCCGAGGGTATATTTAGTACATTGACAGTATACTTGCATCGCCTGGCTGGACCATTTGCGATGCTTCTGCTTGGCGCCATACAGGAGTGTTGTTAAAAATACAGACACAGAAAGGGAGGAGACAATACTGAGAAGATAGTAGAGGCAACAAATTTTATAAGTCGACTCGACGTTAGCATCATTCACCATAACTGTATTAACATGACAGTTAATATCGGCAACTTCCGACGAACTCAGTCTGAATCTTATGCACCGAAGCCTTGGAAGCAACTTGGAAGCGCTAAAAATACTTGTAAGCGACACGTGCATCCTTTCAAGCGCCCTAAAATAACTCACACCCTATGGGAATACGGATGCAATGTAGTTGTCAGTCATCAAATTAATGTCCCAATAAGGAACACTTGCAAGGCACCCCTGGAGATTTCCGACACTTCACCCAACCTTCGCCTATGGTCCTACTGATTTATTGCTGCTGCCCTCAATTGCACGTCCGCTAAATGACAACAACACGGACTGGAAATACACTTTGTACTGTCCAGTGTCCACTTGGCTATCCTGAGTTGTCGCTCTCATCAACCTAGCGTGGGCCCATTTTCAATGCAACATTCACAAGGACGTTCACGATGTGACTCTATGCAATGCTCTTCCATCGCATTCAAATTTTGCATGGGCACGCTGAATAGTACAAATGCGGCCAAAAGTACATACATGCGTCTAGGGATCAGCAGGGGTAAACCCCTGGGTATCATAAGCCCAACCCACACCCCTACCCCTGGAGGGTCTTACCCCTCAGACCAAGGGTCAGGGGTAACCCAGGGGTATTATAAGGGTACAAGGGTATCACAAGGGTACAGGGGTATTATCACCATCTAGGCTAGAAGATATAGTAGGCTGACTTTAATTTATGCTTCTTGAGTCCTAGCCAAGTGTGTAGATGAGACTCAAACCATGGGCAAGTAAATCTTATACATTATGAACCATCTAAACTAACTTAAATGTTTCCTTTGATTGTATTTCACTTATATCATACTCAAATAAGAGCTAACTCACAATATAAGATCCCAAAAAGCCCAATAACCATTATATTGTTGAGAACTTCAAAATTTTATACTTATCAATCACTCCTATGGTAATCAATTTGGGGATGTATTATGCCTAGGCCCAGGGGTACTACCAATTGTCCAGGGGTACAGGGGTCTCCAAATCCAAACCCATACCCCTACCCTCAAGTACCCTTACCGGAAGGGAATGAAGTCGTACAAAAGAGAAGGGGTTGGCTGTACAAAGGAAGAGCGGTCAAGTGATTTAGATAGGAATGGAGGTAATAGGGAATGCGACGATGAAGAGGCGATGGTGATACAGCTTGAATGCGAAGTTAATGAATGTGTGATGATCCAGTTTGGTGGTTCATAAGCAAGTAATTTGAATGAATGCACTGGTGATAGAAGATCAAGCTCGTCGAGGAGCTTGAGGAGCGAATAGCCGGATAGTGAGAATCGAATAGAAATCTTCCCTCCATCCGTAATCTAAACCCGCCCCAAGGAAACGTAGAGACCGATATTGATGAGATCAAGAATCTGAAAAATAAGGAGTGTGAGCAGCGCATTTCATGGCACGACTCGGAGCGAGAGTGACAGTGGTCGTTTGAAGCGAAGAAGCACGCGCAATGGCGAACAAACAAACGAGCGAGTGTGGGCGTCCTAATAAATACAGAATGAAATATGAATCGTCAGCAGATACAAGTTTGATGATCAGAAAACGAAAAAGACAGGTCAGGAGCGAATTCAAGGATGGTAGGGACGAGATAGCCGTTCCTGCTTGTATACTTTCGAACTCTGACATTTGCACTCGCTTGCTATTCACTCTCGTCATCCCAATTCCAATGCTGTTGATGGCTGCAGTACCAGATCCGCTTGAGCACAATGGAGTAGCTTGATCAACAAGCCAAAGTTCTGCTAAAGGTCCTCAGTGCGTGACTCTGGAATGGCTAGCGCGAATGGGGATGCTGAATAGTACTCCAGCTCCCATTTTTAGGGATGGCATTAGGGGCGAACAAGCTTCCACCAGCCGCTACGACCATGATAGCACTACCAAGATCGCGTGCATGAAGCTCAGCGTCGGGATAGATATCTCGTAGGTCGTCAAGTGCTCCTGTACGGCATATATATATATATCGCAGCAATAAACAACTTAAATAAGTACCACAACAGAACCTGGAATACATAAAAACAAATTCTCCCACTCTCTGCAGACTACCTGCCCATTTCAAAGCAATCATATCGAGAATGTCCTGCGCTACACGCTACAGCTAGTTTCCACATGGACGCATTCCTGGAAAACAATCGAAGTCATAGCCGTTGCTGTATCAGAGTCGGCCACAAGTTTCGCATAATATTCTCGAACACTGAGGATAAGGCGTGGTCCCAGCACAGACAGCTGTACCATGTACAAGATTTGAGCGAAACCATCATAAATCTGAACGTCCAAAGACAGTTCGTCCTATGGAATTGATGAATCACGAGCGCAGGGAGAGGTTGGTGACAGATCGACGTACCGCTGAGAGCATTGGAGACAATTGAGCAACATAGAGGCAAGCAATAACAACAAAGCTAGCATGTGCAGAATGTGAGCGGAAAAAGAGAATCGCATTCGAATTATGAGCTCACCTCGCAAAGTAATTAACGTGAGTTTGAATTAACATCATGAAACAGTCCCCGATGATACCTCCTGATGAGTGTTGTCGCAGTTCACGAAAGTGCTTTACAGCAATCCAGACTGCGAGACACAATGCAAGGACCTCCCATACAATGCCAAGTATCCATGTCGTGGGACCCATAAATAGGGAATCTCCCGCAAGGTTAATGATGCACAGAAAATTGCCGGAGAGAACAAGTTCCTCTGGCATGTGTGAATGAGCCTGATGCACTTGAATTTCTCATACATAATTAAAGCTTACCCCCTGAGGCATGCATCAGCTGTATTGCGACCATCACTGCGACGGCGATTCTGATGGCCAGGAAGATGACAACGAGAAATATTAGCACCTTTCTGGATCGCCGATACATGGCATGCAAGCGAGCAATCATGATGACTTGCATAGTATTTCAGTCAAGTCAATATCACGGTGGTGTAATTCTCACCGCCTAGCATTATATCTACAACATCGCCCATGCATTCCAGTGCCTCGTACATGGTAAGGCCTGACGAATCCAGCAACATCAGTTATCAGCTTCGGGGGATCACAGACTCGCAAGAAACTCACAACTGTACGAGTCGTTATATTGAACCAACTTGTTCGAGAATCTCACTCACCCCTACATGGTAGTTTAGTTGATTGGACGTGAATGGAAGGTATCGCTGTGGAATACTCGCTGCATCTGTCATCGAAATTGTTGGAACAGTGTCTGTATGCTGCCCGTCACAAGAAAGTAACAGAGTCCATGCGGACAGACATACGCAAAATCACGATCCTGAATGTAAAGATGGACGATGAGTATAACACAAATAGCTTAGACGTCGAACGTACACGGAGAATCCTACTGCAACATATCGTGCCTAGGATATGTTCGCGTCAGCACAACTTGCTGACCACGCTTAAAAACACAAACTACATACAACGAGATACACAACAGTCATCATAGACCACCGTTGCATCTTCCGCAAATCAGTTATGATATTTTTACATCGCCCTCATGATGTGGAAGTCCACTCACCTAGACCAGTTCTACCTATAAAAGTTGTCAGCGAGATGGCTGCTACTGTAATGGTGGCGACCTACCTCCTGTCCAAATGTAAGTCCTAGAAATCCCATAATGTGAGTGGTCTTTTCAAACTTAATCTTACTCACCCCAATCGTATAACACCGCAGCCAAGGTTAATCGAGTCATCAGGGTCATCATGCGGCTGACTCTCCACGGACCCACGAAATAGCTGTAAAAAATATTCGCATGGATGGTCGGCCACCAAGTGGGATCGTTCGAGACTACAGTCATGCTATTGGAGGATGGGGGTGAGAGAGCGGGGTAACTTGGTAGACGTATAGCGATAGCATTCGTGCTTGATATATCACTGTCTAGCGCTTATATCACCGAAGTAACGTGTGAGGTATATCTGAGATCAAAGTACTTCGGCATGAATTCAAGTAGCAAGGGAACGTGCATCCATATATCGATGAGATCAAGGTGGCAATGATTGATGGTAGTGGCTAGCGCGAGATGTGTAACGTCACAAAAGATCCGAGAGCTGTTTGTAAGATAGTGCCATATTTGAAGTCTTCTTTGGGTATAGTGAGGGTTCGGACTGCCTCGGCCCATCGACGACACCGGATCATTGATCTAACACACATTTGATTCGGCGGCACCCAAAGTCGACCTCGAGGCAAAAATCCACAATCTTTTGTCTAATTCATGTGCACGCTGATTAGTACAAATGCGACCAAAAGTACATACATGCGTCGTATCCAATTCCTTCATAAAATACGATCAACGTGTGGCGACGAGGGCAGTCGTACAAAGAAGGGTACAAAAGGGCGGTTGTACAAAAGAGGAGGGGGTTGTTGTACAAGGAAAGAGCGATCAAGTGATTTAGACAGGAACGGAGGCAATAGGAAATGCGATGACGAAGAGGCGATGATGGTACAACTTGAATGCGAAGTTAATGAATGTGTGATGATCCAGTTTGGTGGTTCATAAGCAAGTAATGACGGAATTGAATAAATGCACTGGTGATAGAAGATCAAGCTCGTCGACGAGCTTGAGGAGCGAATAGCCGGAGAGTGAGAATCGAATAGAAATCTTCCCTCCATCCGTAATTTAAACCCGTCCCAGGGAGACGCAGAGACCGATATTGATGAGATCAAGAAACGAAAAAAAAACAGGGAGTGTGAACTGCGTGTTTCATGGCAGAGCAAGAGTGACAGTGGTTACTTAAAGCGGAGAACGAAGGAGCGCATTATCATGCGTAATGGCGAACGAGCGAGTGTGTAGGCGTCCTAATAAATGCAGAATGAAATATGGATCGTCAGCAGATACAAGGCGAGAGACATGCGACACATACCTTTGACGATCGGAAAACGAAAAAGACAGATCAGGAGCGAAGGGATGGGCGGGAGGACATAAGCGGAGGAAATAGGAAGGACGTCAGAGTGTGAGGTGAAGGCGAACAAGACAAAATGTAAACAAAGTACCAAAACCAGGTCGGTTTTCAAAAAGGCGACAGCTAGAGAAGATTGAGAAACACAAGCGAGTAGCAACTTGCGAAGGCTGAACAAAAGAGACGCAAAGAAAGAAATACGTCAAGCGGAAAAGAAAGAACAACTTGGGGAAAGAAAGAACTCGCCAGATGAAGGAGAAAATACTCGCATGAGAGAAGGTGGCGCGTCCAAGGTCCGCGTCGATCAAACCACTGAGATTCAACGCACACTGCTGATCAAAGGTAGTCTCCAGACATATGTACATTGTAGACCAAGATAGCCGTTCCTGCTTGTTTACTTTCGAACTCCGACAATATCACTTGCTCTACTTACTATCTGGAGAGTACTTGGAGGCGGAACATTACTAGGAACATTGTTGAGAGCCATGCATGTCTTTTTCACATATATTTCCAAGAATTTAAATAAGTACCACGACAAGACTTGGAATAAATAAAAACATTTTTTACAGACGACCTGCCAATTGTAAATCACATCGAGTATCTCCCGTACTATACGCTTCTACTAGTTTCCACATGGAGGCGTTCCTGGAAAGCGATTGAAGTCATATTGCTTCCTGTGTCGGAGTCGGTCACGATCTTAGCGTTATACTCTCGAACGCTAAGGATGAGGCGTGGTCCCAGTACAGACAGCTGCACCGTCTGGAATATTTGAATGAGACAAATATACAATTGAACGCCAAAGGAATATTCGTTCTATAGAAATGATGAATCATGGTCAGACGTAGAGGTCGGTGATAGATCGGCATACCGGTAAGAACTTTGGAGAGAGAAAACTGATCTGGAGGGAAGAGACAACCAAAAAACTAGCGCACGCAAAACTTCAGCAAAACAAGAAAATCCATTCACATTATGAGCCCACCTTGCAAAGTAACTAATGTGAGTTTGCATTAACACCGTGAAACAGTCCTTCATAATACCTCCTGTTGGGCGTCCTCGTAGTTCACGGTAGTTCTTGACAGCAATCCAGACCGCGAGACACAGTGTAAGGACCTCCCATACAGTGCCAAGTATCCAAGACACGGCATCCAGAAATATGGAATCTCCCGGATACCCAATTCTGCACTTATAGATGCCGGAAAGAATGTATTCCTCTGGTACATGTCAGTGAGCCTCTTAAGCATTTGATATATAATTAAAGCCTACCCCCTGTAAGCTGCGTCGTCATTATTGCATTTATCACTTCCATGGAGATTCTGATGGCCAGAAAGACGACGAGAAGAAATATCAGCACCTTTCTAGATCCCTGATACATGGCATGCAATCGAGCGATCGCGATGACTTGCATGATATTTCAATCAAGTCAATATCATGGAGGTGTATAGCTCACCGCCGAGTATTATATATACGATGTCATTCGTCCAATTAATTACCTCGATCATGATAAGGCCTGAAAAATCCAGTAAAATTAGTTCTCAGATCATAGGCTCGAAACAAACTCACAACTGTGGGAGTCGTTATATTGAACCAACGAGTTGCTCAAGAATATCACTCACCCCTGCATCGTAGTTCAGTTGTTTAGACGAGATGGAAGGCATCGGTGCGGAGTACTCACTACATCTGTCTTTGGAATCGTTGGAAGACTGACTGTATGCCGCCCGTCACAAGAAAGAAACAGGATCTATGCAAGGAGACGTACTCAACATGTTAACCCTGATGGCGAAAGACGGGTAATGAGCGCAACGCCAATGGCATGAACCCCAAAACGTACAGAGAGAATCCTATTGCAACATATCGTGCCTAGGAAACGTTCCCATCAGTACAACTCACTAACCACAGTCAAAAATACAAGCTACGTACAGTGAGATACAAAACGGTCATCATAGACCACCGTTGCCTCTGCCGCGAGTTAGTTGTCATATTTTCCTTTAAGTTTTTCATGTGAGAATCCGCTTACCCAGATTAGTTCCACCTATAAAACTGTTATCAGCGAGATGGCTGCTCCTGCGATGGTGTCAACCTACCTCTTGTGCGAACGTAAGTCCTAGAAATCCCATGATGAGTCAGTGGTTTTTCATACTTAAATATTGCTCACCCCAATCGTATATGACCGCAGCACAGGAGACAACTGTGAAACCGTGGTCAATGTTAATCGATTCATCGGGGTCATGATGCGGCTGACTCTCCACGGACCTACGAAATAGCTGTAAAAAATATTCTGATCGATGGTTGGCCACCAACTGGGATCGTTCGAGACTAAAGTCATACTGTGAGAGGACGGGGGTGAGCGAGCGGAGGAACTTTGTGGGCGTATGACGATAGCATTCGTGCCTGATATACCACTATCTAGCGCGTATATCACCGAAGTAAGGTGCGAGGCACCATATCTGAGTTCAAAGTGAATTCAAGTAGCAAGAATGTACATCCATATACCGATGAGGCCTAGGTCAATGTGGAGTGGGTAGCGCGAAATGTTTGAACGCCGCAAAATATCCGAGAACTGTTTGTAATGTAGCGCCATCTTTCAAGTCTTCTTTGGGTATAGCGAGGGTTCGGACTGCAATGACACCGGACACCTAATCACACATGATTGATTCGGCCCCAAGTCGACCTCGAGGCAAAAATACACAATCTTTTGTCTAATTCATGTGTACGCTGATTAGTACAAATGCGACCAAAAGTACATACATGCGTCGTATCCAATTCCTTGTCATAAAACACGATCAACGTGTGGCGACGAGGGCAGTCATACAAAGAAGGGAATAAAAGGACGGTTGTACAAAAGAGGAGGGGGTTGTTGTACAAGGAAAGAGCGGTCAAGTGATTTTGACAGGAACGGAGGCAATAGGAAATGCGATGACGAAGAGGCGATGATGGTACAGCTTGAATGCGAAGTTAATGAATGTGTGATGATCCAGTTTGGTGGTTCATAAGCAAGTAATGACGGAATTGAATAAATGCACTGTGATAGAAGATCAAGCTCGTCGACGAGTTTGAGGAGCGAATAGCATGAGAGTGAGAATCGAATAGAAATCTTCCATTCCTTGAAGGAAGAATTTCCTCTGTCCGTAGTCTAAACCCGTCCCAAGGAGACGCAGAGACCGATATTGATGAGAACAAGAAACGAAAAAAAACAGGGAGTGTGAACTGCGCGTTTCGTGGCAGAGCGAGAGCGATAGTGGTTGCTTGAAGCGGAGAACGAAAGAGCGTGCATTATCATGCATAATGGCGAACGAGCGAGTGTGTAGGCGTCCTAATAAATGCAGAATGAAATATGGATCGTCAGCAGATACAAGGCGAGAGACATGCGATACATACCTTTGACGATTAGAAAACGAAAAAGACAGGTCAGGAGCGAAGGGATGGGCGGGAGGAGATAAGTGGAGGAAATATGAAGGACGTCAGAGTGTGAGGTGAAGGCGAACAAGACAAAATGTAAGCAAAGTACCAAAACCAGGTCGATTTTCAAAAAAAGCGACAGCGAGAGAAGATTGAGAAAAATAAGCAACCATAAGTAAGGAGCAACCTGCGAATGCTGAACAAAAGAGACGCAAAGAAAGAAATACGTCAAGCGGGGAACAAAGAAAAACTGAGGGAAAGAAAGAAATCAAAAGAACTCGTCAGATGAAGCAGATGAAACGATCGACAGAAATACAAGTACATCGAAATCCAAGATATACAAAGATGAAGCCAGAGGAGACGAGGAAATCAAAATCGAAGCATTGAAGATAGATGTTTACGAGCACTGCTCACACCAAACCATAGAAAGTGAAATCAAGCAAGCTGGAACGCACTCCCAAGCGTGACCATCCCACTCTCGCCAGAGAAAACAGGACTCGCGGCCCTCAAGCTCCCAAACGAGATCCTACGCGCAGCACGGCGAAGCGTGCGTGGACGCGCCTGGATCGCGAGCAGAGGTGTAGCAGGTGTACTCGGGGACAGGGAAGGCGCAGTCGCGGGAGATGCAAGGGACACTGCAACAGGAGATCCGATAGGAGACGACAGCGGGATACGCGACGGAGGCGATGGAGTCGCCTGTGGACACGGCAGTTCAGGACCAAACATCGAGGGGTTGCGCATGAGGTTGCGGCGGATGGGCTTTGGCTTCGTCATTGCCTTCATTTCCTCCGTCTCCTTTGGCTTGGGTTTCACCTTTGGTATGGGCACGGGGAAGGCAGGTGTAGATAGCGAGACGGTGGTTGCAGCAGTCTCTACACTCGCCGTCGAAAATTCATTGTCATTATCAGACGAGCTAGAGGAAGCCTTGGGCAGTGAAAAAGTACTCCGCCCCGACTCGCGTTTCTTGGACTGATCCTTGTGCACAGACGATGTAGTAGTAATTTGCGTTGGTGCCAAAACTGGCAGAGTCTGTCGTGCATGTGCGTCCGAGGATGCGATTACCGACCACGAAGGTTCCCTCGTACGGGGCTTCTTCGCACGTTGAGAACGTACTTTCTCCTCCTCGTCAGAGGAGATGGATAGGGAAGGCGCGTGTCCCTTGCGGAATTTAGGCTGCTTGATGGGTGTGGCTGCTTTGATTGAGGTGGTGGGTAGCACTCGAGATTTGGATGGAGGTGTCTTTGGCGGGGAGATTACGGATAGAGCGGGGACTTTAGGTTTTGTTTTTGAATAGGGTGTCTTGACGTTCTTCGTTGATGGTGTCCTTGGAGTAGTGGGCTGCGTAGGGACTTTCTTGACCTTTACACCGACAATGGCTGCGTCAGGATACCCTCCGCTATGGCGAAATTCGGCAGTCTTGAACAGATTCTCGCCGTCACCTTCCGGATCCACGCGCATCTCGCAAGAGCTCGCCAGGGTCAACGTGGACGATCTGCGCAGGGAGGACGGACGAAGAGGCGCTGATGTGGAAACGGGAGTGCCAAAGCTGGAATTCGAATTCGAGGACGCAGTAGACTTTCGAATATTGCTCTGAGAGGCATTGAGCGTTGATGAGCTGGGTGTCGAGGGAGCAAGGGAATGTTCTATTGGACGACGCAAATGAGCAGGGCGTAGGTACGGGTGGTGGAAAGTGTGCTCGTGTCGTTGGAGACGGTGCGAAAGGCTGCGTATAATCAGATAAGGGGATAGATCGGAGGGAACGACATACCGAGCAATGCTCTCATTATGGTCAGCCTTCGCATCGGTCATGAAATCCATGCTGGACTGCCTGTATAGTGGGTGGCGCTTAGGAGTATTTGTGGTAGGTTGAAGTACGTCTGGTGAAGTATCGTTGCGCTCAGCACATTTGCTCATATCTGCCGGACGATGTACATTGCCGCTGAGAAAGATAACGTCCTCGTCAATGATGGACTTCCTCCGCTCCTCTATTGCTCTTGCACGGGCCAGGTCAAGCAATTTAGCACGCGTCGCGGTGACGGAATGGGGCCAGTCATTCGGGCCTTTGGCAGCAGTGATACCGCGTGCAATCTTGTCAAGGAGGTTCGGAGGCGGAATTGAGCCGTTGAAAGGTGTGATAAGATGAGAAGGTAGCGCATCCAAGGTCTGGGGCGATTTTAGGTGAATTACTTGGCGAAAAGCGAAATTCAACACACCCTGCCAAGTAACCTAACCTCATCCTCCTTCCAGTCCAAGCTAGGGTCGTCAAAATCATAGTTTGAGCTATTCCATGAATCACAACTGTTCCTATTTGGAGCTGGGGGCGAAATGAAAATATGAGACGCGACTGGGCTACGAGAAGGAGTCCGTGGAGCAGAAGGAATGAAAGAACTTGTTGAAGGACGCGGTCTAGGAATATGTGGACGGGGGATGATGAGAGCGAGCGGTGAAACTTGAGCAGACATCAAATGAGTGACTGGCATCGAATTTATTAGGGAACGCGTCGAATGGCACCGACAATGTCCTCGTCGTCGTCGTCCGGGGAGAAACAATGACCATGAGGCATAAAATTACATAATCAAAGATAATTACTAGGTCCGACAACTCCGACCGAAGCAAATCATGGTATGAAATCAAGAAGCGTTGTGACTTATACGTACAATGATTTTTCAAACCGGCGGTACTTGTACTACCGCCCTTCTATCTATACGGCGAAACTTATTGTCCGGGCGCAGGCAGCTGATATCGGCGTTTAACTTTCCTATGCAGTCCTTGTACCCCACATCATATTCCCACATGCGAAGAATAGTACAGGTCTAGATCACCATAGATTGGGGTTAGAAGCAGCGGCAGCGTTAATTAGAACTTCATAGGGTACGAGAAAAATCACATCTCGAGTTCGATGGAAGCAGATTCGTGCTGAACCGACCTAGGTAGTGTGCTCACCTCGTGGGCTGTGACGATCTAGGGGCATCTAGATCGAGTTATGGACGAAATCCGGAATCCAATCCTTCGGTGCCATAGAAAACTCGCTGCTCGGAAGTAGCTTCCTGGTGAACCGGCCTGAGCGTGTTCACCGTGGGCATCAGGAATACTAACACGCATTCCTCGTTGGTGCAGCAGATCCATGATGATGATAGACATCAGTCCCTCGATAGATAAGCCGCTGCCTCTTGCCTTAGACTCGGTTGGGTTTGAGCTTGCAGTCCGTGCTCAGTCTAGTAATCCTAATATGCAGGCTGTGTCAATCTTCCAACACCTAGATCAGGGTATGTGCGACTTTGAAAATCCGATAATCAATGCCCCAATTCACCTTACTGCCCAAGTCAGATGGAAGCGGTGGAAACACATGGACACCCGAGTGCATAGTAGTAGGGACCAAAGGAGGGACAGCATGAACACATACAGTTACCCCACTGGTCTCTGCTACAGACTGCAGAAAATATCGAGAAAGTAGACCCATCACCAAATGTTCAATGCACTGGCACCAAAAGGTTGGTTTGAATTTGAAGTATTTTGTGGCCTGAAGTCGACGTAGGATAAATGTGAGGTTCTGTAGTGGCCTTTCGATATGGAGGATAGTATGGCTTAATAACCACAAGGTCTAACATCCAGCGCAGTGTCGAAAGATACCTAATATGCACAGTACACTCCATAAACGAAGCTGGTATCCCTCATACGTCACGATCAACCTTCGAGCCAAAATTCAGCCAATATCATAAAAAAATATTACGAATCACGAACTCACCTCCACACCAAAATCTTAATAAATTACGCAGCTTGCGCCAACTTCCGTTCTCTCCGTTCAGTAATCTCCGCACGCTTCTGCGCAAGCATAACCGCCGCACGTTCGTCCCACTGATATGCCCAATATCCAACGTAACCAAAAGCGGCCATTGACAGTGCATGTCCGCCGAGGTCTGCTCACGATATCAGTATCAGTATCATACCTGTGGCACAATAAATGTTGTGGTGAATGAGGGCACGCACTCTCCATGAGATTTCTCTTCTTTATTGCGAGCTGCCCGAAACGCGCTGCAAGACCGAATAATGAGAAACCAGCAATCGTGCCGAGGAGTGCCATCGCGTATCCGTTTGTTTTTGTGTAATTTCCAATGAGCAGGTAGAGTTGAATTGTGCGGGGGATGTCGCGAACGTCGAGCTTGAAGCGTTTGTTAACCGAGCCAAATACCGACAAATAACCTCACTTTGGATTGTGTGATGAGCGTAGCCAATAAAAAGTTTCAATTTCAATTGATATCCACCAAATTCTCAGAAATATCTAAACTTGTGGACAGATCGTCCAAACATTGCCCTGCAGAGCTCCCCGCCCACCTTACGGCGAGGTGGTTTAGAGGGCAAATCCCACCGCAGGGTCGACTTTCCAGGTACAGTCGTGTTACAGCTTAAACTGTGTGAACGCGAAACATAATTTTTGTTTGCATCTACCTAGTTCAAGTTGTATCATACAAAAATGTGATCTTGTTGTGAAGAGACCTTGCATGACGAAGAGACGTCGCCAAACCTCGTCAAGAATAATATTCTATGAATGGGCCAGTACCAATTCGAAGGACACAGTCTAAATCTTCTTGCTCATGCAATTGTTTCGACTAGGGCCACGCCTTCTCCTTGGGGTTGAAAAATACAACAAATACATGAAAAATCTTCAGGCCAAATCCATTCAAGTACATGTTTTCAAGTCCACCTGGGTGTCCTGCGACGAACGCTGGCGTGCGCACCATACGCAGGGCACCATACGCAGGGGAATCCTCGGGACGGCCGAATACGCGCTTCAGTTTAAAATCCTCGCAATTCAAATCCTTGTTTCGAAGAGAATCGCCACGTCTTCGACAGACTGCGTGTGTAAAACGGCAAAGTAGCGGGGTCACCCTCATTCGTGAGTCCGGAGATATATAGGGAGGGCAGGGGTCCTTTAGTATCACCCCAATGGACAGAAATTGGAAGAGTAAAAAAGGGTCGTCAACGAGTCAGAATCTTAGAAGCCTACAAGACTCCCGTGCGAGTGCGAAACATCTTGATTTCAGTGCAATTCACCATGCGATCAGTGCCAATGATGAGCGGAGATTAACACATGGTGTGGCTTGCAGCCTAGTTGAACTTAGTCTAGTAGAGGCAAAGGCCATACATCTGCATTTGAATGGGGTATTGTACGGCGGATCGATCGGGATCCGGGAAGGTAATTGTGGTCCACTATTCATCAAGCACAATGGGTATGTTACGTTGTATCCACACTTCGAAGCTGTTTTCAAAACAAACGTCCATTAGGACTTGAGTATAAAATACAGGCCATCGGTGGAGAACTCAAACATACTCTCCCGTATTTGATCTATTTCTCCTATACTCTCGGTGGAGACACTGTTGAAAAAATTCAGCGAACTGTGACTTTGTCCTACAGCCATCCTTTAAAAATGTCCGATAACATCCATGTGTGTGCTACACTCGCGGTGAGCACAATATCGTAAAATCCAGCGAACTGCGACTTACCAATTCCCATAGCCAATTAAAATAACTCAATACTATAGGATCGCACTGGTCCAGTTTTGGCGAGGCCAGAAAGAGCCCCTTAGGCCCTATCCGCTTCACTGGGTACTCTATGTCGAAACTGGTCCAGGTGTTGGCAACACCTACCAGATCGTAGGAGATCAGAGTACCTACACCTTTCGTATGACAATGAACCAGCCCCTTGCAAACAAGGAGGACTATCGCGGATGTTGTTATCTTGGAAGAGTCTCGGAGGCTAAGCTCCCTAGAATGGGGGCGATCCTCGCAAAAATTGAAGTCTTCCGAAATTGTCCCGTTTGGAACAGCCATGATTGGGTGGAGACAGCTTTGAGGACTCTCAGGGACTCAGGTTTTCCCGTCCATAGTGAAGAGGAGGTTCGGCACGGGCGTCTTCAAGATGAAATGCTCTGGCAGCTAGAAGATTGGCCTGGAATTGAGGGTGTCGTCGAATTTGTCGGTTACCAATATCTCGAGTGTGTAATACACTCGAAGTCCCGGAGGTTGCGCATAGAGAGTCAGTAGTGAACCAAGCGTTCCGGAATTAGAGGACGGAGGGTTGAAAGAATCTGACAAGTTAGTCTGTATTTGTTTGTAATTTTGTATCATCGATATCCAGCGCTCAGCTGAGTTGTGTCCTTCGGTTGCCATGATACCAGCTAGGCTGCCAAACTCGTGCAGAGTAAGTACCACAACACTACTGGTATACATAACACCGCACTCGATGAAAGTAAATATGGTGTCTGTGTAGGCGTCGGAATAGTGATGTCTCGTCCCGCGCGCCAAAGAGGATATGCGTTTCCGGACGTGGCACTGATCAAAAAAATCAAGCGCAAACTAGCTTTCGTCCGGAGTGAGCACAAAATACACACAGGAAACCACTGAGCTGAACAGAGACGGGCCTAAGTTTGTGAGGCATTCGAGGGACATAAGCATAAGATCACCCGAGTCGTAGACTGGCGCCGTTACGATAGTAGTAGTACAAGCATAGAAGGTAACATACTGCAAGGTGTTATATCCATTTGAGACGGATTCGGCACCGCCGGTGATCAACTGCAACGAATTCGGTTTCGGTGGTACGAATGATGGACAATGTAATGTTTCAAAAGCAGTCAGTCTGACCTTGTCGGGATTCGGCAGTATCCGAGCTGATAGGGACTAAAAGGTCAGTTACTGTTGAGTTACTGCCTTTCGATTTCCCAAATTCCTACTACTTACAATCACTACTCCTCTATCCTACCATTAATTCTCCAAACGATGTCAACTCCAGATACCTCTATCTCAACTACTCAGGCCTCGGAGATCATAGAGTCGGTTTCATCACCTGGTGTCGTGCAGGATAGCCTCCGTGATGCAAACGTCAAAGTACCCACGCAAGCGGAATTATCTACTGTAGAGTCAAAGTTGGCCACCGCGCGCTCGAAGAAAGACACTGGTGATGCTGCATTCAAAGTAGGAGATGTCAAGAGTGGTAAGTAGCGCATCCTTGGCATTGTTAATTAGTAGGTGATCCTTATATCGCGTACAGCGTTGCGATCGTACCATGAGGTGAGGATATGTCCAAAGACTTGTATGATGTACAGACGACCTCTGACGTAGCTACTACGTGAAGACGCTTCTGTATCTTCACGGCATCGATAAGTATGGCTGCACCATGTTAACTCATGTTCATACTTTACGAACTCTTAATTTTCCAGAAACGCCCTTAAATCGCTTGGATTGGCTGTCCCATCGTCTCCATCATCGATGTCAGCAGTAGACCAAGCTGCTGGTGCAAAAGATGTAACGACTGAGGTACGAACCCGAAGTCCGTCGATCGATAAAAGGTAACAGGAGGACTTTGCTCGACAGGCAGATATGATTCTGGAGAAAGTATACGCCAATATGTCTGCCTGCCATATCAAACAAGAGAACTGGAAGCGGGCAGTGGATACTGCTGACAAGGTTTGTTGCCCTCCAACGCAAATCTCTCTCGCTTAGGCTAGTTTTGTAGGCTCTAGGCAAAAACGCATCTAATTCTAAAGCACTTTTCCGAAAAGCAAAGGCCCTTGGAGAACTTGGATTTTTCGAGAAAGCTGAGATAGCTCTCAACGAGATCAAGAAGGTCGCTCCCAACGGTGTGTCGTTTTTTGAATTCTCTTTCGGGATATATTGTTGACCTACGAATATGTACTACTTGCATTCATCATTCAGAGGCGCCCATGGCCGACGCAGAGCTTGCGCGTCAGAAAGCGATGGACCGTGAACGGCAAAAGACTCACGATCAGAAAATGAGAGGTGAGATTTTCCTTTGTTCCTATTTTTCCCTACTGAGATTGGTCACGACGATAGGCTGGCTTTCACGAGAGAAGAAGCAGGCTGTGAGCGAGTAAACCTAGTCTGGAGCGAGGATATGTACAGCAAAAGCTCACGATACCACGTGTATATTGTATTTGAAGCGGACATCATGGTTTGTTGCACCTTAATTCAGCGAAGAGTATACACGATTCTCGACATTGGGGTCAATTATAAAAACTTGTAACGAAACTAAACTTGGACGCCGTGGCTAACATTACATAATTGCACATGGAACTTGCCATGGAGCTCGTTGAAGACCTCTTCAAAATCATCACCATGGCGGTTGGTTTATCGTCGCTTCCTACAGAGCTGATATGTCACATTCTACTCTTCCTCACCCCCAAGGACATTTGTCGCTGTGCAATTGTCTGCTCTTTCCCTGTGTTCTGTATTTTTGCGATGCTAACTTTCTGATTCACGTTAGACCTGCAAAATTGTCTGGGATGCGATTCAAAATTCGGTCCACATCCAGTACAAGCTTGAGCTTTATGCACAAGGCCTCGATGCGACCGATTCTACGAACGCAGACTCCATCGGCATTGCCAGCAAGATGCGTTCGCTTAAGAACTTGGCATCCTTGTGGCGGCCCGGTTTCCATGTCAATACCGTTTTTCAAGATGTGGTTACTCCAGACGAACAGTACATGGAGCCACAGTTCGTGAAATGTGGGACTTTATGGGTGTGGAGAATGAACGATCTTTTGATTCGAGACTGCAAGAAAAAGACCAAACCCCCTCAAGTGTGGCCTGAGCATGGCTTGTTCAAACAGGCACACACGCACAACTTGACTAGGCATTCAGTTGTTGTCGACCCACTGCAGGATCTTGTAGTCGCAATTTCATCGCCTCCTGCGTTGACTTGGGACGATGCTCGGCAAGATCAACTTGTCTTTTGGGTCGACTTCTGGCTGGCTTCATCCCAGCTTCCGCATCCGGACTCTGCGTGCACTTCGTTGGAGTGCAGACATACTTGTGAACCTGATACCTACGCTGTTCATATTCTGGGTAGGCCTGCAATCTGTGGAGATCGTATAGTTGTGCTCTATCACACGAAACATACCTTAGGGGACATGTTCACGCCCCACATGTTCATACAAGTCATAGATTGGAGAAAAGGACATGTCAAAAGAGTAAGTCCACTCTACTCTTGAAAACTCTGCCGCTTAGTTCAAGTAGCATGCTTTACGGGAACTAGGAGAGCAATTGTATACCAATTTACATCTAGTCGACAAACGCACGATGCTTATCATCAACTCAAAAGGTTATATACTCTTGTACACATTACAAGGACTTGATGGCTCACCTCGATGTCGAGCCACGTATCTCCTGCCGATTCTGAGACTTGGCCATTATCTATCTGCAGATTCGGCACCCATCTTACCATACTGTGTTGTTTATGCCTCCCCATCGTTCCACGGTACAGTAGCTCACCCAGACCTGATGCCCAGCTACGTACCCTCTCCGGAGTCACAAATTATGATTCTGGAAATTCTCCCTATCTCATGGCCCGTAATGATCGTCATTGACATGGCCATGTTTTCAGAAAAGGCCTTACGATCAGAGACGCCTGTTGATATTCCGTGGTCAGACTGGGGACCCAAGTATACATGGTGCTTTCCGCATCATCCAAGCCATCGAATCAGTGTGTTCGGTAGCAAAATGGCATATGCCCTTCCTCTAGATCATACTCCTGAACCTGGTCAAAGGGTGGAAGCGCTCTCCCCCGAGGGAAACTTCTACATACACATCTGGGACTTTAATAAACGACTCATTGCTCGCTCAGAAAATATACACGATCCCGATTCACCGGAAGTTGTGATACGCAAGCCTGGTCGGTTTGCTCAGTCGTGCTTTGATGAAGACCTGGCCTTTAACCGTCCTTACATTGCTTCTGTCTGCGCCGAGCCTTTCTCGATGCGCAACTTTGACAGGGTTTTCTTAGAACAAGATCGACTTACTTTAACGAGGGTGAGTGGTTTTTTGTGATTCGAGATACGGCGATGATTTACTAATATGGCAAAATCATAGTTACCTGTTGGTTTGGTTGATATTCAGGTTGTTTCACCCATATCGATGGAGGTTGGCTTGGAACATGAAAGGCATAGAGAAAAGCCACTGTAGTATAGTATACATGTTTCGGGGCTCCTAAGGACAAACTGGCGTTGTCGTTTCGATATAATAGCGTGAATGCGGATAGTATCATTGGTTGTGATTTGAATTCGATTATTTACCACATACGCGTAATCAAACTGTAATATTCAGGACGTTTCTCATTTACGATTGGCTCGGATCTTGGATTATGGTAAAGGATGCGTCCAGTGTTGCGCAGTAGATTATAGATGGAAATGGCATGTTGCTGTTGCTCGAGATGACCCGATAAATTTATCTCGCATAGCTTCAAATGCGAGGTCAGTCGATTTCTGGAATTCTTTGATATACATCAGCAAAGTGTCTATGACCGCGCAATGTCCATATCGTAGGCCATCGCAGAAGCGTATGTGTAATAAGTGTCCATATCCATGTCCATATTCCATAACGTAGATGATCATTAAAGTGCGATAGCGTCCATACCGCAGTCCAAAGTAAGGCAAACGAACACTGACAGGAATGTGTCTTGCCAGATATCACTAGCCGGAAATGGCCCGGCGGTAGATATCTTCATTGCGCAGTTGTTGGCGCGGGTGAAGAGGATGCACACCAGACAAGATGTTGCCAAAATATGGAGGGCAGGTGGGAGGCGGCAGAATATACTCCTGACTGAAGTCAGACGAACCCAAGTCACTCCAGTCGAAGTCAACATCCCGTGTCCGACGGGTGGCTATATGCGCCGGAAACCCAGCACCCAAAGGGGAGTTCGCTACTTGAGGATTCTGCATGGCAGATGCCAAAGTGGCTGCACCCTGCATATCATGAAGCTTGATGGGATATATTGGTTTTGGTGCGGCGATGTGCAGCTCCCTACTAGTCATGGAGTTCTGCTCGCCTATATAAGATGGTGGTCGACGCAACTTGGCCACACCATGGTTAAGACAGGGGCGAGTTTTCGAGGTTTTTATGGGTGTCCAAGTGCAGACCCTTCCTGCCTTTTGGCAACTCAGGCACAGTGGCTGCTCCCCGGAACACTGAGCTCTGTTGTCAGAGGTACGCCAGATATGATGATGATGGGTACTGCTCACTTTTTTTTTCTTATTGCGGCATTCATCGCAGGCATGAACAACGCGGGGTTGAGTACGTTTTGATCGTACTTGTCCAGCCAACTCGTGAGTTGAAGCATATGATCCCTCAGGAGAAACCGACCTGCGAGCTGGAGTGGATGATTCGCCAGAGGACATGTTCTGCTGAGTGATGAATGGAAGATCTCCAACCGGTGGGCAAGCCGTATTGCTGTAGTATGGCGCTTTACCACCAAGGAAATGTTCGAGTATGACCATGAGATTCTGGTGCCAATCTATCTCATCAAAGATGGGATATATATTTATGGCCTGGTCAACAGGTACCTGGACCGGCACTGACAGCAATTCTGGTTCAGGCTGGTTGAGGGAGCAGAATGCGGGGTAAGTCCTGGTTGACATGATGAAAGAAGGAAAGTAAGATAGGAGTCAAATCAAACAGCTGCGGTACAAATCCAAGACATTTAAACTTGGACTGCGCCGCAATTGCAACATCCAAGACATTTGGAACCTATAGATAGCTCGTGACCAGTCTGGCTTACAGAAGAACATGTACTTGTAAAGGCTAATGTCGGAGTTCGAAAGCCTGAGGACGACGCGAAGCACGTCACGGTACAGCGGAGTCAGCGCTCAGCAGTAGAAGGAACGGCTGTCTGTGTGTTGAATCTTGGTTTTGCAAAGTGAGGACTCTGGACGCGCTACCTTCTCACTTCAAGTCGAGTACCTTCATCAATCGACGGTCACATCTTGATTGAGTTCTTTCTTGAAGTTTCTTCCTTTGCGTCGTCATTCACTTTTTTTTTCTGTTCGTCCTGTTCGCCTGCCACACCCCATACTCTGGCCTCCCTCCTATCTCCTCTGCCTATCTCGTCCCCGCTCACCCCTGCGCTATTGACCTTCGTTCCCCACTTTGAGCGACCACCGTCTTTCTAGCTCGTACCATGAAACGCGCCGTTTACACTTCCTACTTTTTGGATTCTTTATCTCAGTACCGGTCTCTGGATCACCTCGCGTGTTTTTTTTTCACAGATGGAGGGAATTATTTCGACGAATGGCAGATTTCTCCGATTCTCCCTCTCCCAACTGGCTGCTCGCTTCTCAAACTCGTAGATGAGCCAAGAGGTACCCGCTCGGGAAAAAATGTACATGAGGCCACCTTACATCGTTAAGACCCTCCCAGACCCTCCCCCCCTCCCGTGGGAATTTCCCACGCCCAGGGGTATACCAAATTTGGTAAGTTCTGTGGCACCAAACAGCGGACGAGCAACGAACAATGTATTGCCAAACATCCTAGGCATCGTATATACGACTTTTAGATTTATAAAAACATTACTTTGTCTTCTTCTGAGAGCTGGTGTTGCTCCTGCACATATCACTGCAGAACCAATCTGCCTCTGGAGCATCAAGCAAACCAACACATTCAAAATGAAACTAGTATCAAAACGGAATCAGCCACGGTGATAGAAGCACATCGAAACAAGACAGGTACCCATTCATTACAGCTATCAAAACTGCATTGGACCATTTCTCCGGACTCCGGCCCTCGACACCAGCAAAATTCATCTTGGAATGGGTCATCAGGCTGAGTGTCTGCATCCGAGTCTGGAATGACACGATTCTTCACTTGAACCAAGCTGAGGCGTGCTGCTGAGGGACGAATCTTGATGGTGAGACGAGGTTTTGGTGCAGAAGGTACGTCTTGACTATCACTCGCATCAGACAAACCTCGCAGACGTTTACCAAGTAATATGGCAGATGATGATTGAGCAAGAGATGTTTGTGCCGATTCGGAGTCAGCCACAGACTCAGTGGTGTAGTGGTCCGTTGTCCGTTGTCTGTTCGGGTGCTCATTAGTCTACTCAATCCAGACACGACTCATTCATACAGAAACTCACTGTCGTAATGCCACTCTTGAACTGTGCTCTTCAGAAATCCGCAGCATCGATGTCGCTGTCATTTGCTTTCGTTTCCGAGCCTTCATTTTGAATTTTGTTGATATTTGTGTGCTCTCTTCGTTGTCAATTCTCCACAATTCTTCGAAGCGTGTCTTATTCGCTGATGGGTGCAGTATATCAATGTGACGTGACAGCGAGTATTTCCACACTGGAGCAGCATCACTGTCGCAATACGGGCAATGAAGCGGGGTGTTTGTACAAGGCGAGTGCTTTGTTGACTTGCGTGCATTCTTCAACTTGATCTTGAATAGATTCGGGCAGCGCGAGCGACTGATGTCGACAACTTCGGAACCTCCGGCGCCTCTCGCAAGTCGAATCTCGCATAACCCAATGCTGAGACACAAGCCGCAGACATTGTGCTTGTCTCGTAGGTCCTGATCAAATAAAATATGACCCCCATGTGCTCAATAAGTTTTGGGCCGAGTTCCTCAAATGCAACGGCCGGGCAGCGAAGGCAGCGATAACGCTCATGCAATGTTCCACGAACTTCTCCATCAACTTCACAGACAAAACATGCGGCCCCTATTGTTGTGCCCCTTCAGACGTTTCATGGTCTCGACGAGTTGGAAATAAGAGAAGAATGGGTGATTGGAATTCTCGTGGACTCCATTGTGCATACGTTTACGGACACCCATTATTTGCTCGTTGTTCTCCAAGTGGCGACAATCAAAGCAAGTTGTATGTTGCTTGCCGTGACGATCCAATACATTCATTGACACATTTTTTTGGCAGCTCTTTGAAACCAAGTAGATTGCATCATCGTGCACAACGCATGTCCATGGTAGTGTGTATCTGGTGTGTAGTCCGAAAGGATAACATCCATATGGTGACTGACCGGAAGGGATTTCGAGTTTGTATCCACTGCACGGTTGACAGGCTAAATTTTCAGGCCCACGTTTACTTGCCACCAACGAGCCACGAGATTTTACAGCAATGTGGTTAACTGGTTCTGGTACTATCGCTTTTGCTCCGCTGATAGAACACTGGTGAGTTTTGATGTCGCTCGATGTCAACACATACTTACCAGATTTGGAGGCTTTTTATCACCTTTTCGATACGCGGCTCAAGGAGAACCCCTTGAATGCCCAAGAAGCGGATGCTGATTTCCAGCCAGTTACACAGGCCATCAATACCAAGACTACCACGGCGCATGCATCGTGCGAGGTCTTCAGGTGTCTTTTCATATCCTAAAGCATTGTCAAGTGCCTGATTAACCATCTCCCAAGGGTCTTGATCTTCCTCGACTTCTTGCCTGGGATCGCCTCCAAAGCGTGACAGGAGCTCGTCGCTTGCACCAACTGGGATACTTGGAGCCAATCCCTTGGCTAAATTCCGCAGGTCCTGGATAAGCTGCAGTCCATAACCACATGGTGCTGATGTATTCGCCAGTTCTCGTGCTTCAATGTCAATGACATTATCATTGCACGATGGCAGCTGTTTGCTTGCTGGTGCAGCACTGAGTTTGGCAATTTGTGCCTCACCAGTGCCAGTTACAGGCTGCCAAGCTTTTGCAGGGCCAGCGACAGCAACTGATTGCATACTTACACTTTTTGGCTGGAAAAAAGAGGTGAGCATTCGATTGTTCTGAACTGCACTGGTGTTTTTCCGATGCTCAAGACTCTCAGTATGAGCTTTCCAATTGGCCTCGCCTCCAAGGCCGATGTTCACATCCCGGTTGCAAGAAGTGCAATTCCGAGAAGCGTTGACATCCTGATAAGATTAGGTTCAGAGGACTCATTCCCTGAGAGAGATTATTTCGTACGGTTGGCTGGGACACCTTTGCTTTTTTCTTTGACATGCTGGGTGTTCAGGGTGTGCGTTTAGGTCCCGATCAAGTCTCAATCAGCTCAATTATCGTCTGTCATCATGTTCTGCAATCTAAGACAATCTATATTTGATACAGTAATATACATTTGATGCTCAGACTGGTGTTTGAACCTAACAGGAGCTGTTTTGACACCCCCCAAGGTTACGCAAATAAGGACCTCTGGGGGACCCCCCCCCTCCCTGCCTTATGTTCGGCATTTCCCGAGCGGGTACCTCTTGAGATGAGCTTGATCTTTCATTCACGAGTGCATCCATGCTATTCCGTTATTACTTGTGGACCTCTGAACTGGAGTCATCACACATTCTTGAACTTCTCATTCAAGCGTACACCATCATTGACTCTTTCATCTCTTTCATTCCGGCTGCTTTCATTCCTCTCCACACCACTTCCATTTCGATCGTTCTTTCTCTGTACAACCTTACACTTTCCCTGTACAACTGCCCTTGTCGCTATACGCGTTGATCGTGTTTTATGACAGGGAATCGGATACGACATGTGTGTGTACTTTTGGCCGCATTTGTACTAACTGGAGCAGATTTCTCTCAAGGCCAAAAAACTTTGCTGACCTTGAGAGAAGCGTTTGTTACCAGGGCAACCTACCAATTGGTCAAAGCTCCATTTGAACAATGAAACGATATAATTGACTGGCTGAGGTGGGATCTCTGCTGTAGCAAAGATTCCTTCAACATCGTACTAGCACGTTGCCAAAATCACGATAGTTCGATCTTTTGGGGCGTTGAAACACTCTGCGTGAGTCACTGCTTTCCAAATTTATCAACAACTTCCACTTTGATCTCATCCATATATTTGTGGACGCACATTTCCTTTCTACATTCATGCTGAAACACTTTGATCAATAATATATTATGCCTCAAAGCTCACTTCGGCTATGTAAGTGCTGACAGGCGGTATATCAAGCACGAATGCGATCGCTATACGTTCACTAAGATCCCCTACTCGCTCACACCCATCCTCTTACAGTATGACTGTAGTCTCGAATGATCCCAGTTGGTGGCCATTCATCAACGCGAGTCTTATCTCCAGCTATTTTGCAGGTTTGTTCAAAGCCAGCCGCACGATGACCGTGATTGACATTGACCGTGGTTTCGCAGTTGCTGCCTGTGCTGCGGTAATATACGATTGGGGTGAGCAAGATTAAGTATGAATGGACCACTGACATTATGGGATTCCTAGTACTTGCGTTCGGACAAGAGGTAGGTCGACACCGTGACAGGAGCAACCATCCTGCTGACAACAGTTTTATAGGTGGAACTAATCTGGGTGAGCGGACTCTCACATGAAAAGAACGATGTGAAAACATGACAACTAATTCGCGGCAGAGGCAACGGTGGTCCATGATGACCGTTTTGTATCTCATCGTACGTAGCTTGTGTTTTCAAGCGTGGTTAGCAAGTTGTATTGACGGAAACATATCCTAGGCACGATATCTTGGAATAGGATTTGTTGTGTATGTTTCGACGTCTAAGCCACCAGTGTTGCTCTCATTACTCATCTCTTACAATCAGGATCAGGATGTTTCGTATGTCTTCTCGCATAGAATCTCTTTCTTTCTTCTGACGGGTGGCATGCAGTCAGTGTTCCGACAATTTTACTGACAGATGCAGTAAGTATTCCGCGCCGATGTCTTTCATTCCCGTCCAAACAACTGAATTAATGTGTAGGGGTGAGTGAGATTCTCGAACAATTCATTGGTTCAATATAATGACACCCACAGTTGTGAGTTTGTTGCGAGCCTGTGATCCTCCGAAGCCCATAATTAATGTTGCTGGATTCGTCAGGCCTTATCATGACCGACGCTCTTGCTTGGGCGTCCGACGTTGTAAATGTAATACTGGGCGGTGAGCTACTAGGCTACACACCTCCGTGGTACCGACTTGACTGAAATATCATCAAAGTCATCATGATCGCTCGATTGCATGCTATGTATCAGCGATCCAGAAAGGTGCTGATATCCCTCATTGTCATCTTTCTGGCCATCAGAATCGCCGACGTGGTCATGGTCGCAATAACGATGCCACAGGCTTCAGGAGGTAAGCTTTAGTTATGCATGAAATGTTCGAGTGCATCAGGCTCATTGCCAAGTACCAGAGGAACTCGTTCTCTCCGGCACCTACCATTGCACCGTAGACTATGCGGGAGATTCCCTATTTCTGAGTTCCTTGACTTGGATATTTGTCGCTATATGGGAGGTCCTTGCACTGTGTCTCGCAGTCTGGATTGCTATAAAGCACTTCCGTGAACTGCGAAGACACTCAACAAGAGGTATCATCGGGGACTGTTTCACGGTGTTAATGAAAACTCATGTGATTTACTTTGCGAGGTGAGCTCATAATTTGAATGTAGTTTGTTTGTTTCGCTCACGTTCTGCACGTGCTAGTTTTTTTGCTTTTGCTTGCTTCAATATCGGGTTATTCTTTCCAACAGTCTCAGCAGTATGTCGATCTGTCACTAACCTGTATGTACGCCCATGATCCATCAATTCTATAGGACATATTTCTCCTGGACGTTCAGATTTATTATGGTTTCACTCTAATTTTTGAGATGGTGCAGCTGTCTGTGCTGGGACCACGCCTCATCCTCAGCGTTCGAGAATATCATGCAAAACTCGTGGCCGACTCGGATACAGCAAGCGCTATGACTTCAATTGCTTTTCAGGAGCGCGTCCATGTGGAAACTGGCAGTAGCGTTTAGTGCATGACATTCTCGATCTGATTGTTTTGCGATCATGATGGGCGGGTAGTCTGTAGAGGTGTTTATTTTGTTCATTCCAAGTCTCGTCGTCGTGCTTGCTTAAGTTATTTGATGTTACAAATTACAAGCAACTCTATTATTCATTCAATATTGATCAAACAATCAAGCACGAATGTGATCGTTATACTGCGTTGAAACAAATATAGATAAATAAGGTGCGGTGTCCAATTAATCAACGTTGCAACTAGTGTTGCGCAGTAAACCAGGCTTTACATATACGTCCGTTCCCCGGCAACTTGAATGTAAGCGGTGGATGGTGGTATATGAAGCGCGCAAGAAGCGCGAATGCAATCGTTATACATCCACCAAATTTCCTCCTCACTCACTCAGGCTCCCATCCTCTAATAGTATGACCCTAGTCTCGAACGATCCCAGTTGGTGGCCATTCATTAACGCGAGTCTTATCTCCAGCTATTTTGCAGGTTTGTTCAAAGCCAGCCGCATGATGAACATGATGACTCTATCAAAACTGACTACGGTTTCGTACTAGTTGCCGCCTGTGCTGCGGTAATATATGACTGGGGTGAGCAAGATTAAGTATGAATAGACCACTGACATTATGGGATTCCTAGTACTTACGTTCGGACAAGAGGTATGTCGACACTATGACAGGAGCAACCATCTTGTTGACAACAGTTTTACAGGTGGAACTGGTCTGGGTGAGCGGACTGCCACATCAAAAGACCGATGTGAGAATGCCACAACTAATTCGCGACAGGGACGACGCTGGTCCCTAATGACCGTTTTGTATATCATTGTATGTAGCTTGTGTTTTAAGCGTGGTTAACAAGTTGTACTAACGGGAACTTATCCTAGGCACGATATCTTGGAATAGGATTTGTCATGTACGTTTTTCTATGTCTGAACCATCGGTGTTGCGCTCATTACCCATCCCTCACAAACAGGATCAGGATGTTGTGTATGTCTCCTCGCATGGACTCCGTTTCTTTCTGGTAACAGGGAGCATACAGTCAGCACTCCAACGATTTCGACGACAAATGTAGTGAGTATTCCACACTGATGCCTTCCATTCCCGTCCGAACAACTGAACTACCGTGTAGGGGTGAGTGAGATTCTCGCACAATTCGTTGGTTTAATATAATGATTCCTATGGTAGTTGTGAGTTTATTGCGAGCCTGTGATCCTCCGAAGCTGATAAGTAATGTTACTGGATTCATCAGGCCATATCATGTCCGACGCTGTTGCTTGGGTGTTTGACGTTGTAAATGTAATACTGGGCGGTGAGCTATACACCTTCGCGATATTGACTTGATTGAAATATCATTCAAGTTATCATGATTGCTCGGTTGCACGCTATGTATCAACGATCCAGAAAGGTGCTGATATTTCTCGTTGTCATCTTTCTGGCCATCAGAATTGCCAATGCAGTCATGGTCGCAATAACAATGACACAGAATTCAGGAGGTAAGCTTTAATCATGCATGAAATGTTCGAGTGCATTAGGCTCATTGCCAAGTACCAGAGGAACTTGTTCTCTCCGGCACCTATCATTGCACCATAGACTATACGGGAGATTTCCTATTTTTGAGTTCCATGAGTTTGATACTTGTCACTGTATGGGAGGTCGTTGCACTGTGTCTCGCAGTCTGGATCGCTGTGAAACACTTCCGAGAACTGCGAAGACACCCAACAAGAGGTGTTATCGGGGACTGTTTCACAGTGTTAATGAAAACTCATGTGGGTTACTTTGCGGGGTGAGCTCATAATTTGGATGTAGTTCTCTTGTTTCGCTCAGTGACGTTCTGCACGTACTAGTTTTTTTGTTTTTGCTTGCTTCAATATCGGTCTACTCTGTCCAACGCTCTTGGCGGTATGTCAATCTGTCACCGAACTGTATGTGCGCCCATGATCCATCAATTCTATAGGACACATTGTTCCTGGACATTCAGATTTATTATGGCTTCTCTATAATCTCCGCGACGATGCAGCTGTCTGTGCTGGGACCACGCCTCATCCTTAGTGTTCGAGAATATCATGCAAAACTCATGGCAGACTCCGATACAACAAGCACTATGACTTCAATTGCTTTCCAGCACCGTATCGATGTAGAAACTAACAGTAGCGTTTAGTGAAGGACATTCTCGAACTGATTGTTTTGTGATGGGCGGGTAGTCTGTAGGGGTGTTTGTTTTTGTTCATTCCAAGTTTCGTCGTGGTGCTTGCTTAAGTTATTTGACACAAGCAACTCTATTATGCATCCTGCACATAGTAAATATTGGTCACCTCCGTAGCTAGGCGGAACATCTGAAATATCTAAGTCTTTTGCAATTTGACAGGGTACCAAATTCCCACGATGCGCTAAAATGCCTCACTAATAAGATCGAGTTGTGCTCTTTCAATTCCTACCACTTTGCACCTCCTTCGACTTCTTGCAGCTCGAAGCTCGAAGCTCCGCCAAATTAGCGCAGAATATTACAGGTCCTCGACTGCAAGATATACGATTTACTTGGGAACGAATGGGCCATCGTGATAATGTTGCACTTCTGTCAACCTGCCCAACAACATAATGCACATCGTGTGCGACCTCTGTGGCGCCTCTTGCATGTCAAGTCAACTCGAAACCGTGCACTCGACATCCATACATTGAAACCAGAATTGTACGGTGAAACAGAATCCAGATGGTGTGCCTCAGGATTGTCAAGACGCAGACCAATATTAGTCAGAGCGTAGTAAGCCTAATTTGTCTACGTCTTGACACCCTGTTTTTCTCCATTCTTTTGCGACGATCTGGGATGATTCCGTCTTCTATCTATCACCCACTGGCAGCCCAGGAAGGATCAACTATATTATGGTCGGCACCCCCCACGTCGTTCCGCTAGGGGAAGACAGTTCCCACGGATAGTCAAGTTAGCTGTTTGGCCTGCTGCGCACACCTGTGAACGCCTACAAGATGAACTGGCAATCATTGGCGATCTGTATCTTGTGTTTGAGTCAAATCTGTCTCGCAGACAATGGCATGGTTATGTCCATGGATGATGGCATCACTCTTGCCGTAGGGAACATGCTGTCGTATCTGCACTTTACGCCAGGAGACACTCGTGGGTTATATCTTCTCACCTACATATAATGAACTCTTCTAACAAGCCTGGATACAGTTTGGTTCCTTGGCTGGGTTCCTAAGAGCTCGGGAGCCATGGTTGGCACATGTTTCGCACTGTTTATGTTGGCGGTGATCGAGCGCTGGATAGCGGCTTGTCGAGGAGTGATGGAATTCCACTGGAACCAACAGTACGTCCTTTTCCTTCTTTTGCATAGTTTATTTCTTACGCATGATCAGGGCGGTTATCATTGCGTCGGACAAACTCAATACTCTACCAACTCGGTCATCTCCCATTGGATTCATAAAGCGCTTCACTCCCCCCTTTATTCCTGCGCATGATATCTCACGTGGGGTCATGTTTGCAGCGCAGACGCTGCTGGATTACCTCTTCATGCTGACAATTATGTACGTTGTGTCGCTCTTTTTGGTCGTCGAGCTGTTGATTTGCTGGGCGTGGACAGGACGTTCCAACTAGGTTTCATATTCTCACTTGTGGTGGGGCTCGGAGTGGGAGAAGCTCTCTTTGGAAGGTTTGGTAGTGTTACGTGTGCGCATTAAATCTATGCACGTCCGTTTTCGTAAGTATAGAATGGCTGCAAAGTATTGACTTCCTCGTCAGGCATGCCAAGCTAGGATAGTGTATCGCTAGTCCAATTGAAGCTCTCTCTTAAGTTGAGCAGGCGGAGCTGTGTCTCTGTGACGGTGGCTCTCAACGATGCTGGAAGATGGACCAATCGTGGTACCATACACACAGATAATCCAACGCTTGTGATTGAGCTCGATGATTGCTCCTTGAATGATACCATGTTTTTCCGCGGTAGTGGGTAACGAGTGTACGGGCGCCGCCCGCCACAGAGTCAGATTTCCAAGTGACTTTGATTATTCGAGAGTGATAAAATATGTTGCGTCATAATGATACGTAAGAGGCAGCGCGAAGACCATCTCTTATAAGCGCCTGGGTACTACTAACCATCGATGAGCGTTGGCTTGGTCCAAGTCGGTATGTGAAATTTCACGTCCATGTTCCCGGTCCCGTGACCAGTGTGACCTTGTCGGACTACGTTAGCGGCAAGCTTGTGAAATCGACAGCGCCTCTGTCATCCGGTAAAACCTAATAGGAATCAAACTGAATTCGGGATGCGAATATCACAAGGAAGGCTGCTCGCGTCCGACGTAAGCCTGTTTGAGTTGTTCCGTGCCATCCATCTAAGTAGCGTCCGGTTGTATCCTCCTCTCAACTTCACATGGGCAAACAACTTCCTGCATCCGAGCTCAAGCGAGACGAGTCCCTTAGAGTTGTAGACAACCGCACTGGGAAGGAATACACCGTCCCGTGCGTCCCTCTTCCTCAGAATTTTGACTTCGATTGACACCATACAGGATCACCCACAACTCGATTCCTGCGAACTTCTTCAAGGGCATTCGTGCTGCTCCGGGTCCAAATGACAGACCTGAAGATGAGACAGAACGTGGTTTACGTGTCGCTGATAGAGGTTTTCTCAACACAGCCGTGATTGAGAGTCGTATAACATACATTGACGGCGACAATGGGATATTGCGGTACAGGTACGCACGCATCCTTCTCTTGTCACTATACCACTCATCAATTTTTGTAGAGGCTACCCAATTGAGCAACTCGCCGAACGCTCCAGCTTCCTTGAGGTTTCTTATCTCCTCATATATGGCGCGTTGCCCAGCCCGTCCCAATTGTCCCACTTCACTAGCGAGGTCCTCCTCCACGGGCCAATACATTCTGATGCAGAAGGATTCTTCCGCTCATTTAGGTACGATGCTCACCCCATGTCGATGCTTACAAGTGCTTTTGCATACTTGGGAAGCTACTATGGGGAGGCAAATCCGAGTCTGCAGGGTGAGTTAGTAGACCTGGAGTATTCCCTCATTTTGGTGACCTTTTATAGGGCAAGATTTGTTCACCAAAGCTGCCAAGGGTGATCCTGCTGCACTCCAGAATATGGATAGGCAAATATTCAGGCTGATCGGTAAAGCTACCACATTAGCTGCGTGCGTACTAGTAGTTGTCCACTTCTTCGTTCGCTGACAATAGTACATGTAGCATGGCATACCGTATCCGCCAGGGCCGTGATTTTGTTGTGCCTCCGACAGGAATGAGCTATACAGAGTCGTTAGTAACCATTTCACTAGCTTTGCATCATTATATCTCAAACTTTTCACACGCAAGGTTCCTCTACCAGCTCGACCATCTCTCACCTACAGATCACCTGTCAGAGTCTCACTCAAACAAGCCACATCCTGTACTTGCGAAGGCACTTGACATCCTTTTTATCCTCCATGCCGACCACGAGATGAACGCGAGTTCGACAACCGTACTCCAGACTGGGTCATCGTTACCTGATCCGTTCAGCGCCGTTGCGGCAGGTTGTGCATCACTGTAGTGAGTACTGTTCAGCGTCTTACTGACCCTACCTCTCGAGGCTTTTCGAGGTGGTGTTGCCTTTAATGCACTTCTACTCGTACTTTACCATTTTTTGTTCATTTATGAGCTTTCGCTTCATGTTGATGCTGACGGACTCCTCTCAGCGGCCCACTCCATGGAGGTGCGAACGAAGCTGTTATTCGGATGCTTCTTTCCATTGGCAGGTCCGTTTTTATAGCAACTATTTTTTTCGTCTCCTCACATCTTTATCAAGTCCCAAGAACGTCCCTGCCTTTTTAGAAGCGGTAAAGAAGCGCCAAAAGGTGCTAAGTGGATTCGGCCACAGAGTATATAAAACTGTGCGCAGTCATTCTCCTATTGTTTGCTGTCCTGATGATTTTTGGTAATCCGCAGTCTGACCCGCGCTCATTTATCATTCGTAAGGTGGCTGATGAGGTGTTTGCTGTGTAAGTGTTCATCATTGCGGCGAGACTGTGGGATTGATATTTGGATCAAGGACGGGTCGTGATCCACTGCTTGATACTGCGATGGCTCTGCATGATGCAGCACTGAAGGATGATTACTTCGTATCGAGGAAGTTAGCTCCGAACGTTGATTTCTGGAGGTGAAATCTATCTTTGTCCAATCATCGACATGAATTGACTTTTATCTATCAGCGGGTTGATCTACCGTGCAATGGGTAAGTACCAATATTGTACGAAGACGGAAAATATGTAACACGGTAACGGATAGGCTTCCCGATGGACTTCTTCCCAGTCCTGTTCGTCGTACCCAGAGTTGTGGGCTGGGTTGCACATTGGCGACAGGTGCGTATACCCTTCGTCTTCTTCCATTCCACGACTCATTAGTCGCTTATATGCAGATGATGCTTTCTCCATCGGGAGTCAAGATCTGGCGCCCTCGACAACTTTACCTTGGCCCGTCCACACGTGATTATGTACCTCTAGATGAGCGCACGGATGCTTTCCAAGTTGGCGTTGGCATGGAGCCGAGCGTGATTGAGCATTCAGGGTATGTGCAATCCTTCATGGTATGACAGGATACTGATTCACTGGGCAGGATGACGAAGAGGCGGAAGTTGGCCGAGGCTGCTGGAAAGGTCACAAGCAAACTTTGAGTGTGAGGGTGTAAGATTTGTCATTACTCATATACCGTTGAATGCCAACGATGTCTTGCGATTGTCGAGCCTTTCCGTAAAGATTCTAAAATATCCTGTGCGTAAGTAGTCCAAGGACGTGACTTCGGCGATAAATTTGTCTCAGTTTCTGGAACGCGATCTAACACCGTTCGGTGGTCAATGTGTTACATCTTCGCATCGCCATGACCTCATAAAAGTGGCACCGCATTTTCATAGTCCAATTGCATTCGACCCCAGTCACAGACTAGATTCGTCAAGATCAAACTCTGAGTCAGTTGCGGCCCGGAGCTTCGCACCAGTAGGTTATTCGAGACAAACAAAATAGAGTAACAAGAGCAATTAATCATAGGTATCGCTTCGAGATATATGCCCACATACGCACGCTATCTACTATTGTCCATAATTATTCCAGTATTGAGAGAAAGCGTGTCTCAAGGGAAACTCTAAATGAGGCAGGCCAAACGAGACAAGACTCAGATCTCATGAGACATCCTAGTTCCTGTATCCACTACGGGTACTTCACATGCCGCAGTGACAGGATTTAGTTATGACCATCATTGAAAAACAGCTGTGATTTCAAGTACCTGCTGCTGCAAGGAATCCCATCCTGAAGTTGTTTTCCCGTTGCGTCGCGCATGCTTGCTATTGGATATCATCAATTACTTGTCATTCAAAGCAGAAGAAGCCAAACTTTGAGGCACTGTTTTAAAATCTTGCATTCATCTCGTACCTCGGTCAACTTGTGGTACGCCGTGTACTTGTTCAATTCGACACGAACGTTTATGAGCCTTTCTGAAATGAGAAGGTGACATACGAGACAAATACAATATATGCACAGCACCTGCTGAACTCCTGGCTGAATGACTTTTGTTCTTCGTCAGTGATCAGGTCGGTGTTACAGGACAGGATTGTGAGAGAATCTGTCAGGATCTCTTCGATTTCTTTGAGGATTTTCTTTGGGGATGGATTATGTGGCCAGCGGAAATGCATATGAACTTCAGTAAAGTCTTGGAATAGGTTTGTATAATGGGTGAGTGCTGAAGTGTTCCTCCGACAGGTCGCATATTTCTATTCCTCCAGGGAACAACAATGAATGCTGGTTTAGTTGTTGTTCAACGTTGAAACTTTTTCACGGGACTGCAGAATAATAATGATATTGGTAGGCAAGGAGATAGAAGTCCCGGCGAGGACCCACAAAGTCGCCCACGAAAGAGACAAGACTGTAATGTAGAGCTGTTGTGGAAACTTGTGCATTTCTTTGGAGACGGGCTAGTAGTTCTCTGACTCTGAGTGTCTATGTCATCTCCAGCGTCAGTAGTAACGAAGATGAGCGAATTGATTATTGAACTCACATGCAGTACATGTGCACATGTTTGATTCACAGATATAGATTAGTTATTGATTGTTATTTCTATATGAGCAAGATTCAACTCACTAAACGCTCAGGCCTGTGGGCCGTAGGCGCTTGAGCCGCCCCAACTCGGGGTGTGGCTGACTCAACTGTTGATTGTGATGTTCATAATTAAAGCTGAATAAAATACTCAGACATCAAACACAAGATGTCCAGTACTAGACCTTGTGGCAGTGACACAAAGACCACCGTGACTAGATGTCATGATTTGCCTTCTCGGTCAAAAGTTACGCTGCGAACTGTAGAATCTTCATAGTACGTACAAGAACATATCAGAAAACCCCTCCCATGCAAACCTAGACATGGATGAGAGAAAAAAATATGTCTGTACTGACTTAAACGAGAGTTAGAAGCCTTGGCTGTGTAGATCTTTGTTCTGTTGAAGAATGTCCGAGTCAACCTTACATAATGTAGAACATCACCGGCACCGAACAATAGCAGGGCCCTTCTCCCTGTACGTAGCGTCCTCGCTTTTAGCTTGACCAGATTTTGATAGTCCTTGCGCATTGTAACCTGCAGGTAACAATGAAAAATGTTTGACGTCACGGTGGTGAATGCAGCGGGGTTCTAAATAATATTGATTGTATGCTTGACAAGTTGAGGCATGCCATCCGGAACCCTCCATCTCTCTCTTCTCCTACTTTCATCGCTTCCCCTTCCGCGTATACCCCGACCCTCCTTACAAACACCACAACACGCGAATTCACAATATGTTCGCTACACTCTTTTCAGTCACTCTCTTTGTCGCACTTGCCATCCAAGGCGTATTTGCTGACCTTACGATTGACACTCCCAGCCTCACTCAGGTAATCCGTCTAACTATGCATGACCTCTTAGGGTGCTGACTTACCTGCGCCAACTTGAAATTAGTGTGGAAGTGTTCAAATCACTTGGACAGCGTCAAGCCCTCCCTACAGCCTTCTTGTAGCTCCCGCAGATGATCTCTGTGGCGAGGCCCTGTGCGTTTCTTTGAACCTCTTCTGGCTCATGCAATCTTACGTTCTTGGTATGCAGCGTTGACCTTGGTCAACAGACCGGTCTTTCATATCAATGGAACGTCGCCCTTGCTGCCGGTACTGCAATTGTCCTTTTCATCGAGGATTCCCAGGGAAATGAGGCTTGGAGTGGAACTGTGAGCGAAGTGTTTTCCTTTATTCAATGAGGGATTTTATTTAACACAAATACCAGATGACGGTGGCAGCTAGCAGTGACTCGTCATGCCTGACCAGCACCACCTCATCTCATAATGCATCTGCCGTTTCTGGCACGCTGTAAGCTTTCATGTCGACAAATTGACATGCGTGAAGCTAACTCCTGCATTGACAGGCTCACAACCCCTGCCGCAGCTGCTGAATCCACAACTTCTCCATACTCTCCCGCTGGCGCTGCTAATGCGGGTCTTGCTCCCTCCGGCGGTGCCTTGTCCATCCGCCCTCTCAGCGCTTTGACCTCCGTTGGTTCTGGACTTTTGGCCCTTTTTGCATTAGCTCTATAACAGCCTTGATACCCATCCGTTTACGACGGGTGATACCCCGCTGGCTGATTTATTCAAATTTACAATTATCCTGGCGATATCACGAATATATTTATCTTAGACACGTCCTTCCACGCACGGAGCTGGATTTTCTTTCCTTTCTTTTTTGATTGGTGATTTATAGTAGATGCTCGAAGTATTGCTACTATTTCACTAGACGCGATGAGTTTCATATCTTGGTCGACTGTAATTTGGAATCAATCTTGTATTATGTTTCTGTGGGCCATTTGAGGTCTTGGGAGGCCCGTCTGAGTCTAGTTCGAAATCACATGTTTGGAACCTGACCGGGTTTCACTACAAACTAATTATTATTGCTAGTACGCGGGTCCACTAAGTCATTGGATATACCATCCGATGTAATAAGTATAGGGGAATGAATAATTCATCCGCCAGCGCTCCGCCAATATCGTTATGTAACCTCCTTCGAGTTTATGTTTTCAACATCGATATCGATCTGCGGTCCGATTCACTTGATAGTTATACGAGATATCGGGACAAATATAATTTTCAACTTACATAATACAGATACATATATATGTGTCACAAATAACTTATTGGTATAAAGTAAGTAACCATCGAAGTGATAAAGTAGCGGAGTGTGAGTTATGGAGTACGCTCGCAGCGCTTGCTGTGTATGCCCGCGTACACAGCCGGAACGCGGGGATCCTCGCTCAGCGCTCATGGCCGATAGAGTACTGATATCTAAATGACGCAATATAACTGGATGTGGTGTATCAGGACCAAAACCAGGGTTTAAGGCACATACAGGAACTGACCTCAAGCCTCAGGGGAAGTGGAAACCTCCACATGTTCAAGTCCGCGCCAGAGCTCGCCAGATCTGCGAGAGGGTACCCCTCCGTCTCGTGCTACCTCTTCGTGCTCGATCCCCTCCCAGAGCTCACCGGACCGCCGGGAAGGAGCAAGTCTGCCTGATGAGACTGTTAGTAAAAGATTCCGACTAGACATGTTTGAGAGATCACCTTCTGCAATGGCTGTTTGTGCAGGTGCTGCAGTGACCCTCTCATGAACGTTGTTCTTCCACAGAGCACCAACAGGGGTAGCCCGGGCAGAAGAAGTAGCGGTGGTATCGGTGGTCACTGTCGTTACTGGAATAGCAGCACCGAAAACAGAGAATGTGAGAGCAAGAGCGACTGTGAAGCGAGTAAAAGAAGTCAACATAATAGTAATGAAATTAGGCTAAAGATATGTGTTTGTGTGGATGAAGTTAAGATTAAAGGACTGTGAGGATCTAAATGGTTGAAGTCTTCAAGCCATTTATACGAATGACTTTGCTTGGCAAGCACAGTGCGAGAGGCCCCGTTGACAACCAGTACGAGTCATATCGGGTCAATTCTACGGTGAAAGCACTGTTCATGCCGAAGCAATGATCACTCTCATGAACGGAACAGGCAGTGAGTTGTGAACAAAACCTGTTACGAGAGGCATCAACGTCACCTTTTCATAGAACGAGGCAATCCGACAGCCTCCGCCACAGATTTTACAAAATTCATTCTGTACCTATCGCACGGAGCCGACTGACAGAAATAGCGCTCGGGAGCATCGGTATGAAGGCTCAGCGTTCTGACTAGGGCTTGATGAAACGCCTCAATCGCGGTTGTCAGGGGATAGTAAGCCATGCGCAGGTGAAGAGGCCCTAGCGCGTGCAGAAACTATGTTCCTCGGTGTCCTGACAGATTAGCAGGTGATGAAAGGAGCTAACGGACCGAGCAGTGTGAGCAAAAGGTGACGGCATTAATAATGATGCCATCTGACTCGAGAGATGAAACCCCTGCCACAAGAGTAGTCAAGACCAAGGTGTGATACACTGCCAGCATCCTCCGAGTCAGGCTGTGTCCAGCTCACCATGAACACGAAACCAGTGTTGATGTCTAGGTTTGCTAGTCAGTTGTTGCAATGATTGTGAAGACCAAGAACGGAAGATCCAAAGAGGCCATGATTTGAGAAAGCTGTAGTACTAATGTTGGGTACAAGTGCTCAATGGAGGGCGGAATGATTAGTTAAACTTGGGTCAATCAATACTTTGTACTTTCTAATTTTGGTATGCGGTCCATTATGTAATCATATCAAGCGGAGTCCTAACGGACTGTGAAACCTGGCGGCACGCTAGCGGCCGCATCGCACCAACGATCGTTTGTATCAACAGCATGATGACGACGGTTGCAATTGAATTCTTGTCGCTTCCGACAGAGCTGATATGGCGTATTCTATCCTTTCTTACTCCCAGGGACCTTTGTCGCTGTGCAATGGTCTGGTCTTTCCGTGATTATCATACATGTTTATCCTATGCTAACTTCCGTTCAACGCTAGACGTGTAAAATTGTACGGAATGCAGCTCAGAATTCTATCCACGTCCAATACAAGCTTGAGCTTTATGCTCAGGGCTTTACCGAGACAAGAAATCTAGACTCGATCGATGTTGACAGCAGGATGTCCTCACTCAAGAGATTGGCAACCTTATGGCCATCTGTCTGCCACGCCAGTACTATTTTCGAAGATACAGTGCGTGTCGGGAACCACTTATTAAAGGTACGCGACATGAAATGCGGGATTTGGTGGATGTGGGTCAATGGCAATATCTTCATTCGGGACTGCAACACAAATATCAAACTCTCTCATTCGTTCCCCATACACGAGCAGTTCTTCCAGGATCGGTTGCCGAGGTTGGTGAGAGCGCTCGTCGTCGATCCTATTCAGGATCTTGTGGTCGTAGTCCCCTTTCCTGATCTATGCATCGTGACCGGTGCCGAGCAAAATCGCCATATCTTTTCGGTGGATTTTCTGTCGGCTTCATCCCTGCTGCCACATCCAGATTCCTTGGATGCTTCTTTGATGTGCCAACATTCTTTTGAGGAATTTGGCCATTACCGCGCTGCTTTAACGGAGGAGCCTGTGATATGCGGGGATCGTATAGTTGTTTTCTATTGCATGATATCTCATCCACCAGGAATAGTGAGGCCCAACCTGTTTATACAAGTGATAGATTGGAGGAAAGGGCAAGCGAAGAGTGTAAGTTGACTTTACTTTTCAAACCCTGCCGCTCAGTATAAGCAGCATCCTTTACGTGAAGATGTTGCGGGTTTCCATCTAGTCGACGAACAGAAGTTTATTGTCATCGACACCCAGGGCATAATAACTTTGTACACATTAGAAGAACATGGCTCACCTCTGCGCCGAGTCATGTATCGCCTTCAGGAATCCGTGCGTGCGCCGTACTACCTATTTCATGCCACCCCATCGTTCTATGGTGCAACAGCTTGTCCGGACCTTGAACCCGGCTACGTGCCCTCTCCGGAGTCACAAATAATTGTTTTGGAGACTCTCACAAACGCATGCCCTGTTATTCTAATCATCGATATGGTCATCTTCTCAGGAAAAGTCTTGCACTCAGAGACGCCTGTCGAAGTTCCCTGGACGGAGTGGGGACCCCAGTATACGTGCTGCTTTCGGCATCATCCAAGCTGCCAAATCAGCGTGTTTGGCAGCAAAATAGCCTATGCTCTTCCTCGCTATGTTCATCCTTGGGAACTCAACTATAAAGTCGGAAGAAGGCAAGCGCTCGGCGATCATGATCGTTTTTATGTGCACATCTTGGACTTCAATCAACGAGCCATCGCTCGTGCGGAAAATATTTACGACCCCGACTCACCCACCCACTTTATATGCAAGCCTTCTGATTATTGTCATGCACCCGCCATTTCGACTCGTCCTTACATCCTTACCGTCTGTCGTGCTCGATTTTCGCCTATCTGCCTTTCCGGTTTATTCTTGGAACACGATCGACTTACTCTGACATGGGTAGGTGTCCTTAGTTATGGATTTAGCGATGGTTCAACTAGGCCAAACCATAGTCGCAGAATGGCACGGTTCATATTCAGGTCGTTTCTCCTGTACGGGTGGACCTCGATTCGGATCTTGTGCACTAGAATATATATCAGCAGTCGAGGGTGGCGGGGGTTACGATGAATGTTGTTGTCATTTTCTACAGGCTAACCCCGCCAGTCTTGTGTACTTCATTTATTCCCGCGGTTCGTATTTGGGGCAGTGTGGATAGAAGTGTAAGTGGTTGGATCTCGCTAGTTGGATGCCATCCTCATTGAACAATTTTTCTACGAGAACCAGGTGTGGGAATGTTCAAATAATACTTTTCAATCCCTCGATTCAGTGCCCTCCTGGAATAAATGCTTCTTTCATTGTTTATCGCGCAAGGCACGCAAGACTCGTGCTCAATCATCACTGCTTTAAGAATCGACGATCTTGTCATGAACGGCGTACTCAAATAAAAATCCTCCAACAGCACTTCCAGTGCGTTTAAAAACCGCTAACGTCTTGGTGAGCACTGGTCAACCAACCAACTACACTGACTTACGTTGCCAAGAAGCTACGCCTTCGTGAATAGTAGGTTGCCGAAGACTTCCAGCGAATGTCTGTTGTGGTTCGTTTGCCCTATGATCTATTGCACGAGCTGTGGTGAAGCAGAAATAGTAGCTTGTTTAAGGACAAGTCGAGTGATCGTGTTTACCTCGGCTGGGCAATACTTTCTCGTGGACATTTAGTTGCCACAAGGCGCTGTTGGCTGGCGTCGACCGGGCCTCCGCCGCATTTAGAACAGCTCGAACTGTGAGTGGTCAGTTCAAGCAGTGAGCAACGAGCAATAACTTTTTGCCTCTATTTGCAACGATCTTGTCGTGGACGGTTAGCACCGAATACGTTCCTGACACTGCTATTGCAACGTTCACATCTAGCTGCAAGAGATCATCACCTTCTATATCAGGGGCAAGTTCATTATACAGGTTACCGGTATTCATCTGAGCCATAAAACAGTACTGACCTGTGTCTCTAACGATAACACGGGCAGCACACGGAATAAGAAGTATCCATATAGTGCAGATCAGAGAGAGAATGTTGGAGTACATCATGATGACGGTTGCGAGAGGTATGGCCTACGATCTTGATGGAAACTTCTTCCACAACCAAGCTGATCTTATAGCAGAACCCATGACTCGTGGACGTGGAGCCTTTGCAACTTTGAGAAATTGGGCTCGGTTGCCATTGAAAACTTCTTCCAAGGGACTTCGTAAATCTGCTCCGAGCTCCATATTAGCTGCGCTTCGACGATGAAGCGGTGCCAGCGCGTAGGTAGTGCGCTCGATATATTGGAAGCTCGACTGCTTCGGCAGGTGTTCTGAGATAGTCATTCATGCTATCGCAAGACCATCACATTGTAAGGTTCCGTACTATAGGTCATCGAGCCAATCACTGGCTAATACATATTATCTTATTGTGCACTAAACAGATTCTCTGATATTCATCCCACTTCCAAAGGCAGCCCTGTGTGAGTCTACTCCGTTCCACATCTAGACCCCGTGTATTATTAAAACTGGTCATAGCCCATCGTATTGATCGGGGCGAGGCAGATGCCGGGTATCCGTGGAGTCGAGCAGTGGCTTCAGTGCCATTGATGCAGCTCGGAACCGGTTGGTCATGATCATCAAGCAAAGCCCGTTGATCGCAAGGAATGCAACCAAGGCAATACCGATGTACCATGGCGAGTTGGACCGTTTTGTGCTTGGGGTACACACTCCATCCGCTTCAAGCGAGATTTCACTTTGTTCCTCTTCCTCCTCTTCGGTTCTTTGTGTGAGCGGGGTATATTCTTTGTTGCTCATCTGATTGAATGTTGCAATCTCGCTGCTGTGACAATCGCGTGTATCGTCTGTCAGTCATCAGATGTGTGTTGTATTTCTCGGGCTTACCTAGCGCTGGCCAAGTGACAGGTTTGGGACTGAATAAATGGACGGGGTATTTATGCGGCTGAGAAGTTGGTCTGTGTCTTATTTTATTCCGAAACCTTGAGTTAAAAAAGTTATTGTGCTCACGGCTTACAAAAAGTGTGCCGACATACTGCCATTGCGCCATGATCCATCTGATGGGCCGTGCCTTCCCGGGAGTCGCCATGATTGATTAACGCCAGTCTAACTGAACATGTGCCACACAGCATCTCCGAGTTACAGCACCCGCGCCGCAGAGATTACTGCATTCATTTCACACGGAAATTCACGATTGGGCTCTGCTAGGATAACTGATAGCATACTTATCAGGACATATTGTAAGATACTCCTAGGTGAGATTTAATCTTAACTTGGGATACTTTATCTGGGTGAACGTTCATCCTGGGAGTTAGCGTTGTCTCGTGCACCTAGTATCGTTATGGCACTGCTCTGCACTATCCAAGTCCACCGGATCAGTTCGATCTGGGAATTCAAGATAACGCATGTCCGTCAGATATAGCAATGAACGGCACAGCAGTTCGTTCTCGGCACCGCACGATGCGGCTATATGTGTATCAGTTCACAGAAGCCCGTTGGATATGAACTGTTTCTACCATCTAAAGTCATAATGTCTTACTTGCGACTCGGACGTCTTCCACATACTTCTCCAGTATCGAGGTGGTCTTTGCGGGACCCCTCTAATGTCGTCTCCGCTTGCATTTCCGTTCTTGTGCTGGTCACGATAGTCAATGTGATCTTTACATTACACACCGTTTCTGTTCTCAACGAGCTCCTCCCCCAGACCCCTCACGTTCACAGTACGTCAACTGCGCTTTTACCATTTCAGGCCTGAAATTGACCCGACCATCTCGTTTACAGCGTATGTGGGTGACGACCACCCCTCCCAGCTGCCACTAGAGCTGCCATCCGTCGGTCTCGAACTCGAGAGCGGCGAAGGTCACTTTTCATTATACGACGATGATGACTGGGGCACGCTTTTCCCCTCAGACGGGTTTGTCGCTCTAGGCCCGAATAACCGCACATTCCTAGTCTCCCTCTATCATCAATTCCACTGCCTAGATATCATCCGCGTCGGCTATGTGGTGAATCGCACGCATGCTGCAGAGCATATCCAGCACTGCTTGCGATATTTACGGCAGGCATTGCTGTGTCACGCTGATACCACACTGGAAGTGGATATTCCCCAAATATCTCCGGACGATGGGAAGTTGTACCACACTGCGAACGGGGTGGGTTCGGTTCACAGGTGTAGGGACTGGACAGTATTGCGGCAGTACATGCTAGAACACCCAAGCACGCCGTTCGAATAAGGGGAGTGGGGTCATGTGCGATGCTTTTTGTAATGCCAAATTGATATTTCTATTAGCTAGATACGTCAGTCTCATAATTAATTTCTGGTGTGTGTATGTCCAAATACACCACCATACCACTACAACAAGGTTCAAGATACCTTCGGTACATGTGTCAAGGTGTTATACAGGCGAAGCGCTTTCGTAATGGCTAGCAGGTCCCATATCGACCTCTGCAATCTCAATCTCCTCGTGACCCTTCATACGGGTGAGATCGAAGTCTTTCATCCGAATATCCATATCGGTTTCGACCATGCTGTGTTCAACAGTGAATTGGGTATCCGAAGTGCCTGTGTCGCCCCCACGGCGCGCGATCCATTCAATACGAGTGGACGTTATTGCCTTGGTGGTATGCTCTGATGAAATTCCTAAGCTAACCCGAATAATAATGAGGGTAGGTGCGATGCCCTAAAATGGATGCGTAAGTAAGCAATGAGCGGAAATTATAAAAGGACAAATTTGGTGCTCACGTATACTTGGGTGGCAATCACCGCCACGATACCTTGTGAGGGGTGTTGGATCGAGAAGAGTACGACGAACACGAATTGTGTTATAAGATAGAGGGCACCACTTTCGATGATGAGCATCATCGCGCGATGGGAGGCGCCTTGGCCGATGACTATAGGCGATTCTTTCACGACACGAGAGGAGGTCCAGATGCGGTAGACTATGAGAGAGGTGACGACGAAATTGGTGGCAAGGGGTAGGATATATCCTGCGAGCCCCAACCCCACCGTAGCGGGGGGAGGGGCAGGTGAGGTGGGGTCCATCGTAATGACAAGGTGGAGTACCTCCATTATACAAGCTATTCGAATTTGTCACTGACTTGTTGATTAATCGAAGCAGGAGGACGTACCGAAGCCACCGAAGGCAGTAAGAAGGGGAAGTATGACTACATAGTAGTTCCTATCCCAAAGCATCCAGCAGCGGTAGACGAGAACTAGGTCACCGACGAGATCCGTGAACGAGATAAGGAAATCTGCGCCTATAAGACCAGGAGTCTCCGCGGAAAACCCATCGACTCCTGTTGACTCCTATCGAGAAAATTGGTATGAGGATATATGTATTTTCTAACGATTTGATAGGGAAACCCACAAGAGTTGTATAAAAATGATTGAATTCGAGTGCAAAATGGGCAGTGCAGCAGAAAAAGAGCAAACAGTTGGCAAAAACAACAGGGCTACTAAGGTTTGGCGAAGGTCGTTTTTGACTCAAGACGATCCACGAAACGATGAAAAGAATGCAGTAACTGCCTGTACGTGAGCGCTCGCCAGTGAGTATTCACTGAAAAACATTGGAACTTGTGGAGTCCTTACCATACAAGACTGCCTCACAACCAAAGCCAATCAAAGCTGCTATATCAATTGGAGAGGCTGACATCGCATAGAACAGCCTTGACAATGGTGAACAGGTATTGTGTTGGTATGATGGTGCTGGCGGTGGTCAACGAAGGGAGCGCGCAGCAGCCTGAAGGCACGGAAAGAAAGATTTGTTTTCATTCTGATGATCAAACCGAGAACCTCGTGAGATACGGCCAGCGGCCGGGTAAACGCACGCATGGTAGTTTATTAATACTAAGCACCTAATATAGTTAAGAAGTAGTTTCGCAGCATGCGTCTACTTCCATTCAAACTCCGCGGCTTCGTCCTAGGCGTCCTACATACAACCGGGCGATCAAAACGAAAAATCACATACTGGTTGTAGAAAAAAAATTGGTAGCCTCTCAGTCATTGAAGTACAACTTGAAAGTCATTGTGAATCGCGGGAGACTCGCACCGAGTTCATGTCGGTCGAGTGCGGCCAGTCTGAGGCGGCGCTAATCCCCTTCTCACATTAAGTTAGCTTGTTGTCATCAGCGTCTGATGGCCATTGCTCAGCCTTTTTTGGTCGATGACCTTAATCCTCCTTCGTCCTCTCATGCCTCTTCTGAGAGTCTGCGGGTCGAGCATCTTCGCTTTCATTATATGGAGGCTCATTAAACGTCTTCGTGCTCTAAACTCTCCTCTCACTCACATCCTCGGACCAAAGAAAGAGCATTGGCTCAAAGGTAGATACGCTTCTATGGCGATACCACGCATTAATCTTAAGATGTGTCAGGCAATTATCACCGTATATTCCAAGATGGTCTGCGGTATAACCTTGATTTGGTTCAGAAATACGGCGGGGTAGTCAAGATTTACGCCCTTCTTGGCGTGAGCACCCTCATTTCGGATGTCTTATGTCCACTTTACCCGAAATTATCTAGCAAGAGCAACTGTACATATCAGATCCACTTGCTTTGCATCACATCATTGTGAAAGAGCAAAATGTCTACGAGGAGACCGATATGTTCATCATGTGAGTCTGACAAGTGCTTACGCCGTGTAAGCTGATAACACCGCCTGATAGGAGTAATCGACTCATCTTTGGCGAAGGCCTTATAGCTACTCTTGGTGAGTATACAGAAGTCTTACTTAACAAAGCGTGTGTATATCATCCTATTTCAAAGGCGAACAACACAGGAAGCAGCGTAAGATGCTAAATCCAGTATTTTCTCTCGCAAATATGCGTGGTTTGCTCCCTGTAATCCAGCCTATCGCTGATCAACTACACACAATTTTGAATGCACAAATTCCAGCTGATGGCTGTAAGTTGCGTAAATTTCGTTCGAATATCGTTTGTTCACCTATCTATTTGCAGCGGTCGTGGAGATTAACTTACTTCCGTGGTTGTCGAGAGGGGCATTGGAATACATATGTCAAGCAGCGCTCGGACACTCATTCAATGCACTGGATGCGACAAAAGGAAACGAATACTTGGAAGCCATCAGGACACTTGCGTGTGTGATTTGTTTGTCCCCGCAAACACTCCTGAAACTAATCCTGACAGACCATCCACACTTCGTCTAATCTTCCTCCGTCCATTTATTCCAATGATTGTGCGACGATTTTCCTTGTATTGGAGGAACAAGATGATGGATTGGGTGCCGGGTGACGCATTGAAAGATCTTCGTCATGTGGTAAACGTGATGGACACCACCAGCAAGAAGATTTTCACCGAGAAGAGAGCAGCCTTAGAGAATGAAGGCTTCGTCGGAATCGCGGGGAATCGCATGCAAGGTAAAGATATAATGAGTATCATGCGTCAGTTACCTTCTTTTCACACACGTAAACGTTCTACTAATGAAATGGCTACTGCCAGTGCAAGCCAATGCGTCTTCTTCCAGTGACGATCGATTGACAGACTCGGAATTGCTGGGCCAAATGAAGTGGGCGTTATTTACATACCCTGCCAGCGTGAATCCTAGACTCAGTATCCTTTTAGCACGATCATCTTCGCGGGCTTCGAGACCACTGCCACTGCCATATGCCGCATTTTTTGGATCCTGGCCCAAAAGCAGGACGTTCAGGCACGACTACGAAGCGCAGTCCGCAAGGCTAAACGAGACTATGCGGATGCGCAGGGCCTGTCTAGCCCTTGGGAAGACGTAGAATTACCCTATGACAAGCTTATGGGGCTGCCTTATCTAGATGCCATAGTCCGTGAAACACTTCGAGTGTATCCACCGACTTCTCTTCTCAGTCGAACGTAAGTTTATCTTGCAACACCACCTGAAACACTCACCGAACATTTTCGTTTCGGCTGCATTTTAGTGCTCGTCAGGCTTCCGTTCTTCCATTGCACCAGCCAATCAAGTCTGCATCTGGCGAAATGATTTCTTCGATCCATGTTCCAGAAAATACGACGCTTATAATTTCTATCTTGGCTTCGAATCACAACAAGGAGATCTGGGGCGAGGATGCCTCGGAATGGCGTCCAGAACGATGGTTGTCACCTTCTGGGGAGCGCCTTCACCTTGGAGATGGTGAAGGTAACCCTACGAACGGTGTGAGTCTGGGGGTCAAGAATGGCATCAAATATCCTGGTGTGTATGGTTTGATGTAGGTGACAGAAAACCTGTAATGTTACAGAAGAGCTGAAAGCCGTGGTCAACGCAGGATGACGTTCCTCGGAGGCGGCCGTGCTTGCATGTGCGTAATGTATCGTTTTGTAATGCGTGCATATAGCCATTGATGTTATTGATGTAGCGGCTTCAAGTTTGCGGAGATGGAAATCAGTGCGCTTTCTTGTCCTTTCCTCATGCAGAGATGAACTAAGTTATTACAGAACAAGTCCTCACGACGCTCATCCCACGAATACATTTCGCGCTGCCTGCATCGACAGATAGAAATGGACACGTCAAGGAGATCTACTGGAAGATGAACGGGCTACAAGTTCCGGTAGTACGACCACCAGCTGGGGACAACGTGACAGCTCAAGTTCCATTGGACCTAAGAAAAGTACGCGAGCAAGACTTCGTAGTGAATTAGCCAAACTAGCTCGAGCAGGTGAAGACGTACACATTTGCACATTTGAGTGCATCTGCATGCTACACAATGCAATCTAATGTACATCTTGAGAAGCACGAGACTTCTGAAACCTTGGTATGTAGTAAGTAAGACTAGGGTTAGCTACCGCTGTTCCTCGTTGGTAATAGGGTTGGTGAGGCGTCCCGATTCCGTTTGTGAGCTCGCGGAGACCGCGAACGTGAGCTTCGTCTTCGTCGGGTGCGATGCTGCTCATCATCGATGCCATCAAGCTCGACATCCTTCGTGCGGCTTCTGGACTTTGGTGCCCTTCTATCTTCATCCATCTTAACTTTATCACTTTCGCCCGTCTTAGCCTCCACTCCCTCGTCTTCGCTTCTCTTTTCGTGTTTCCTCTTCCACATGATCTTGCGCACGCACTTCGAACACAGAACGACTTTCACGAGAGCTTCTTTCCTTTGACCGTGCTCTTCATATGTAAATGGTAGCTCAAGAGTCGTAAGTGAAGTAGAAGACGCGGCGTGTTCGAGACAGCGAGCGTTCGCGCATGTCGTCTCGCCCGTTCCAGAGAGAACTTCTGTTTCCGTGCGCCAGCGGAGACTGAACTAGACGATCGATGATCAGCCCACCAAACGCACGCAGTAGAGGGGCGAGAGGCATACGTTTCCAGACCTGTAATGCTTGAGATCGCAAATTGCGAATTCGCGGTAGAGACTTTCGTAGTATTTCTGCGCTAGCCGGTCGTTCCATGATGTACTGGCTTCATCGTCTGCGCCATCTCGTAGGAACCTTCGAGAAGATGTGAAAGAGGTGACTTGGAAATCTGGGCGCTTCTTACTTGTGCGAGGCCTTTAAGATGTCGAACTCTGTGACTGTTGGGGCAGCAGCGGTCGTCTTGCGATTAGAGACATATGGCTTGTATAATGCTGACATATGAGATGGGAATGGGTTCGCGGTGGCTTACTAAGTGGATTGTTTAATTTGGGTAGTCAAAATAAGCTTTCGGCGCTGCAACTCAACTCGAAGGTTGACTCGGAAGGGCAGGCCCATCGGTAAGAAACGTTTCGTTATTGTATTCAGGCCATAATGAATACACTGCTAGGTGACACACAGGTGGTCAGGTAACAGGACTTAAGTCATCGTATTCTTCATGCACGCAATCACGCTTGAATCACATAACGACTCTTGCCGAAATCGAGAAGTGGCTACTTTGTACAACAACCCCTCCTCTTTTGTACAACCGCCCCCTTCTCCCCCTCTTTGTACAACCTCCCACTTTCTTTGTACGACTGTCCTCGTCGCTACAAACGTCGATTGTGTTTCATGACAGGGAATTGAATACGACGCATGTATGTACTTTTGGTCGCAGTTTACGGTACTAACCGAGTCAACGTGCACAGGAATTAGAAGAAAGGTTGTGTATTTTTGCTCGTGTCGTAATCCTGAATTTTGTTTTCATATTTGGCCATCTACGCTCACATAAGCTCAGACCTCGATGGCTCATCGATCATCGATCTTTCAACTACCAATGAAACAAAAACGTCCTGCGCACGAATCCAATCAAACGACCGAAATTAAAGCAAAACTCGCAAACTTGTTATACGTTGTTTGTACTCTCCCAAAATACGTCCCGCCAGCTGAATATTGCGCTGAATACTATGCACGTGCCATGCCTGCACTAAATCGTGACAACACCTTAGGTTCTATCGTCGTACTATCCAGCTGCGGGGGTAAGGCACCCGCATTACCAGACGCAATGTTGCCCATATCATGAGACTGTGGGGGTAATACACCCACTTCTGTCTCGGTCATGTTGCCCACAATACGCGCAAGTGGGGGTAGCACACCCATGTAAAAACGCGTCCGATATTGTGGCCAAAGCCCCGCGTCGTCAGAAAAATAGGCGCTGAGCCGCTCATTCCAAGACCTCTCGCACACGATCGGCAGCCTTGCCCTCGAGTAACGAGGAGGTCTCGTCACAGAGCTGCATGCTATGCGCACGACGGACAGCCAAGAAGGCCGGGCAACGAGCAAAAATATGGTGAACACTCTGAAAAGCATCACAACCGAAATGACACCAGGGCGGCGTATCACGAAAACGCCGATGCCGCACCTCTGCGGTATCAAGTTGTGATGAATTACAAAGAATGACTGTCACGAGGTCGACTTGGGCGCTGTTACCTGTGTTAGATCAATGATCTACATGGCGTCGGGCTGAGACTGCAGCGCTGAACGTCGAACCACTCACTCGACTACTTATACCCAAACACTGGCACGTTGTCGAAATCACAAATAGTTCTCGGATCTTAAATGTGGCATTTCGCGCGCCCAGTCACTGCATTACATGTCATCAACCACTGCTACTTTGATCTCATTGATTAGTATCCCTGGATGCACATTCCCTTTCTAGCTGAAACACTTACTTCGATCAATCAGATATCATCCCTCAAATGTCACTTTGGTGATGTAAGTGCTGAATGGTGGTATATCAAGCACGAATGCGATCGTTATACGTCCACCAAGTTCCCCCGTTCGCTTATTCTCATCCTCTAACAATATGGTCCTAGTCTCGAACGATCCTAGTTGGTGGCCAGTCATTAATGCGAACCTTATTGGCAGCTATTTTTCAGGTTTGTTCAGAGCTAGCCGCATGATACTGTGATGACTCGATTAATCATGGCTGCGGTTTCGCAGTTGCCGCCTCTGCTGCGGTAACATACGATTGGGGTGAGAAATGTCAAGTGTAAAAAAACCACTAACATTATGAAACTTCTAGGACTTACGTTCGGACAAGAGGTAGGTCGACACCATTACAGGAGCAGCCATCTCACTGACAACATCTTTATAGGTGGAACTAATCTGGGTGAGCGGACTCCCACATCCAAAGCACGATACGAAAATACCACAACTAATTTACGACAGAGGCAACGGTGGTCCATGATGACCTTTCTCTATCTTGTTGTATGTAGCCTTTTTTTAAGCGTGGTTAGCAAGCTGACTGACACGAACTTATCCTAGACACGATACCTTGGAATAGGATTTATTATGTACGTTTCGACGTCCAAGCCATTGATGTTGCGCTCATTACCTATCTCTCACAATCAGGCTCAACATGTCAAGTATGTCTCCCCACGTGGACTCTATTTTTTTCTTGTGACGAGGGGCATACAGGCGGCGTTCCAACAATTTGGACGACAGATGCAGTGAGTATTCCACACCGGTGCCTTCCATTTCTGTCCAACAATTAAACTACCATGTAGGGGTGAGTGGGATCCTCGAACAATTCGTTGGTTCAATGTAACGACCCCTACAGTTGTGAGTCTCTTACGAGCCTGTGATCATCCAAGGCTGATAACTAATATTACTGGATTCGTCAGGCCTTATCTTATACAACACACTTAATTGGATGGGTGAGGTTGTAGAAATATCACTGGGTGGTGAGTTATACACCTCCGTGATATTGACTTTACTGAAATATCATCCAAGTCATCATGATCGTTCGGTTGCATGCCATGTATCAGCGATCTAGGAAGGTGCTGGTATTCCTCGTTGTCACCTTTCTGGTCACCAAGATCGCCAATGTAGTGATAGTCGCAATAACGACGACGCAGCTTACAGGGGGTAGGCTTTGATTATATATCAAAAATGCTTAAGAGGCTTACTGACATGTACCAGAGGAATACATTCTCTCCAGCACCTATCTGTGTAACATCGACTCTGGGAGCGATTTTAACTTTCTGAGTCTCACGACTTGGATACTTGACGTTGTATGGGAGGTCCTTGTAATGTGTCTCGCAGTCTGGATTGCTGTGAAGCACTTCCGTGAACTGCGAAGACACTCAGCAGGAGGTATTATAGGGGACTGTTTCACGGTGTTAATGCAAACTCACGTTAGTTACTTTGCAAGGTGAGCTCATAATGTGAATATGGTTCTCTTGTTCCGCTGAAGTCATGCACGTGCTAGTTTTTTGGCTATTTCTTGCTTTGAGATCGCTTTAGTCTCTCCAACGCTCGGGGTATGCTGATCTGTCACCGACTTCTACGTGCGTTAATGATTCATCAATTCTATAGAACGTATATTCCCTGGGCGCTCAGATTTATCTTGGTTTCGCTCAAATCTTCCAGATGGTGCAGATGTCCGTGTTGGGACCACGCCTCATCCTTGGCGTTCGAGAATATCACGCCAAGCTCGTGGCCGACTCCGATACAGCAAGCGCTATGATTTCAATCGCTTTCCAGGAACGTGTCCATGTGGAAACTAGCAGTAGCGTATAGTACGGGAGATGTTCGATGTGATTAACAATCAATGGATAGTCTGTAGTGAGCGGTCTTGTTTCTGTTTATTCCAGGTTTTGTCGTCGTACTATTTGCTTAAGTTATTGGAAGTTGCACAATATATATTTGAAAGAGACATAAGTAGCTCCATAACGTGACCGTGGACCTCTTGCCTTACTAATACTACCTACCTTTCAAGTCGTATCTCGTATTTTGGCACTCGCTTCGATTTCCAATCGAAATTAGCCTAATTTTCCTGAATTATTAGTCTGTTGAGTCAGCCTCGCAATGTGCTTTCGTACTCTCCCCCGGTGAATCCATGAGTTGACCTTGAGTTGACGTAGTACTAGCTCTGCGCAGAAAACCATCAAGTAGCCTTGAACTTACTGGACGAAAACGCCCGAGCGCTAGCCGAGGCACGAGGCTAGCGCAGAAATGAGTCTACGCTTGAGTAAGCAAAGGTGGCGCAACGCACCTTGCTCCGACTCACATCAGTAGTCGAGCGTGACAGTCTCTCATTATTAGATTTCTCTTATCATCTACTATACCTCGCTGCCTTTCTTTACACCTACCCACCACTCCCTCTCTCAGGACACGAACGAAAATATTTGCCTCGTTCTTTGCCCCGCCTCGTCAACCGTTTCGTCCAGTGCACTACGTTCGCTTCCTAAGATTTCAAGCTACACGCAGGGCTACCTGATCGGTACCCGCCCGCCCATCATAGCTCACCTTGAAACCTTAGGTCCTTGCGCAGGTGCTGGGCCGAAAAGCCCTACGGGCTTTTACCCAATCAGCTTCCCTCACTTTCATTAATCAATCGCTCTCACACTTGTACCTAGTCCATGACCAATTCACCCTGCTCCGTTTCTCCAATAACTGCGCGTCGAAGGCATAGAGTCGGATCAAGTTCTCTAATGAATACTTACACTCTATTTGATATGCATCAAGCTGATTATAATCTGCCTTAAATATCCTTCCTACATATGCATATACATGACAGTGCACACGACATAAGCGAGTAGTTAAACCAGCACCAAGACTCTCTTCAGAAACTAACCTCCATCCGTCTTTTCAAAATCACCGATGACTACCCTTCAGTCTCTGGAGCGATGTCCATGTTACTCGCGTCAACGATGCGGTGGTAACGGCCACCCGCGCGTGCATCGAGCGGACGACGTTCGGCCAATGCCATATGTATGTACCATCGAAGTGTCTTCTCGAGACAGTACGGCTCGTCCATGTCAAAATACATGGGGCGCATGTGCTCTGGGCAGCTTGCGCTGCGAACAGGTGTCAAAGGATAACCATTAATCATTTTGCTGAGGACGGCCGGGTCCTGTTCATGCAAAATCTCATCGTATTGGGAGTATGGCCAGTAGGACTGTGGATAGGCTGGCACAGGAGTCGAAACGGCGACCTGGGATGGAACCTCCCGAAGATTTACGTGTGAGCTGTGTGCGGAGTGCGAGAGTGTTGGATTTAAGGCGCGAGTGGTGGGAAGAGGGGGAGCGGGAGCGGGGGGAGGATGTATATTCGAGCGATCAGTGCTCGACTTAGCACGAATCCGTTCTGCCAGTCCGCCACTGCGAGTATGGTTGTCGGGGGTCCATCGTACATCCGCCGAAGGCTGATCAACAGTGGCCTCATGCCCCTGTTTTCCGTGGGGAATGGAAGGGTAGGCTTCTTGATCACTTGTACCCGAATTATAGATAGGAATTTGGGGCTTTATACCCTTCGAGTTTAAAGAAAGTGCTCTGAAACCACGGCGAGGGAGGCCCTCAGTTGGTTCGGGGGAATGGGGAAACTTGGTCAGCAAGTCAGAGTCCGCGCGTGTGTCAACGTTTGCGCGAGCTGGTCCATGGTAGTAGGTATGTTGTGATTTGCCATGATAGATGTCGAGTATCCCTGGAGCTTGCTTGACGTACACGATGTCGGACTTTTGAAGGGGAGTCTTGCCACGGTATACGGGTTTGGAAGAATCGTCACGAAGAGGCTCGCGCCTTCTCCCTTCTGAAGAGAATCCGTATGGCATTGATTTGGAATGCTTAAGCGACACCTTCTGGTCGTCGTTAGACCTGAAGGGGGGGAGAGGTATATTGATCAGTATGATGACGATGAGTAGAACGCGGAGATTCACTTTTGGAACATTTTCTTAAACGAATTCATGATTGATATGGATTAACGAGGGATGTACGGCCGCAAAGAATATGAGGAGGTAGTATCTGGTAGTGTAGAGAATCTGCATATCAGTATATAAAGGTTCGGCTGCTGTGGATGCACCATAGCCACAACTACAAAGCAATTTCTCAATATCCGAAAAAAATTCAAATGTGGAGGCTCTGGCAAATGTTTTGATTACCCACCTATAGTCAAATCAATACTATTATCGCCCCATCTGCATTACCAAGGTAGAATGTGTGACAACGAACCAATTATGGGACACAGTTGCCACAAGTCCAATGAATTCACCACACATCCTGCTCATTGATATCTCGAGCTCAAAACTGGTGCTCAATGAACAAGTGCCGAAATTTCCGGTAATGACATACAGCACGCTGCCTCAGATGCACGAGATACAAGAATGAGGCAAGACGCGTGCAGCGTCTCGCTGAAAAAAACAGCTAACTTTTCCTTTTAATTGTCTCACTTAACAAGACCATTCAACATACCTTCAAAGCGCAGTGCACCCGACCAGCTATATTTTAATCCAATTTGCTCAACATCAAATAAAGATGCATGAAGTGCGTTCAAGGTTGACATTTCGAGAAATCTGAAGGCAATTTAAACAGTCAGACAAGCATTGATATCAAGTCTGACAGAGTTACACACATGATCACTATGGCCTCGAAGATTCCTCGAAGATGGACTCAGGACCGATAATAGCCCTGAACGAAACTTACATCGTGGAAGTGCTGAGATACTCTAGCTCCCATTGGAATGAGCGGATCATTTACTCCGAGGCATGAAGGTCCAGTTACCTGTTTCATGGTCAAATCTGCGACTCAGCTTTACTTACTCTGACCGTGCAATTTGTTCCCATGTATAGCATCATGCACGAAAAGCCCTCACAGGAGATATGGTCGCCAATGGTTTTTGCTTTGGGAGAGAAATGAGAAGCTTGACCTATATTCACTATGAAAGCGGAGCGGGTCGGTGCTTTGCCAGCCAGCCTTGCCTTCCGACGCCGACAGAGCTAGAAATTTCATGTATCGTCAGTTTCATAACCATGGTCAACCAGCGGATCGGAAAAGACCTGAAAGAATGCACACTTCGTCTATGGGATCACGGATGGGAGTTAGAAGATATCCGTGAAGCTCTTGGTGTCTCGCGAAGAAGCTATTTCGCTGGTGACGGATGGTTTCTTGGACTTGTTTTATTATAGATATACTGAGTGTAAAGACGCGAAACAAATAGCATCGTATGATTAAAAAGTGTTGGTATGCTCTAGGAATTAAGAGCCTGAGGAATCGTGTCCGCTGTAGACGGCTGTGTAGTGTGCACGGTGCACCCTGACTGGCCATAACTTACATAATTGCAACTGACAAAGCAGAATGCACCGATCCCTACCAGTTCATAACACGTACAAAGAGTCATTAGGAGTATTCGTCTACTCGAGTTGGATACCTACAGGAGACGAGGCGCACATGGGCAACTGACGCAGGTATCAAACATAAATAGTATGTAGTGTAAGATCACTGTGAAAGTGAAGGGCTGCTGAGCGTAGCTCAGGCCTGAGTAGCTGTGAGTTTGGCTAGCAAATTATCCATATCTGATACTGATTCCTCGGTGTTGGTCACGGTAAGCTCGTCTACCTCTGTCGGCGAGTCTGGTTCTGGATGAAGCACATTCAAACAGGCTACAAGGAAACGCCACATAAGTGGATTTATGGGCAAGCACGCGGGAAGCGTTCTAAAACGCTGAAAACAGTACTGTCATGCCAGCGTCTAAGGTCGCCCGTTGATCGAAGGGGCGCAATCTTCGAGGTACAAGGAAATCCAGACGAAACAACACATAAACGACTCCAGATCATGGCGATATAGGTGTTTCACTTTGCCTTGTTGACCCTCTCCAGAAGAATGTAGAGCACGCGACTGCCCGTGGTAGAGTCTGGAACACCCAGCACTTCCCGGATGACAGATGCGGGATTCGTAAACGTGTGGTGCCAAAGGAGCTCAGGAACATGGTCTTGGACCTTTTTCAGGATCTCCGACTCGCTAGTGCGATTTACCTTTCCCAAAAATATCTTGGCCACCATCCCATCCCGGAGGTTACCGTATTTCTTCATGAGTGCCTCGCTAGTGATAGCAACCAAGTTGGTGACCCGTCCTTGGGGTCCGTAGTACGTCACTCTGTCGTCGTGGCTGCTGTGAAGCAACAGATCTACCCTTCCGAGTTCTTTATCCTAGATATTGAATTCGTTGCATCGTTTCCCCTGAACTGGAACTGGAATGAGGTCCTTGTTTCGGCCCTAATCGTGAACCTTGAAGCGTCGTAAAGCACACAACAGCACCATGAATCGTGGGAGATCTTGGATAACATTAATGCCAGAGCTTTGAACGGTGCCCTGGCGATCATAATACCAAGTCCAAATCACATCGTCTAAAAAGCGGTGGTAAGAGCGCGACCAGTCTTGACAGACGAACGAACCTACCGACGACGATAATGTTAAGGTAATTGACTCCAAGATTGGCCGCAAAAATTTCGGCAGCGTACAGACCTGTCTGGACGGTGACATCTAGATCTGCGTCCGTGTCATCGGGGTTCATCTTGGATTTTTTCGTGGCGGATTCCAAAGTGTCCGTGACCTTGCGCTTGGAGCTGGACCCGCCCGAGGAAGGCTGAGCGGCAGTGAAGCCCAAAGACAGAACTGCTGCTGGGCTGATTTATTTTGATCTTGAAATCGAGAATGAAATAACATGAAAAATCCTGATCAGCGAACTCATACCAGACACTCACTATTCGTTGAGGGCTGTCGCGACGTCAGAAGACTTTACTAACGCAGTTGAAGCCTGTCCGTTGCAAACCGGCAGAACTGCCTTGAGGCACCTTGGCAGGAGGTCTGGCTGCTTAGTCTCGAGAGTGGAAGAAGCGCGTTGTAGGAACGCTTGCAGCATGGCATCTGCATTGCACTCTTTAGCCTGCTCTATTTCGCATTGATCCATAGGCGTACTTGCTTAAGCCTTGATGGGATGTCAGGTTCTACTCAACATAAAGAGGAAATGTGCGCACTTGACGCCAAGCACCCCGATGTTCTCGCTGACGACGGAAGCCCCACAGCTGTTTGGGATGGATTCTATTTTACCAGAATCATGACCTGGTGCATTGGCGCGTGGCAGAGTAGACGATGTGCCTATCTCACCAGCAGGGGAAATGTCACTAGGTGTTCAAATGATGACTACGCTGACTGAGTGTTGTGAGCAGAGCTAGTGATGGGGGGAGAAAACTAAGAGGACAAGAAAGACGACTGCTTCCCGATATCCGGTCGAACAATGTGGTCGAACATCAATTCTGATGTGTCAGGTCTTCGGATGGCCCGTAGACTGATGCTGGTGGTTGTGGACCTACAATCCAAAATTTCGACTCCGGCGACGCGTTCCCATCAACACGCGCACGTGACCCTAACTTGGATTTCACTTCAGGCTTCAGCCGTACAAATATTGGAAATCTATCTATACCCTAGTATATACGTACTACAGTATAGGACCGGCATTTGAGCCAGCACCATCATTTGAGCCAAACGGCTACCACACACTCAACATTTGCTTATCGACACATCGGATAGCACAGATATATCCTAAATACATGCATCTGAGATACTGTCGAGTAGAAATGAAAAAAAAATTGTACATGTGTGCTACAGGTCAGAAACATGCCCTCTTTCGGTACTAATTGATGCAGCGAGAAGGAAGTATTTGATTATCGATGTCAAAAATCCCGCCAAATGAAAGATCTATATCCCTAGTACAGTTTCAGTACAATTATATATGTCCTACACACAACAACATGCTGCCACTGGGATCCCGGACGAGGGTCTCAAAATCCATTATCAAATGTGTTTATCAGGACAAGATTGCGAAACTAACCCAATTTGGACTTTTGTTTACAGGCTCGACGAACACCATCCTGCAGTCATATTCTGCATATCTCAGTCATGGTTGGTCGTCCAAAATCAGTCACCAGGAAAAAACAACTTGCTAGGCAAGAGCAAGAGATTGCCATTACTCGAGCCATCAATGAGTACCGTGCCGAGCAGAGAAAAGATCAGCCTACCAAAAGCCTCCGTGCCATCTGTCGAGAAGTCCAGGAGGAATATCGAGCAGAAACTGGGAAACCAGTGGTTGTTGACCACATGACTGTCTCGCGTCGACTTGCAGGGAATAGAAGCAGTGCCCAATACTAGGGCCTGACATGGGTAGAGGGTGCCCGGGTACCCGCCCGGGTGGAACCCGCGGGTAACGTGCGGGTCGGGTGCTACGGGTTACGGGTTAGCTTGGGTGTATTACCCGGGCGGGTACGGGCATCAACATCCAAATTTCGAGTTACCCGCGGGTGCCCGCAGGTCACCACTAGTACGCTGGTTGGAGGCTTATGCACCAACTGCTGTCGACTCAGTCATTGAGTCGTCTGCCGGCAGTGTACAACAGTGTTTCTTTTTGGTTTTAGGATCAATTGTAATACTATTTCGCAGAGAAAACGCTCAAAATATGACGTCAATAGCTCTGATGACGAGTCTTTACAGAATCTGGACTTGCTTGAATATTATCTCGTGTCTCCAGGCCTGAAATTATCAGTATCAGCGGAGTTCTGAAATATTGGGAGAATGCTCGTGCTACGAGACCCTGTCTGGCTCAAATGGCATTGGACTTCTTATCTGCTCCAGGTACGTGATCTGGATGTTTATGTTTTGATATCTTCTGACTGCAGCAGGGACTAGCATCTTCTGTAGAGGCCGAACGAGCATTGAGACGTTGTAGAGCTCAATAGCGACTAACTCTAGCGTCTTTGTAGTACTTAACTCAATGCTAGGCTATAGTTGATGGGTACCTAGTAGATATATCATGTACCCGCGGGTGACCCGCACACCCGCAGGTACAACCCGTGGGTCGACCCGTACCCATACCACTTGACCCGGGACGGGTACGGGCATAACTTTATTTCTCAATTTACCCGCGGGTAGCACCCGGGTATGACCCGGGTCGACCCATGTCAGGCCCTACCCAATACATGGCAGAGGAAAGAGCATGGTTAATCCGAGTTGGCGCTTAGATGTGCGCTATATCCATTTTAGGGCTGGCTCAAGTGGTGAAAAAAACAGATATCGAGACATTTTACTGATCATCACATTGCACACTCGTCACTCATTTGATTGCTCCATAGTGTTGCATTAGTATGGTCATTGTATAACTAAACATAACTGTCGCATCAGATTTTCGATTTATGGATGAGTGTTGACTTGAGACGGCCAACAAAATTCGCTGGCTCAAATGCCGGTCCTATACTGTATGTCAATTCCTCAGAACAAACGCACGTACTATGTTTGACGGTTTGGGGACGACAAAACTACAAAGAATGATCTATGTAACATCAGTCCATTCCATGAGTAACTGACACAGGTAGCGAAACACGGAAAACAATATGTAGTGTAACGACTACTATAAAGGTAAAGGTTTGCTGAGGTCAACCCACGCCTCGGTACCGGTGAATTTGCCTAGTAAATCATCCATATCCGATACATTTTCTTCGCCATTGATCTGCTCGGATGCTCCTTTCCTTTTCAGCTCAACAACGAGGTTATGGTACATGTCACCAGCGCGATTGGAGTGAGCTGCCTGGAGGACCCAAAAACAGTCCACAAGGAGAGCCAATAAAGACAAATCTATGGCCGATTGAGAAGTTCGGAGGTCCGCGGGTAGATAATTGCTAAAATTCGTCAGAAAGGCTAACTTCTCCTTGCCACATGCAATAGCGTCTAAAGTCGCCCACTGGTCGAGAGGGCGCGATCCCTGCGGTAGGACTCCCTCCCGATAACGAAAGACAATCCAGGCGAAAACCCACATAAACGATTCTAGATCGTGGCGATATAGGTGTTTCACTTTGCCTTGTTGACCCTCTTTGGTGAGAAGGTCGAGCGCCATGAACGGTACCGTGCCCGTACGCTCGTTTCCCTGAGGACCCACCGCATTCGCCAACGAGGATAGATCGTAGTCGTTTAAGACACCGATCAGTCTGCGGTCTTTCTTGTACCACATCAAGTTTCCAGGGCTGATATCTCGATGATAGACCCCTTCCTTCCACAAAATGATGTGGCCTGTGGGCTATGTCAACGAAGAGCCTCATAAGCTGAATCACACACGTACACAAGATACACTGACGCCAGACGTCAAAAAGGTCCCTGCCGTGGAGCGTCGTGATGGGGTAGAGCTTGCGGAACACAAGAATGTAGAGCACGCGACCTCCCGTGGTGGGTTCAGGAACACCGAGCGCTTCTCGAATGGCGGACGTGGGATTCGTGAACTTGTGGTGCCAGAGCAGCTGTGGAATATGTCCTTCGACAGTCGGGTGCCTCTTAGCGATCTCCTCAACCTTTTTCAGGATCTCCGGCTCGCTGGTGCGACTCGCCTCTCCCCAAAATATCTTGGCCACCATTCCATCCTCGAAGTTACCATATTTCTTAGTAAGCGCTTCGCTAGTGACAGGAACCACGTTGGTTGCCCGTCCTTGTAGTCCGTAGTGCGTCACTCTTTCGGGGTGGCTGGTGTGGAGCAACAGATCCACCGTTCCAAGATCTTCGTCCTTGATTTTGCATTCGTGGCATTGCTCCCCGTCAACTTGAACTGGGAGGAAGTCCTTGTTTCGGCCCCAATCGTGAACTTTGAAGCGTTGTAACGCATATAATAGCACCATGAATCGTGGGAGATCTTGGATAAAGTTGATGCCCGAGCTTTGAACGGTGCCCTGGCGATCATAATACCAAGTCCAGATCACATCGTCTAAAAAGCGGTGGTAAAAACGCAATCAGTCTGGACAGACAAACGAACCCACCGATAACGATAAAATTAATCAGATGTTCGACGGCAAGATTGACCGCAAACATTTCTGCGGCGTACAGACCGGTCTGGACGGTCACATCTGGCTCGTCCGCGTCAGGATTGGCCTTGGATTTTTTCGCGGTAGATTCCAAAGTGTCCGCGGCCTTGCGCTTGGAGCTGGACCCGCCCTTGGAAGTCTGTGCAGCGGTGAGGCCGGAAGATTGATCTGCTGCTCGGTTCATTCAGTTTGATCTTGGATACAAAAATCAAATCACTCACGCGCGATATCGGACGCAGGTTGTGTTGCTAGGGTCTGCGAAGGGCCTGGCGTAGGCACTTCAGCCTTGAAATGACCCACCGGCAGATGTTCTGGTTTAGTAGGGACGTGGTCTGTCACTATATACGAAGAGGGCGGCGACTTGACCTCTTTCGTCTTTCTCTTGAACTCGATGCAAGCCAAAACATCTTTCCAGGGAAGATTTTTTGGCTTTGCCTTTGCGTTCTTGACCATGTGATCCTTGCGCTTCTGACCGTCCTTCCGTTTGTCTTTCTGTTTGCGCTTCTTGCCGCCCTTCTCATCTTCAAATGGAGCGCATGCGCTGTTCAAAGGAAGAATGACGACATCGGGCTTCCGAATTGATTTCGCCTTCTGGTGGGTTTGATACATGGGCATGTCGTTCTGCTGGAAGATCATGTCCACGGTGGAGACAGGAGCGCGCATCCCGTCAATCTTGATCTCTTCAAGACAAACGAGCGCAATGTTCGTCGCATCAATAAAAGGGCTGTAGAAGTCGGGTTCTACTCCTGGACATGTGCTTGCAATCGTTGTAAGCGTAGAAAGGTGTAATAATCGAAAGAGCGCTTACTATTTTTTCAAGGCTGTCTCGATGCCCGAAGACGATATGCCTCCAGCGGAGACCTGTCCATTGCAAACCGGAAGAACTCCCTTCAGGCACTTTTGCAGGAGCTCGGGCTGTTTCGTCTTCGGGGCGCAAGACGCACGCTGTAGGAGGGCTTGCAGCATGGCATCTGCCTTGCATTGTTTGGCCTGCTCGATGTCTCGCTGAATCCATGGCCGGACCTCCTTAACCCTTCGTCGAACGTCAGGTGCTACTCCATAAGAGCAAGAAAGGTACGTACTTGACACCGACCAAGTTGATGTTCTCGCTGACGACGGAAGCCCCACGGCTGTTTGGGGTGGACTCTAGTTTACTACCACCTTGACTTGATGCATTGGCGCGTGGCGGAGTAGCCGATGTGCCTGTCTCGCCAGCAGGGGACATGACGCTAGGTGTTCAATGATTACGCTGACTGAGTGTTGTGAGCAGAGCTGGTGAGGGAGAGAAAACTAAGAGGATAAGGAAGACGTCTGCTTCCTGCTTGCCTTATATGCGGTCAACGAATGTGGCGCAAATGTGGTGGACCATCGATCATTGATTTGATGTGGATTGATGTGGTGGTTGTGGACCCTACAGTTTAATTCGTGACTCCGACGACGCGTTCCAACACACGCACGTGACCATGACTTATTTTTTGAATCACCAAGTTCTTGAAATCGATTTCAGTCAAGTCGAGTCGTCGACGTCCGGTTGTACCATTAATATTAGAGATCTGCATAATGTAATACTATAGTACTCTGTCAATTTGCCAGAAATCAGATGAGCTGCCGCGCGCCAGGGAGTTCATATTTTTGCATGCTGACTTTCAAAGGAACTCCACTATCTACGTGCACAAACATCTTGTTCTCGGTAATAATCAACAGAAGTTCTTCTAAGAATTTTGATTTTGGGATTGTAGAGCGGAGTCCGATGCTCGCACCATGTTCTAAACAGAAAGAAGACTATCAAATTCATGACTCAGTCGCAGTTCTCTAGTATTCTTTTGTTCTCCTATAGGAACAAAACATCGTTACCCCCGTTTAGATCCCTGTGCTACGTAGATGCATGACAATATTACTGTTAATGGACGTTGCTGTGTATCTTTGGTGATGTCGGACCATCAATATGTTTGATCCCTCGCAGGAAACCCTTCTTGTCCCATGGTCTCGCCCATATATTCCTAGTTGATCTCGTGGCCTTGAGAAAGAGCGATCCATCTAGCGCTTCCGCGCCTTCCAGTCCCACACCCTTGAGGTAGCCCTTGCGCTGTGTGCCATCAAGTGAGAGAAATCAACGCGCGTAGGTAAACAATGTTGAGGAGTGGGTTGACGATCTTATCCAAGTGGCGCTGAGGAAATCTTGAATGTTTAGTCCAGGGAAGCCAGTGTGTGAGATCTATCGTCCTGCCCGGGTGGCCAGTGAGTTTCTCGGATTGAGAAATTGTCGGGAAGTCTGATGTCAAGGCCGCCGCACGATGTCAATATATCCCGCCTACCCGCCATCAGGAGTGAGCTAACACCATGTCATTGTCCGCAGCTCCCGGTCTACGGCTGCTATGTCCTCCCTCCAGGAGGTGACAAGAACTGTGACGGCAAGCTGACAAGGATGACGAGATGATTGGCACTGTCTGCGCTTACTGGTGTATTGCAATCCAGTCTCGTCATCCCAATTCAAACGGTTGATGGCACTGAATCATCAGATCCGCTTGGGCTCAATGAAGTAGCCTGGTCAACGAGCCAAAGTCCTGCTAATGGTACTCAGTGTGGAACCCTGAAGCTGTTAGGGTGAATGAGGGTGCTGAATACGTGTACAGGCGCCAGGTCGAATACTCTGACGAGCTCCGGGAAGCAGCTATCTTTCAGTGATGACATACTAGGAGCAAACAGACTTCCTTCCACAAGCCGCTACGATCATGACATAACTATCAAGATCCCGTGCATGAACCTCAGCGTTTGGGAGAGATCTCTAGTCATGTCATGGTTCGTCAAGCCCCTGTATGGCATACATCTATTTTGCAACACCAAACAACTTCCATAAGTACCGCAACAAAACCTGGAATAAATATCAACAAATTCTAATTTCTGCGGACTACCTGGTACCCGCCCATCGCATATTGAGAATGTCCTGCGTTAAACGCTACTGTTGGTTTCCACATGGACGCGTTCCTCGAAAGCAATTGAAGTCATAGCGGTTGCTGTATCGGAGTCGGCCACGAGTTTTGCATGATATTCTCGAACGCTAAGGATGAAGCGTGGTCCCAGCACAGACAGCTGCACCATGTAGGCGATTTGAGCGAAACCAAGATAAATCTGAACACCCTGGGACATTTGATCCTATAGAAATGATGAATCATGGTGATACATAGAGGTCGGGGACAGATTGGCATACCGCTAAGAGCGTTGGAGATAATAAACTGATCTGGAAGCAAGCAATAACAACAAAGCTAGCACGTGCAAAACTTTAGCGGAACAAGAAAACCACATTCACATTATGAGCTCACCTCGCAAAGTAACTAACGTGAGTTTGCATTAACACCGTAAAACAGTCCTCCATAATACCTCCTGTTGAGTGTCTTCGCAGTTCACGGAAGTGCTTTACAGCAATACAGACCGCTAGACACAGTGCAAGGACCTCCCATATAGTGCCAAGTATCCAAGTCGTGGAAGTTAGAAATAGGGAATCTCCTGTATAGACAATGTTGCACTGATAGGTGCCGTAGAGAATGAATTCCTCTGGTACCTGTCAGTGAGTTGAATATTTCATACAGAATTAAAGCTTGCTCACTGAAACTTGCGTCATTATCATTGCGACCATCACTACGTTGGCGATTCTAATGGCCAGAAAGATGACAACGAGAAATATCAGCACCTTTCCAGATCGCTGATACATAGCATGTAACCGAACGATCATGATAACTTGCATAATGTTTCAATAAAGTCAATATCACGACAGTATAATGCTCACCGCCCAGTATTGCATCTGCAACGTTACCCGTCCAATTAAGTGTGTCGTCTAAGATAAGGCCTGACGAATCCAACGACATTACTTATCAGCTTCGGAGGATCACAAGCTCGCAACAAACTCACAACTGTGGGAGTCGTTATATTGAAGTTCTGAACCAACAAGTGGTTTGAGAATCTCACTCACCTCTGCATGGTAGTTCAGTTATTCGTACAGGAATAGAAGGCATCGGTGCGGAATACTCACTGTATGCCGTCCGTCACAAGATAGAAACAAAGTCTATGCGAGGAGACATACTCAACATGGCGATCCTGATGGTGAGAGATAGGTAATGAGCGCAACACCAACGGCTTAAACGTTGAAACATACACAGCGAATCCTATTCCAAGATACCGTGCCTAGGAATGTTCGTGTCAGCACAACTTGCTAACCACGCGTAAAAACACAAGCTACATACAACGAGATACAGAACGGTCATCATGGACCACCGTTGCCTCTGCCGCAAATCAGTTGTGGTATTTTCACACCGTTCTTTTGATGTGGGACAGTGGGAGTCCGCTCACCCAGATCAGTTCCACCTATGAAACTGTTCTCAGCGACATGGCTGCTTCTAGTATAACGGTGTCGACCTACCTCTCGTCCGAACGTGAGTCCTGGAAATTTCATAACATGAGTGATCTTTTCATGCTTGATATTGGTGGATGCATAACTATTGCCTTCGCGCTTCATATACCACCATCCATCGCTTACATTCAAGTTGCCGAAGTATTAATGATGATTTGAAAGATCATACCTGATCCATTGAAGTGTCATTGTTTGCCACTGGCAGTGCCGTAGACGAACCAGAACTTCAACAAGGCTACTCAGTGGTTGGAAGTGAGCATGCTACAATCACTGGGTCGGTGAGCGAGCTCAAGTAGTGTTGAGCGGTGAGAGGTCACTATTGCAAGTGAGTGGACTGGATTAGCCATGCTCAAATTTAGAAATATGTGACATCCTGATGTGCGCCAGAGAACTCCGGAAACCGCAAGGAAGTGTTAGACATGATCGTGGTTGGCATGTTATTTGATGTTATCTATCAGTTGCATCCACAGTTCAGTTGAATCGACTCAGCTCTGACGCTGTTGAATGTTTTTGACTTCAAGAACTGGTTCATGAGTCGATCAGGGCCCTGCTACAAATCTTCAAGACGACGTTGCTTCGACAGAGTAGCGTTACATAAGTCACATGCTCTGAGATAATATGTCACAGTAATTGTTGAAAAAATTTCAACCTTACGATACTATAATGGGTTTCAAAGTAAAGTCTAAGAGCTAGTTCGGTAACCCAAGGTAAAGTAAATTTGCCAACTTCAAGGATGATGTAAGGCCGGCACAGTAGCTTCCGGTTTGGAGACCGACATCGGAGCTTGAACTTCCTTTGATCCATGTCTAGCTATCACACACCCCAGCATACGACTCAAGATCTATGCAATCGGAACAACATCTGGGCTAGTGTCATATCGATAGTGTTATCAGCTCAAGTCCACATCCTCTCCATGGCTCAGGAGTCATCTCATACTACTACAGAGAGGGCTGTTTGGACCGACACAGAGGTTGATCAGTTTCTCCTCTACCTATCCAACAATCGGGACAAGATCGGTGATGCTGGCAACTTCAAAGATGCGACGTACAATGGCGCTGCAGAGGCTATTGCTGAGTACCTGGAGCATGGTCCAGCAAAGAGTGGGGCAATGTGTAAGACAAAATGGGCGTCAGTAAGTCATATCAATATATCATTTTATAGACTTGATAAGAGATCGTGTAGTTAAAGCAGACTTTCAACGCTATTCAGAAGTACCGCCAGCAGTCTGGTGTCCACTGGGACAATATTAGAGGGGCAAATGTCGAGGGCGAGGCTTCAACCTCAGTATGGAATGAATATGTTTCCAAGAAGGTACGTCAAGTTCGCTAATGCTATTTCATGCGTCTCACTGTTTGATAATAGGGAAATTCAGTCATGCGCCCTTTTCGTGCATCGGGATGGAGACACTACGAGCAAATGGACGGCATAATACCACGAGGCAGTGGCGCCCGAGGGCGCACAGGGTACCAACCCAATATAGCTCTCCCCCCTCCCTTAAGCTCAAGCTCCAGTCCTAGCGTACCCGCAGGTGAACACAATACCATGATTGGTCCCGTTATTGCCACGTCTAGTGCTGGTGTTGCTGGTCCTAGCACCGCCCCTGCAGCAGCTGCCCTCACTTCTACACCTGCTTCTCCATCCTTCATGCCTCCTCCTACTTCTCCGTCCTTCATGCCTCCTCCTGCTTCTCCATCCTTCATGCCTCCTCCTGCTTCTCCGTCCTTCATGCCTCCTCCTGGCAAACGTTCTCACACTGACATGGAGCTGACCGCCTCATCTGCATCTACCTCAGTTTCTCAAATGCAAATGCCGCCTCCCTCCGAGTCGAGCTCTATCAAAAGAGCGAAGACAGTATCAGGCCGCGCATCAGGCCGTGGATCAGGAGGCCATGCACAGACTCCGTTGGACACCAAGATATCGAAGGCCACCACAGCTGTAGCCGTGATGGGATTCCAGAGCTCTGTCAATCGCTTGACAGATGTAATTGCTGAGCGCATGGTCTATCCTGAGGATCGGGTAATGGACCAGCGCTCGAGGGCCATGCAGATGTTGCAGGTTGAGGATGCAGAGCTGCCGTTCACAGAGCGGCTTATAATACAACAGGTTTTTTCTATGGACCCTGCAGCTACTGACATATACACACAGACCGCTGACAAGGAGATGCGCCGTGCTTTTATTCTTTCCACAGCCCAGCAGTTGGGACTTCAACTTCCTGCGCCTGGTAGTTAGTATACTCATGTAAAATGCGCTATTGACACAACATATGATGATAATGCAGTAGTTGAAGCATGGTAATGCAAACATCTTGTGCTTTGATGGCGGCGGATACATGAGAGTCGTGCTACAGTGCTACGTATCATTGTCAGAATCTTCAAAGGAGTCATCTAGCAGGCCCCGCTGCTGCAAAACGGTCTGATAATCTTCCCACATGGAGCGCGCAATACGATTGCGCACTTCCTTCATGCCTCCCGCTCCATCAAACACCTCCTCATCATTGGGGATCCCTTGGTGCTCCGGGTTGTCGTAATCGAAGTGTTCGTCGTCGTCGTCCGGGAGCACGTTGTCGTCAGGGTTGTGAGTTGATATGAAATTGTGAATCGCGCATAGCGCGGCAGGTATACGTGCCTGGATGGTCATAGGATATTCAGGTGAGAGCAAAAGAATACGAAAACGGCGTTTTAACACGCCAAAGATCCGCTCAATCACATTTCGAGCGGATGAGTGTTGCAGATTGAAGAGCTCTTCTTTGGTTGTTGGTCTGCAAACATAGAATAGTTATTAAAAAACCTAAAATATAAAATAAATAAAACATACCTAAGATTAGCGCGTCCCCATTCAGCCAAATGATAACGGACACTGCGGTAGGGGACTAAGAGCTCGTCACACAAAGGGAATCCCGCATCCGCTAAGAAATATTTGCCGGGAGGGACATACAAACTGCCTGAACGAGCCTCGTCATAGAGGTGTGCGTCTGTGGCGGATCCCTCCCAGCCAGTGAGAGCGTATGAGAACTTGAGGTTGAAGGTGCAGGCGAATAGACAGTTTTGAGAAACAAAACCTTTGCGATTACGATATGAGGGGCGGTCAGATGATGAGGGGCGAGCATGGATGTGGCTGCCGTCGATCGCACCAATAGCGTCCTTGAAGTAAGGCCAGAATTTTGGGTTGTTACGGATGTTGCTGGAGACATCATCGGTGTCATTGGGAGAACGTACGTAGGTTGTGTAGAACGGGGGGGACGCAAAGATAAACAAGATCTTCCGGAAATACCTGGAATTATTTGTGAGCTCATCATAAATAACATTAAAAACAAACTTACTTTGAGATGGTGTCGTTTGACCGTTGAAAACGCTCCCCGATATGACGGATTGTTAGCCCTGTAACGCACGTATATAAAAAGATGGCAAGTTGCTCTTCGAGCGAAACGTGGCGTGAGCTAGCATAACCCAAAACACGAAGTTCGGCTATGAGCATGTGAAAGACATCTGCATGCATGCCAAGTTCGCATCGCATACGATCCGGGTGACCAATGATGAGTTCCATGACCCATTCTTCACCTGAGAGGGCCGATGTGTGGTATGCCTCAGGTACAGAGTCCTGAAGCAATGAGTGCGTAGCAGTCAGAAGGACACTGACGAGTAGTGCAATGTGACGTAGGATTCGCATATGATTCTGCTGACGGCCTGCAGCTGGCGGCTGAACAGCCTGGGCTTGAGCGAGTTGTTGGAGCAAGGGGTCAATGGTATCCATAATCTATCGATATCTATCCCTAAAGCAATGAGCGCAATGGATAACAAGTCCTACTAATATTGATATCATAAGGTTAAAACTCAGCTATCGGCACCTACTGTGCCGGCCTTACATCATCCTTGAAGTTGGCAAATTTACTTTACCTTGGGTTACCGAACTAGCTCTAACAAGGTCAAAGTAAGGTATACTTGTTCAAACTTTGCGAACGCTGCGGCAATATTCGAGCTCCGCATGAAATATTCATGTCAGTGATCAATCTGATTATAGAATGTTTCGAATAGATAATCGATAAGCCTATAGCTTGATCCTTCAAAGCTTCACCCTTCGTCCTTCGTCCTTCATCCTGATGCACATTTCAGAACGTAAATGGGTACTTCAGGCTCTCCGAGAAACCAACCAGAGCATGCAGCTTGCTCGATACCTTGAACTAATAGATATGTTAATGGACGATGACTCATCAAGTGAGATCACCAGCGAGTCTGAATCTGACGACGAGGCGGAATTAGAGTCCAGCTCTGACTCTGGCTCTGAGTCTGATATATCATCGAACATCAGCATGGAATCCATTTCCTCCATAAGTTCTACCAACTCTTTTGATACTTGATGTCCCTCGACTCCATCTGGGATGAAATTGTGCCGTCCTCCAATTCCACAGATGCCTCCGGGCCTGTATTCAGTAGCCGAGTCTTTATCGAGTTCAGTGACACAATACAAGCACTTGAAGATGAAGTTGAAAAAGCACGTACTCTCATTTCTCGGCCCAAAGCCACACATGCACCGCAGCTCCATCTACTCGATGAGTGGAGATTGGAAAATCCTCGGAGGTTTCATCGCAAACTCCGAGTCGACCCCGACGTTTTCATTGAACTCGTCAATAAAATCATCCACCATCCAGTTTTCTACAATAATTCTAACAACACACAATTACCTGTTCCTGTTCAGCTGGCGATTTTTTTGAATGGTGCCGGCCACTATGGAAATGCGGCAACAGCTGAGGATATGGGTGACTGGGCAGGTGTTTCGGTCAGGACGGTGTATAACTGCTACCGGCGTGTTATGGTGGCAATCCTGCAGCACCATGACAATGTTATTCACTTCGACCCGCTGGAGGCTAAGGATCAAATTGAGATAGATTGTGCGAAGGACTGGGTAGAAGAGTGTACATGCCCGGAATGGCGTGGCGGATTTCTGTGTGTTGACGGCACACCCTTCAATGTTTACCAGAAGCCCGGATGGCACAGAGAAGGTTTCTTTGACCGAAAATCGAATTACTCACTGTCAGCACAGGTAAGTGATCAAGAAACAAAATTGAAAATTCAATACTAACCTTACATTAGATTGTGATCATGCCTCACAACCTTCGTATCGTTGACTATGTGATAGGGGTCCCAGGAAGTCTCCATGACACCAATGCATTCTCAAGAACACGAATTGCACGACATCCTGAAAGTTTTTTGGGAGCGGATGAGTGGATCTGGGCTGACTCGGCTTACGCATCACGTACGTGGTGTGTGGTCCCTTTTAAATGCCCTGCAGCTGGTGGTCTGAGGCCCGATCAAAAAAAATTTAATACACACCTGTCGAAAGTAAGTCATTGAGTGCACAGAGACCTGCATATATGCTCATACCTAAAATGAAGGTACATGTTCATTTGGAACATTGCTATGGTTCCCTCAAAGGACGCTTCCAATCACTTCGTGAGCTTAGGTTTCAAATACAGTCACAAAAAGACCTCAACTATGTGAACATGTGGACACGTTGTTGCCTTATTCTTCACAACCTCATTATCGAGATCGAGGAGGAGCTAGGAAAGAAAAGTACCAATCCACACTTTTGCAAGGAGTCACAAAGGCAAGGAAATAGAGACGTAGATGAGGAAGAAGGTGGTGGTGATGAGGGGTTTATCGGAACAGATGGACAAATTTTTCAGAACACATTGATGGGTCGCTTGCTTCATAGCAGAGTTTAGATGCTGTGCACATTGAGAACAAGTCTGAAAGATAACATGTAGTCATAGTATAGCATTGCAAGTACTGAATATAATCAGTGAGAATAGTGAGCATTGAAGATGAAAACAGACACAGGTACAGACATGAACAAGCACAAGATCAATTGGCGTCATCATCAGTAGTACCGTCCATACCAAAACACTCCATAGCCAAGCGACGATACCTGGCCTCTTCGAGTCTGATCTCCAACTCCAGTTGCCTTGTCTTGTCCTCAGACATGGCACGTTCATGACTATGAGTAGCAATGAATCTGCGTGCATCATGTTCACGCTCGGCATGAGCTTCACGGGCCTTTAACTCCTTCGAAAACTTAGCATAGTCGAACTTCATCCGCTTGCTCGAGGCTTTGGAATCCAACTTATCCTGCATGTGGAGTAGGAGTGAGTCAGAGGCATCAGCTAGCTTCTTTGTAACCTCTGCTCCTAAATCATGTGGCCGCTTGTGAGATTCTGATGCTGAACGAGTATTAGACCCAGATGCTGGTGAATGGTGAGAGGTGGCTGGACTTCGACCACGTAGGCCACTGCAACTAGCTTTACGAGAGTGCATAGTCAATGACTTCATCACATCCTCAATCCCCTCTGAGTCACCACCAGAAGACTCTGGTTGACACTCCATGTCAGTGAAGAAGTTGTCCTCGTTAGCATGTGGAGGTGGAGAGTCTGGTGACACTGCGTGTGAAGGAACCTGAGTAGTATGTCTTGGTGGTGAGTCCAGTGAGATATCCGGAGGCCGATTGGTGTTAGTTGGTCGAGCCACAGCAGGATATGAAGGTGAATGGCTGTAGTGATCAAGGTGAAGATTTAAGGGGGGCAATGGTGATGTTGTCAAACTCGGTGAATCTAATGACGATAAATCAGTGACTGAGATTTGAGGTGATGGGATGCAAGAAGAGGTACAATGCTGCAAAAACGAGGGCTTGTTCGAATGGCTGAGGTCACCATAGAGGTCATCGTCACTTTCAATTGGTGGACACAAAGCTCCAGCAAGTGTTTCCCCCCCACCAAGTGGTTGTTCGAGAATTTCTCCTGGCTCTAGATCTTCATTGTCAAGATCCATCTCACCACTACCCTTATCTTCATCGTGTAGAGCTCCAGTAAAAAATTCGAGTGCCTTGCTGGCAAAATCTTGACCAGGGTCTGCTGTCGAAAATGCTGTATTATAGGATGGATTCATCCTCCACCATCCATGGAGGTCAGACCACCATGGAAATTGCAGAAGAAGCTGAGCTAGTGCCAGATCTCAGAACTTCGTTAACAAACAGTGAAAAAAATGCACGTACCGACAAGATTTTTAGTACAAGGGTCTGCATCCAGCTCCTCGACAGACTTGACTCCAGCCCCTGTTTGGCCAAGACCTTTGTTGACAGCATTGTACTTTTTTCGAAGCCTAAAAAATCTAGTCAATCACGCCACTAGATCCAGAACCAAATGATAGTAGACATACGAGATGAACTGACTTTCAACAGGTTTGATGAAGCTAAGTGGGTGCTCCTCATATAATGCACGAATGGTTGGATCTTCATCGTTGGTAAAAATCGCAGCAGCCAGCTGCTGGATATGGTTTTTCTTCTGGGTGGACATCTGCTGTCGTGGTCGACCCTCTTCCTTTGCATCTTTGGCCGAGTCAGAGAACAGCTTGATCCGAGCTTCATCATTGGCCTTGCACCACTCAATAAGGCGAGAGGTGCGTGCTGAGTACCGTTTCTCCCAGTAGATTGCTGGGATCTTCGTATTTGGTGTTACTTTCATGTTGGAGGGTTGGGGGGACTGCGAGGAAGCTGGAGCTGATCCACGGCTGGCACGACCTTGAGCTCTAGTATTACTGACTTCCCGTCCACGGTTGTTTGTGCCTCGTGCAGACATAGAGGTTGATTATAGTGGTAGACAGTGGCGGCGACGATGGCAGTGCAGCAGTGCGGCGTGCCGTTGGAGTTTTATTTGTTTTGCGTGTTTGGCTGCATCATGCATGTTTCGGCTAGTAGCCGAAACATGCAGCCAACACTTTGAAACCCATTTATGTAATACCTGTTAAGGGCCAACTTGGCACATGTCAATTATAATTGGATACAATTTGCCACACTCGAAGGACTTTTCACTGGGAAATTTTATCTGTTGCATCATGCTTGGCATGCGCAATTTGGTGCGTGACATCTATTCTTGTCCATTCACTAAGAGACGGTGTAGGGATTCATTTCTGGCTGGGCTTGTAGAGACTGTTTTTACCTTACCTTATGTTGGCACTTTTGTAGCTTACATAAGCAAGTTACCTTTTCACCAGTTACCAGTATGAGTCTGAGTCTTGAGCAGTTTTTATGACATTTCCTCTCCTCTGAGCCTTGAGCCTGGTCCAGAAACCCTTTAGGGTCGAATAGCAGCTAGGTTCTGCAAGACCCAACATTGTTCAGACTCACTCTCTGAATTGTTGTACCTTCAACGGTACAAACACACAGTTTACTGCTGGTTTCTCTCCATTCGACCAGGCTTCATGTATATTATGTTATTAGTGTATGTCACTTTGTATTTGCCTGACGTTTGCCACATTGACATGATAACAGCCTATCATAGCCTATGCTGTGAATACGTACCTTACCCTGATACACAGGCCTCGACACATACCTGCAGGTCCTTCGGTTTCGTTATATCACCAGCCAATCATGGGGGTTGGATGGTTGCTTTCAGCCATATATCTCTGAAAACATTGCACCGGCATGAACAGGTAGGATGTCAGCTGGCCCAACTCTATGTGAAGGTTCACCTCGTTGCCCTTGGAACCGACCATATTGTCATCTGCCTCCTATCATATAGCATCAACACCAGTGCCGTCATGTCATAAGTCTAAATCCCATGATCTATCTTTTGTGACTTGGAGACTTAGTTCATGTAGGTTTTGCGCCATCTTAGTGGTCATCATAACAAGCGGACGTCAGAAATACTCCACCTCCAAAACTAACTTCCAGTTTTTCAGTCTCACAATAATCTTGTGTTCGTCGGTCTTGTTCAACTCAAGACCAAATGTCTTTCTGATTCGGTCATCGTCCCTGACTCCTAGCTGACACTCTGAGCAGCTATGCGATATTGTTTTTGGTATCGTGTGCATTGTGATTTTATCCTTTATGTATCAGCTGAATTCACCAGGTTAAATACTCGCTGAAGACCTGAAACAATGTTCCTGCCTCTGAAGCCACGTGCCTTTATTCATACCTAGCTTTCGACATTGAAAACACTACACCAAAAGGCATCACACCCGGTGAAGGGTACAACAATTCAGATGGTGAGTCTGAACAATGTTGGGTCTTGCAGAACCTAGCTGCTATTTGACCCTAAAGGGTTTCTAGACCAGGCTCAAGGCTCAGAGAAGAGGAAATATGATAGAAACTTGCTGATCTCTCAGACTCATAGTAATACTGGTGAAAAGGTAACTTCATTATGTAAGCTAAGGTGCAAACATAACTATAGGTAAAACAGTCTCTACAAGCCCAGCCAGAAATGAATCCCTACACCGGTTCATACTGCTACCATTTCTTATTTATGATTGTCTGGGGCTCAAGTTGTATGTTTTACCACTGATTGAGGTCCAGAAGAGTATTGTGGTGGGTGTTTATAGCAATACTGGAATGGACAGTTCAGTCCACGAGGGTGAATGCTGAGTCTGCACTGACAGGCCAGTAATTTTTGGCCAATATACTATGCACTCAGTTCATTGTTTACCACTAGTGATCTTTTGATGTTGATTATTAGTGTAGGGTGACACTATGTATATTAGGCCTATGCTGATCAAATAATCGAGCATCTGTTTGCGGTCGACAGGACTTCCAGCTGTGTACTAGTTGTCGTGATACGGGCGTGCTACTACTGCATTAATGTGGCTTGGAGTGCCAAACTGGATGTTTGGAGTAAAGCTTTGCTTCAGGAGAATACTTACCCTGGATGAAATCTTATGCCTAATCCATCATCGTGATGTCCATGATCATGAACACGGAGCCAGCAGCCATGTTGATGTCATATCAACTGGACTGGCCAGGTGATGTACGATACAATGGGATGAGAGTAGCCTGTTGGAGTCTGAAGCCGAGACGTCTGAATCAAGGGGAAGATCAGAGTCGAGAGAGGCCAAACGATCCGAGCGATAAGGGGAGATAGGTCCGAGCGCACACCAAATAGGATGAAGACGAGCAACATGTGACGTCGGCTCACGTCCTAAAATCTTTTCAATGTTTATCAATCATATATTCCTGTAACCACACCACTTACCTTATAAGCACAAAGTGCAGCGCCCAAAACATCTCAGTCGTTTTGAACGAACTGAGATGTGAGTATCTTTGTCATACCAGCCGTTAACGTTGAACTAACGGCTCATAGTTACCTTTGTGTTCTAGGTACATAGATCAATATGAGTCGTTTTGAATGAACTGAGATTTACCTTTGTGTTCTAGTGATTCGCTCCTCGTCATGCATACTCTCACGCTCGTATAACACCTTTAGGTTATGAGCCCTGTCTCCATCATGGAATCTACGCTCCCCGGTACAAACTCCAGCCTGTTCAATATCCCGAAGCTCACAGAAGACGGCTCAAATTGGATTACTTACAAAGAACGAACACTAATGGCTATTGGAGCCCAAGGTCTGATGCGATATACTGATGGACGAGTCTGCGAGCCTATTCCCTTCGTCGTTGATCCAAAAACCAAGGCCGTTAAGAAGCCTGACGGCTCAACGCCATCGCAGACTGAAATAGATGAGCTCGATCAGAAGATCGACGAGTACCACCAGAAGAACTCACTGGTGAAGCAGCAGATATTCAGCACAATCACCAATCAGCTGCTACTGCACGTCCAAAAGCTTGGGGAGGCATCCAATATCTGGGATGAGATATGTCAGATTCACGAGGGCAAAAGTGAACTCGTGCAGATTGACTTACGGCGTCGCCTGCAGGAAACAAGGTGCGATGAAGGAGGGGACGTGAAGACCCACTTCGCGAAGCTCTTGAGGCTACGTGAATTGTTGGCTGGTATGGACACGGCTATCGTCGACATCGACTTCCATGCAATCATCCTGGGTTCACTCACAGAATCCTATTGACCTCTTCTATCGTCTATCAGCGTGGCAGCCAAAATCACCAAGAATCCACTCACCTCCTACAAGCTAATCAGTATCATCACCGAAGAGTACGAACATCGCCTACTCACCGAGCGATGCCCCACCAAGAAAGGAGCATCCGGAAGCGCCCTCTCAGCAAGGGAGGCTAAAGGAAAAGGTAGAGCGTCAGCCAGGACCACCAAACCGAATCCAGATGTTACCTGTTTCAACTGTGACCAGAAAGGCCACTACAAAACAGATTGCTGGCGTCCGGGTGGTGGGAAGGAGGGACAAGGTCCCAACCAACAGAAGAGGAGAGGTGAGAAGGCACTGAAGCAGGCAGCCAACTCAGCCACCCAGCCTGAGGCGCAGGACAACCAATACACTTTTGTAACATCAGACTTGGCAAATGTAGCGGGGCAGTTGGACGTACTGGTGGAGAAGAGAGGAGCCATCATAGACTCGGGCGCGACCTCCCATTTTTGCCCAGACCGGGCCAAGTTCACAAATTTCGTGACTATTCCACCCCAGGACGTCCACACTGCAGATGGTTCAATGCTGAGTGCCATAGGGCGAGGAGACGTTTGAATAGAGCTGCCGATGGGTCAGAAACACACGAGCGTGACGTTGAAAAATGTGTTATATGCACCTAAAATGGTGTTCACCCTCATATCCACTAACCGGATCACAGCTGCTGGCCTTGCAGTCCTCTTTGAGGGACGCATGTGCCGAATTCTCTCTCAAGGCCCGAAACAACGTGTCATCGCCGAAATCCCGCAGCTGGAAGGACTCTACAGTGTCATTGCGAAGCGTCAGGCACATCATGCCAATGTAGCAACACAGAAACTCACCATGGAGAGCTTGCATCGTATCCTGGGACACACATCTCAAGCAACAGCTATGGGCACTGTCAAGAAGAGCCTTGTTACTGGTATCAAGCTGGACCTTGCATCCAAGCCTGAGTTTTGCAATGTCTGCATGAAGGCGAAGTCAACGCAGAAACCCTACCCAGATGAGTCCAGTACGCGTGCACTTACCTATGGAGACTTAGTGCATACCGACCTGTGGGGACCTGCGCAGATGACCAGTCTAAATGGGAGCCTCTACTACATCAGCTTCACCGACGACTACAGCAGGCAGACAAAGGTTCAGTTCTTGAAACTGAAGAGCGAAGCACTTACCGCCTTCAAGGCTTATGAAGCGTGGCTGGCACGTCAGACGCTGGCCATCACACTTCGTAAAGTCCGTTCGGACAGAGGAGGAGAATATCTTAGCGCTGAATTTGACCTGTACCTCCGTCAGCAAGGCATTGAACATCAGTTGACAGTCCACGACTCACCGCAGCAGAATGGCGTAGCCGAACGTCTGAACTGGACGTTGGTGGAGCACACGAGGGCGATGTTGATAGGACGGGACCTACCAAAGTATCTGTGGGCAGAAGGCATCAACTACACAGCATGGCTAAAGAACCACTTACCTTCAAGGTCCATCCCCGGCACCACATCCTACGAGCTGGTGTGAAAGTGCAAGCCAGATTTGTCGCGCGCCCATGAGTTTGGGGTGAAGGTCTTTGTGCACGTGCTGGAGGGAGGGAAGTTAGAGCCGAGAGCGGTGGAGGCCGTATTTGTGGGTGTAGATGCTGAAAGCAAGGGTTATAGAGTGTACTGGCCCGGGAAACACCGTGTCTCGGTGGAGAGGAATCTCACCTTTGCGCCGGCGGAGATCCTGGTAAGGGTGGATGTGCTGGACGAGGGGGAGCATGCCGCGATCAATGAATATAATAGCAGCAACAGTAATAATCACTCACCTCATAGCACCCAGCCCATCCCCATCACCACGCAACAGCAACCTCAACCATCTACCGCCCAGCAACCTCAGCCATCTACTCCTCCAAGGGCAACAAGGGCCAGACCTCCTCCAGGCTACTATGCAAGCCTGAATGAAGGCAGCAATGTAGTGGCCATAGCGATAGAAGATCTGTTGGACGCGTCAGAAGTGGACCTATTGGATGAAGAAACTCACCTTCAACATGCCTTGGCAGTCGCCCAACCAGAACCTTCCTTGCAGCAAGCCTTGAACGGACCGGATGGAGTTGAGTGGCAAGAAGCTGTTGATTACGAGATCAGCCAACTCGAGAAGTTGGGCATGTGGGAAGTAGTAGACTTACCTCGTGGAGCTAACCTCATCCCTTGCCATTTCGTTTTGGCAACGAAGCGTGGACCCGACGGAGAGAAACTCAAACTGCGGGCACGACTCATGGCGAATGGCCAGAAGCAGCAGTATGGGGTCGACTACTTCGACACGTTCGCGCCAACAGCCAACATGAGCACCATACGCACTGTCCTGACAATGGCGGCTCAGAGAGACTGGGAGATCCACCAAGTCGACATACCTCTATGCAAGCATCCAGGAGGAAATTTACATGCACATGCTGCATGGATACCTCACAGAGAGTCAGCACAGAAAAGTATTGAGGTTGAGAAGGAGCTTACCGGGGTTGAAGCAGGCTGGCTTCAAGTGGGCAGAAGAGTTAGCAGGGGTTTTTGCGAAGATAGGTTTCAGCCAGTCCAAGGTGGACCAGGCAGTCTACTACAAGCACGCCCTGGACGAGCACACCGTCATCACCATCTCTGTGGACGACATGGCCGTTACAGCCAACAGGACCTCCCACATCACTCACTTTAAGTTGCGACTCCACGAATTCTTCAAAATAACAGATCTAGGGGAGCTAAATTGGCTGTTAGGACTGAAGGTAACCAGAGACCGGGTTGCACGTACCATAACGCTCTCCCAGAAGGCCTACGTCGACACAATTGTCGAGTGTTTCTACATGGCTGATGCTAAGGGTGCGCAAATGCCAATGGAACCAACACTCACCTTGTCCGTTGAGCAGGGACCAGTCACAGTCACTGAAATCCATGATATGCGGGACGTGCCCTATCAGCGGGCCATCGGGTCGCTGATGTACGCAGCTACCAGCACGTGTCCAGACATAGCCTTCCCAGTCACCATACTCTCACAGTTCATGTGTAACCCAGGCAGGCCCCATTGGGAGGCCACCAAGAGAGCACTCCGATACCTAAAAGGTACTGGGGACTTCGAGCTGATGTTGGGATCAACGGATGGAGGCCTGGAGGCTTTCGTAGATGCCGATTGGGCATCCCAGCCCCACAGGTACTCCATGTCCGGGTATGTGGTCCTCCTGAATGGTGGTCCGGTGGCGTGGAGCGCGCGCAAGCAGCCGCTGATCTCGTTGTCGACAGCAGAAACCGAATACATAGCCCTGACCAGCGTCATCCGAGAGCTATTATACCTCCAGTTACTGATAGGGGAGCTGTACGAGCCTGTCCCGCACCCCATACCCGTGTTCTGTGACAACCAAGCTGCAATAGCGTTAGCATCGAACGGCAAGTTCCAATCACGCACCAAACACATTGACCTCAGGTACCACTTCATCTGCTCCCACATCAGAAATGGCATCTTCAAGCTATTCTACTGCCCCTCCGAAGAAAACGTCGCTGATGCCTTCACAAAGGCATTGCCTCGCCCACACTTACAGAAGCTACGAACGATGATGAGTCTGGCTTGCGCTCGAGGGGGAGTGTTGGAGTCTGAGGCCGAGACGTCCGAGTCAAGGGGAAGATCAGAGTCGAGAGAGGCCAAACGATCCGAGCGATAAGGGGAGATAGGTCCAAGCGCACACCAAATAGGACAAAGACGAGCGATGTGTGACGTCGGCTCGCGTCCTAAAATCTTTTCAATGTTTATCAATCATATATTCCTGTAACCATGCCACTTACCTTATAAGCACAAAGTGCAGCGCCCAAAACATCTCAGTCATTTCGAATGAACTGAGATGTGAGTATCTTTGTCGTACCAGCCGTTAACGTTGAACTAACGGCTCATAGTTACCTTTGTGTTCTAGGTACATAGATCAATATGAGTCGTTTTGAATGAACTGAGATTTACCTTTGTGTTCTAGTGATTCACTCCTCGTCGTGCATACTCTCGCGCTCATATAACACCTTTATAGCCTCGCCCTCGAGAACACAGGAACAAGGGGCCTACTAATGCCCAGCATTATCAGATCCCATGTTCCGATGCTTGCGAAGCCTTGGAACCAAATTCAGGACATGTTCATAGAGCCAAAGAGTTGCATACCTCCTGAGACTCAGTACTCAGAGTCTCAGACTCGGAAGACAACGAGAAAAGACAGGCTCACACGGACACTTTGGTTATCAAGGAAAGTCAAAGGCTCATGAATGGATGACGCCTTTCCCATTGTTAATAAAATAACAGCAATTTTGGCACAAGTGGCAAACACTTTCCCACCGGTGGCGCGATCTTCAGGCTTGAGTTCCTTCACTCCACTTTCAGAGGTGCCTTCAACACACTTATTTTCATTGGTTTTGTTTGACTGCATCTCTGAGCATATTATCCACTGCCCTATCATCGCTCCATGCTCTCAAAAATCTGTCACCCGGTCACCTTTCTAACACGTCGTTTGCTCAAATTTGAATGTAATACTACCACATACAATAGACGATGGATTAACTGTATACTCCACATCGTACTCCACAGTGTCTCAGGCATCTCCACAAATCAATTTACCAGAACGAGATTATCATAAACAAGAGCTACAAGGATCGAATTTATTAGCTGCAAGTAATGGAAAAGGTTAGAAACTCACCCTTCATAGCAGTGCTGCCAGCGTGTCCCATGTGCCATGCGACTCAAATCAAGTTCAACACCTCTGGGTATCACAAATGCAGTCCAAGGATTATAAAATGGGCTTCGAGAAGTGGGTGGTACCCAGAACAAGAGCCGATGATTGGGTCCCGTCATCCAACCATCATCTCCAAGAAGAGCGAACGTCAATCTGCAGTCATCATGAGGGGTGTATGCAAGTAGCTCAGTAGTGTCGCGTAGTGCATGAGTCGGGTGGAATGAGAAGCAAATGAAATGTTCATTCACAGGGTTGGGTGCGGGGACAGCCATTGTTGGATGTGGGATACGACTGTTGTGCGGAGAGGATGGTGAACAGTCTTCTTCGGCGTGATCCTGCAATGACTTCCCAATCACTGCATACCAGACTCGGACAGTACCATCAGATGAACCAGAAATGATGCAAGTGCCATCCGGCGAGAATGAGACTGATGTAACCCAAGAAGTGTGCCCCCGCAATGGCTGGCCGATTGGCTTCCCCATCACTGCATCCCACAGCCGGATAGTCTGATCGTCGGAACTAGAAACAATGCGAGTACCATCTGGTGAGAACGAGACCAATCGGACCCAATGACTGTGCCCCTTCAAGGGCTCACCAACTGGCTGCCCCATTCCTGCATCCCACAGCCGGATAGTCTCATCATCCGAACCAGAAACAATGCGAGTCCCATCTGGTAAAAACGAGACTGATCTGACCCAATCAGTGTGCCCCTTCAAGGGCTCACCAACTGGCTGCCCTGTTCCTGCATCCCACAGCCGGATAGTCATATCATCCGAACCAGAAACAATGTGAGTCCCATCCGATGAGAACGACACCGAGGTAACCGCACCACTGTGCCCCCGTAAGGGCTCACCAACTGGCTGACCTGTCCCTGCATCCCACAGTCAAATAGTGCAATCCTGCGAACCTGTTATGATACGAGTTCCGTTCAGTGAGAATGCGACTGAGTTAACCAACTCAGTATGCCCCTCCAAGGGCTCACAGACAGGCTTCCCTGTTGCCACATCCCACAGCTGGGCAGTTCTATCCTCAGAACCAGTTGCGATGCGAGTCCCATCCAGAGAGAACAAGACTGAGTAGACACGGTGTAAAGAGTTGGATCCTGGCGGGCTTACACAAAAGCATTACCTTTTGAGACTCTGAGTGCGAGTAGGATATTCGTCCCTAGGAGACTGCCTGTAGGATTATCTCTTGATATAAATGCAAGGGATATCTAATTTTAAGATCGAAGAAGGGAGAACGGAGTGATACCTTTAGCGCGTCTGAAGTTCCGAAGTGTTTGTCCGAAGTGTCCGGTAAGTCGACCGGTATGTCCGACCGTTGTCCGATGTTGAGAACAAAGGTCCGAAGTCGCGCGAGGCTTCCGGAGAGTTTCCGGTGAAACTGTAAGGTTTCCGGCGAAAGAACAGGATCTGCGTAGTACAACTAGCAAGGTTCGTTGAAAGACTTAAGGAGTTTTCAATAGCAAAAATTGGCAGCGGTCGAGCCAAACAATCGATTCGAAGAACAAAATCAATTGCGCGAAGTATCAAAAATCCGAAAGTGACTCCTACTGACTATGACTTTGAAACGAGGGATGTGAAGTACCGTCCGAGTATCTAGCGAGCCAGAATATATCCTATGGCGTGAAAGTCCGGAATCTACGTAGGCGAAAACTGTAGCGCGATAAGACATCCGAAATGTAATAAGACTCGAGGCGAGTCGCTTCAAGAATGTACATGTAATAACGCGCGAGGAGCATATCTATACGTATTAGCAAGGATTTTTGATGTATGTTCCCTTGGGTATAATCAATAACAGATAAACAAGTGAAAAACGCACCAGCGAAGTCAAACGGGCAAGGATAGGACATGGTACGGAGGATCGGAAAAGCTAGAAAGGCCTCGGGAATGGGCGGACGACCTTCAGACAACTCAGAAGAATGTGCGGAACCTTTGGAAGGTCGGGAGTGTGTCGGAAAGCGTAATATGTGATTTCGACCAGATACGTGTCCAGCGCCGACCCAAGTGTTACAACGGCTAGTGTGCCCCAACAAGGGCTCACCGACTGGCTGACCTGTTGCTGCATTCAACAGCTGGACAGTGCCATCCTGAGAACCAGTCACAAAGTGGGTCCCATCCGGCGATAGCGAAACTGAGGTAATGAATTTTGCGCGTCTCTGCAATGACTGACCAACTGGTTGCCCAGTAGCTGCATCCCACAGTCGGATAGTCATATCGTCCGAACCAGAAACAATGCGAGTCCCATCTGGTGAGAACGAGACCGACCTGATCCAATCAGTGTGCCCCAACAAAGGTTCACCAACTGGCTGCCCTGTTGCTGCATCCCAGAACCGGACAGTTCTATCGGTGGAACCTGTCACAATGCAGCTTCCATCTGGCGAGAACGAAACTGAACGAACATAATCAGCATGCTCCTCTGAGGGATCACAGACAGGCTTCCCCGTCGCCACATCCCACAGCCGAATAGTCCTATCGTCCGAACCAGATACGATATGAGTCCCATCCGGAGAGAACGAGACGGAGTTAACTACACCAATGTGTCCCAGCAAGGGCTCACCGGCTGGCTGTCCTGTTGCTGCTTCCCATAACCGGACAGTCTGATCGTCTGAACCAGACACGATGCGAGTTCCACACCGCGAGAATGATACTGAGTTAACCTCATCAGTGTGCCCCAGTAAGGGTTCACCAACTGGCTGCCACTTTGCTGCATCCCACAGTCGAATAGTGGTATCCGCCGAATCTGTCACAATGCAAGTTCCGTTCGGCGAGAATGCGACTGAGTTTACTGACCCAGTATGCCCTAATAAGGGTTGACCAACAGGCTGCTGCGTTGCTACATCCCACAACCGCACAGTCATATCGACTGAGCCAGATGCAATGCGTGTCCCATCCGACGAGAATGAAACTGAACAAACTGAGTCAGTGTGCCCCAGCAAGGGCTCGCCTACTGGCTGCCCCGTTCTTGCATCCCACAGCCGCACAGTGCGATCATTCGATCCAGTCACAATGAGAGTTCCATCCTGCGAGAACGACACTGAGCTAACTCTATTAGTGTGCCCGCTGATCACAGTCTGAACAGCTGTCCAGATGCCAGACAAAGACAGTTGGGAAACCGTGCAGAAAACATTTTGGATAGTGCAGAGTTGACGGGAGAGAATGGCAGTGCTGATACATAGAGATGGGGTGTGCTGTGCAAGATGATGCCGCCAAAGACTTGAATAGATCTCTGCACGTCTATTGCAGCAGACGAGGCTTCCTCATATCCAGTCTGACCCTGTAATTGTGATTTCGTGTTAGCGAGCATGTTATCTGACGCTCAATAACCATGTGCTCACCTTCAACCACTTGGCAATAAGCGGGAGGACTGGGACGGCGCCACTGAGTGCATTGACAAGGCAGAGTGCCTCGAGCCAGAAGAACAGTCGTTCATGCTCGAAGAATGATTTTATGTCTTTGGCGAGGTCTGGATCAAAGTCAGTTGCTTGCACGTGGACAGGCCAAAATCGGCAGGCATATGATAGATGTGGGGGGATGCTTTTTTCAACTCGATCTCGCAGACTGGGATCTTCGGAGTTTGGGAGATACGATGATTGTAGATCGCAGACATTAAAGGACAATTCATGTTCCATCACTCAAAGCGATGCAAAAGCAAGGTCTCGTTGTGCCTTCGACACGTTGACACAGAACTTTCCGCTGCATTTACGGTCTGTAAGGAAATCGCGAAAGGAGGCATGAAGGGGTTGGACGGGGATGGATGAGTCGGTGGTGCCGCTGAGAAGGGCTCCCATATGTTCCACCATAACTTGCACTTCGTAGTGCTCGCTTTTGTCCGGAAAATGGCTCCGCATCATATTGAGGGACTCCAAAGAGAGGGGCTCAGCTGCGCCAAGGATTTGTCCCATCACAGAACGAAATCTTGCTAGCTGTTTATGCTGAGATGCGCTGTGCGTAGATCTATCATTTTGCATGACTCCTGTCAAAATGAACTGATACATATCATACAGCAAGTTTTCCCGCTCGGCAGGATCATGTGACGTGACATGACTGAAGGACTTGATTGAAGATAAGGCAGGGGACTCTTTGATATATCTGCAGGCGAGACATGCCCACTTGAAAAGTCCATTAGCTTTTTCAGCGAGCGTTGTGAATTCTCTGTCCCCGAAATGCGAGAGCCCTTCAAGCTCCTTCAATACGTAAGTGCAGATGTTGCGCTCTGCTGTGGCTGATGAAATCTCGTCCATGGACATGCGTCGGATATGCTGAGCACCTGAGAGCTCAGCGTCGATGTCCCGAAGCGGGCGAGAAGTGACGACGATCCGGAAGTTGGCTGGGAGTTCCGTGATTCATTGAACACCTAGTTTACCTGCAAGAATGCGGAGAATACAAAGCCGTGTCTCGACTCCGCCGCTCTCATCCATTGCATCTATCACGATGACAACAGGTCTTATGATTGACCCTGAGGGCTTCCCCAGTGGTTTCATCAGAAGTTTGTCCCACTGCTGAACGATGTCCGCTGTAGTCTTCAGCGAACTCGCATCTTTAACTGCCTCTACTAATGCTCGCCTCATCTCCGGATCACGGTCCGCCAAGTCGCACGCGATAGTAGAAAAAATCTTTTCATGACGACGCTCAGCATCTCACTGGCGATCGAAGCAGTAACACGAACCGAGCCCTCCCACATCGTTGAACCAGTTGGCAATTGTGTGTGCAATGACCGACTTGATCTTGCCTGCAGGGCCAGATAACCAGAGCACACGCTGAACATCATCTCCGGTACTGTTGACCCAGTCCGTGATCTCCGACAAGATTTCCGTACGTGTCCCTGGTAGACATTGCTTCCCAGTGTCTAATCCCACACCTTCCGCATACGCCATGCCGCTGAGGTCCAGTGTATCGCCTGAAAACGTATGAATAGATGTCGAGTTGGAAGCATGTGCAATCCTTACCTGTATGGTGGACGAAGATCTCTACATCGCAAGTGACTTGGTCCCAGAAGCTTTGCATGAGCTTGTCCAATACATCAATGTACTGCTGGGTCGTATTTTCTGCTTCCGAGATAACATTTTTCCCGAGTCTCTTCCCTATAACAATAGTAGAGGATAGATCATGAATGAGTGAGCAAAGCATAATAATTCGTGGGTTCCTCACAGAAGTTTTTTGTCGCAGAGTAATCCTTGATGAACTGGGAGCACTCAAGAGTCTGCTGAACTATTCGTCCAACGATCCCCTGC